GGTGAAGCTGAATGGTTTATGTACTATAATTCAGTCAATATAGATTTCTTTTTTTTAAGCATTGAGTATCTGACTCCATTTCCCACCTGTTATTTATCAGAACTTACCGTTTCTACTTGATACATATAGACCGACCAATGTTATGGTTGGTTGGAGATCATTGTAGATTATGATTGGGAGGAAATCAGAAAATAGAAAATAAAGGGAAAATATTGTTGTGTTTGAGGCAGTGGGTAGTTAAAGTGTCCGTGTGTGTGTGTGTGTGCAAATTCAATGGTAAACATTTTCCCTTCCTAATCCATTTGCCCCCACTCCTCCCCACAAAACGGTATGTACTATATCTCCATATCTTTGATTGCATTGGCATAATAATCCATCTGTTTTGTCTGTTTTTCCATATCTTCCCTCAGCTCCTGGCCGGAGAGCCATTTGGAACGACCCGGAGTAAAACCATTCCCAAGGAGCACCTGGCCTCAGCTCAGGATCTGGACACCATCTGGTCTCTCGGGGCAAGGCAGTTTTATCTCTTAATGTTCCCTTAATATCACTGTTAAATTACATCCATTTTGTTGTGTAGTCCGATTCAACTAAGCAATATTTCAACCACTCCTTGTACTATGAGTGATGTTTATGTTGCCAGCCTTCTTCTCAGCATGACATGAAGTACGGAGGCCCCCGAGGATCAACAGAATTGAATCAGGATTTGTTTAAACATTATATATATAATTATATATATAATATATATATATATTAGTGTTCCATGATTGCCACTATGGTCAGAGAGAGGACTCAGCACTGAATGTGCCAGTAATGCCTCAAAAGCGTGTCTTGGTTTTATTTGTTGTAGGCTTTCAGTTTCACCATGTTTTAAAGACACAAGCCACAACTTATTTTGGTTCCCAGGTAATTTCTTGTGTTTGTTTTGGTCCACAGGGCTATCTCCAGTACTCTGTGTTGTTCTATGGGTACTACAGCCCGGTGAGGAAGATCGGCAGTGCCGGCTATCGCCTCCCCCTGGCCTACTTTCTGGTTGGGATGGCTGTTTTTGCCTACAGTTTCATCATTCTGTTAAGAAAGTAAATCACTAGAGTCTCTTTTAATAAAGCTCATTTATGTGGATTGATATTGATGTTAAAATGAAAGTGAAGTAATATTGATAGGAATGTATTACCAAAGGAGACCATTGATGGGGCTACTGTAGCTAATAGCTACTACTAATGCCAAATATTATATTTTTTAAGGTAGACTGAGCGACGGAGATACACAAAGTAAAAAGCATAGTGGCTATTACATTGTAATAGCATGAAGGGAACCCCTGCACATGCACAGATACTGTGTGGGACTGTGTGAGAGCCAAGTCTTGCATCTCGCTCATCTCAATTTCTGCGGCACTGCTCGTGGCATTTCGCTGAGTCTACCTTTAACATGACTTCAAATTGTATTATTTTTCCATGGTCTGTCTGACTAACCATTGTAGTGATTATATTTGAACTGTTTCTGTATTATCTATAAAGGTGTTTGAAAACTGTTCTATCGCCAGTTTAACCTCTTATTAGGAACACAATGATGTGTCGCTAATTGATGCCATTTTGTGTTATTTATTTACATTTTCCCTCAGGATGGCTAAGAACTCCCGTCTGAGCCTGGCCAGTGCCTCTGACGAGAACTTCACCTTCTGCTGGAGAGTGTTCTGTGCCTGGGACTACCTCATAGGGAATCCTGAAGCTGCAGAGAGCAAGGGAGCCGCTATCGTCAACAACATCAGGGTGAGAGAGACACAGGTCATGGTGCAAGACTCAGGGACACATTTCTGTAGTGGAAAATAATTTTGCATTAGTGCAAAACATCTGTAAACCTCATCATCTTGCAGTGATTTAATTTGAAAATAATTATTCAACGTTACAATGTAAACTGAGAGATACGTAAATAGTTGCCTCTTTATAATGCACATTGTTGAGGTAAAGTTTCAAATGTAAAAATTACTATACAACTCATCATAATGTGTTACATGTAATGAAGTCAAAACTGAGGAGTGGGGCAGTATTTTTTTGCACTACGAAAATGTTGCCCTCAATAGTCTAAACGGACCTCCTCTGCTCATCTCCTGTCCGTCATCAGCATTGATCTGAAAGAACTGGACTAGTGGAGCAGATTCACACTAGTCAGTAAAGTAAAGTAAATTAGGTGATTGGTGTGAATGAGCTTCACTTATCCAGTTCTTCCAGATCAGAGCAGATGAAGAACCGTAGATGAGCAGAGGAGGTCTGTTTAGACTATTGAGGGCGACATTTTCGTAGTGCAAAAATAATAGTGCAAAGTGCAAAAATGACTATACAACTCATTATATTCTGGCAGCGTGATTACATTTTAAACTTTACCTCGATCTACCACTTTGCTTTCACTTATCCTGTGTTTTCAGATCATCACAAATGATGGAGAGGAGATGGGAAGAGGAAGCCATGTAACACATTTGAGGTGCACGCTCAATCATCTTACCAGGTTTCCTTTCCTCGTCTCCTCTCCTTCATCTGCACTGAGCCATTGAGAAACACTGCACCACTCCACTCCTCAGATTTGATTTCCAACGATCCCGACTTCTTTAATTCACTCACAGCACTCTGTAGAGTAGAAGTCAATGTACCATTGTATTACTGCTGATTTCCCTGAGGGATGATCTATAATCTGTATTCTACGTCTAAACAAGAGAGCCCTTTAACCTGCCTGTTGAGTTTCCCTGTACAGTCAGCAAAATAGACATTATATTCCTCTGTTTCAATAAGCTCAGTTTAAATCCCTATATGCTTGATTCAATACATCGTTTTTGATTTATTTATTCTTATTTTACCTGTATTTTACCAAGTTTTGTCTCATCAAGATTTACAATTTAATTTTCTACAGATAACTGGACAAAATTGCAGCAAAGATGTAGTTACACAAGATGGATGACATGAATAAATGCTAATTCTTTGCCCCTTTTTCTAGGAGGCCATTGTTGAGGAACAGGAGAAAAAGAAGGATACTAGTCTGTAAGTATGTTTATTCTCTTGTCCATGTAGAGGGTGGCTAAGTTAGCATCACACATTGATATTGCTTTCCTGTGAGTTGCTGTCACCCTGGACCCATTAATGGACCCTTAGCTTTTGTGCGTCAGTGGTGTTATCCTTTGCAAAGTATCTTGTGTCATTCTGACATTGGTAGAATCCAGGACCGTACCACATTCATTGATGATGCTCTTTGGTTTAGGGGTCTAGTGTGGGAGGGGGGTCTTCCTGGAGTCTTCCTACGGGGAGTGGGATCTTCCTGGGGTCTTCCTGCGGGGAGGGGGGTCTTCCTGGGGTCTTCCTGAGGCATACATCTACACATCTACATTTTTTTCCAGTGGCAGCCATGAATTTGCATATACTGTAGGGGAAATGTTGTATAAAAATCGATATATTGCTATGACTTGTTCATCTCCTGCGTTCCCCAGGTTGCTTTTGAGCCTCTTCTACCTCCATGCGTTCTCCACTGGTCTCAGAAGGACTGATTTACTCTCTCGCTCCCAGTCCATTGCTACCCCGTCCGATCCCACGCAGGCCATCACTTCCTTGTGGCGTAACTCATCCTAACAGCCTTGTACTGTCAGAGATGACTGGCTCTAAATCACCTCCGCCAGAGCATCATCAGACCTGAGCAGACATTAAAGAGGGATTAATAGTTCAGGGAACGTTGGTTCACACCGCCCGCAGCCCTCTCCATCACACTATGTAGTGACTTCTTTCAGTCCATTTGAGGTAGATGTCTATTCTTACAGGGGCTAATGCTAGGTGGATGCATGCACTGTACTGTATGTAAATTAGGGTTTCAATGGGAGAGTTCAACCTAAAGTCCTACTGATTGGTTTGGGGAGATTTTCACTGGGGTTTGAGTTATAGTAACGTTACCATGTTGCCACTGTTTTGTGTAGTTTAGGTGGTGATATGATGAAGGCTGTGGTTTGATGAAGACTGTGTAATGTCCAATGTACACTCTTAGAAAAAAAGGTGCTATCTAGAACCTTAAAGGGTTCTTCGGCTGTCCCCATAGGAGAACCCTTTGAAGAACCATTTTGGTTTCAGGTAGAACCCTTTTATGGTCCATGTAGAACGCTTTCCACAGAGGGATTTACATGGAACTCAAAAGGATTCCACCTGGAAACAAAAAGTGTTTTACCTGTAACCAAAAAGGGTTATCCTATGGGGACAGCCAAATAACCCTAAGAGTGTACAATACAGGCAGCCAGAGGAGGAAGGACCTCCCCTTTGAATCTGGTTCCTCTCTAGGTTTCTTCCTTCTACAGAGTTTTTTCCTTGCCACTGTGCTTCTATTTCTGCTTGCGCCTGGGTCTAAGCAGGTTTACTGTAAAGCACTTTGTGTAAAAGGGTTTTACACAGTGCCTTAACAAAGTATTCACACCCCTTTACTTTTTTCACATTTTATTCAGCCTGAATTTAAAATAGATTAAATTTAGATTTGTTGTCACTGTCCAACACACAGTACCCCATAATGTCAAAGTGGAATTATGTTTTTAGAAATGTTTACAAATGAATTAAAAATGAAAAGTGGAAATGTCTTGAGTCAATAAGTATTCAACCCCTTTGTTATGGCAAGCCTAAATAAGTTCAGGAGTAAAAATTTGCTTAACAAGTCACATCATAAGTTGCATGGACTCACTCTGTGTGCAATAATAGTGTTTAACAAGATTTTTGAATGACTACCTAATCTCTGTACATCACACATACAATTATCTGTAAGGTCCCTCAGTCGAGCAGTGAATTACAAACACAAATTCAACCACAAAGACCAGGGAGGTTTTCCAATGACTTGCAAAGAAGAGTACCTATTGGTAGATGGGTAAAAAAAAAAAGCAGACATTGAATATCCCTTTGAGCATGGTGAAGTTATTAATTACACTTTGGATGGTGTATCAATACACCCAGTCACTACAAATATGGTGTATCAATACACCCAGTCACTACAAAGATACAGGCATCCTTCCTAACTCAGTTGCCGGAGAGGAAGGAAACCGCTCAGGGATTTCACCATGTGGCCAATGGTGACTTTAAAACAGTTACAGAGTTTAATGGCTGTGATAGGAGAAAACTGAGGATGGATCAACAACATTGTAGTTACTCCACAATACTAACCTAATTGACAGAGTGAAAAGAAGGAAGCCTGTAAAGAATAAACATATTCCAAAACATCCATCCTGTTGCAACAAGGCATTAAAGTAATGAACAATTAAAATAAATGGCAAAGCATTTAATTTTTTGTCCTGAAAACAAAGTGTTATATTTGGGGCAAATCCAATACAACACATTGCTGAGTACCACTTTCCATATTTTCAAGCATAGTGGTGGGTGCATCATGTTATGGGTATGCTTGTAATCGTTAAGGACTGGGGAGTTTTACAGGATAAAAAATAAATGGAACGGAGCTAAGCACAGACAAAATCCTAGAGGAAAAACTGTTCAGTCTGCTTTCCAACAGACACTGGGAGATGAATTCACCTTTCAACAGGACAATAACCTAAAACACAAAGCCAAATCTACACTGGAGTTGCTTACCAAGAAGACCGTGAATGCTCCTGAGTGGCCGAGATACAGTTTTGACTTAAATCTACTTGAAAATCTATGGCAAGACCTGAAAATGGTTGTCTAGCAATGATCAACAACCAATTTGACAGAGCTTGAAGAATTTAGAAAATAATAATGAGCAAATGTTGCACAATCCAGGTTTGGAAAGCTCTTAGAGACTTACCCAGAAAGACTGCTTCCACAAAGTATTGACTCAGGGGTGTGAATACTTATGTAAATTAAATATTACTATATTTCTTAAAACATGTTTTCACTTTGGCTGTAACACAACAAAATGTGGAATAAGTCAAGGGATATGAATACTTGAACTACTGTTTCTCTTTTTTTCTCCCTCTCTTCCAGAGCAGTCCTGATCAGTCTGCGTATCCTAGCCAACATCCTGGTCCTTCTCTCTCTGGCTGGCAGCATTTATATCATCTACTTTGTGGTGGACCGCTCCCAGAAACTAGAGCAGGAGAAGCCAGAGCTAACACTATGGGAGAAGAATGAGGTAGCTAGCTACAGTAGACACTGAGTATACCAAACATTAGGAACACCTCCACCGTGTCCCCTTTAAGGTACAGGCTCAATTCATCGGGGCATGGACTCTACAAGGTGTCGAAAGCGTTCCACAGGGAAGCTGGCCCATGTTGACTCCAATGCTTCCCACAGTTGGCTGGATGTCCTTCGGGTGGTGGACGATTCTTGATGCACATTGGAAACCCAGCAGTGTTGCAGTTCTTGTCAACAACCGGTGCGCTTGGCACTTACTACCATACTCCGTTCAAAGGCACTTAAATGTTTTGTCTTGCCCATTCACCCTCTGAATGGAACATACACAATCCATGCATCAATTGTCTCAAGGCTTAAAAAATCCTTCTTTAATCTGTCTCCTCCACTTCATTTACACTGATTTAAGTGGATTTTACAAGTGACATCAATAAGGGATCATTGCTTTCACCTGGATTCACCTGGTCAGTCTGACATGGAAAGAGCAGGTGTTCTTAATGGTTTTGTAAGTAGGTTTACTCTGTCCGGGAAACCGGACAATATTGTATTTAACTTCGTTGATGGATTATAGCTACTGCATCTCATTTTGGGCACTTGATTTCCCTGATGACAAAGACATATGTGACAGGACTTCAATTACATCATGCCTTGTGTTTCTCCAGCATAATTTCCTCTCAGGATGCTGTAATAAAGCCGTTAATGTGAAACTGGAGACTAATAGGGAGACTGCTATCACCAGCCACATGTATCACCATCTGTGCTGACAGCTGATCATTTCATTCAGTTCAGGATAATGGACATCTGTAGGGGGTTGGTAAGACTACCCTGATGTCACTGCCTGGACTGATGTTGCTTTCAAGACAACTGGGAACTCTGAAAAAACCCCAGGTCAAATCATGACGTCAGTGAATTTCAGGTTGGAAAATCAGAGATCTAGAAAGATGCCAGGGTTTCCGACTTGGAATTCCGAGTTGGAGCTCAAACGATTTTTCTGAGTCAGAGCAAATTTTTTTCTGAGTTCCCAGACGTCTTGAACGCACTGAAGTCGGAAGTCAGAGAATTCCAAGTTCCGTGTTCCTAGTTGTTTTGAACGCGACATGAGAACAGCCTCTAGCTCCTAACTGCTTGCTCCTCCGATGCCTCCAGATCTTAGTGAAAAAGAGAAGAAAAGGTCCTAATACAATGACTCCTTATGGTGTCATCAGGGGTATATGAAGGTGTCTATTTTATAACATACCCAGTGTCTGATGTCATATCCTGTTTCCTGTCCCAGGTGAGTGTGGTGGTGTCCCTCATCACCATGATCGCCCCGTCTGCCTTTGAGCTGGTGGCCCAGCTGGAGATGTATCATCCCAGGACCTCCCTCCGCTTCCAACTGGCCAGGTCTGACTCTGACAGCACCTCAAATCCCATTTGGTCACACTTAACATTACGTTTACGGATTCTTATTTTTACATGTAACTACACCTTAGCTGTACTGTTAGTAAATGTTGCTACTAATTCGATTTTAGTCTGTTTTCTTTCTTTTGTAATGCAGTGAATGTTTTGTCTCCTCTCCCCAGAGTACTGGTGTTGTATCTGGGTAACCTCTACAGCCTCATCATTGCCCTTCTGGACAAGGTCAACAGTATGAGTCTGGCCTCAGCTGCTGCAGCTGTAAGTAGTCCTGCTGAGATTGAGGCTTTCCTAATATGGACACCATACAAGCCATGTGACTAAACTCTTTACATGTTGTGCCATAGTTCCCACTCAAGAAATGTTACTGTTAATGCTGATGTTAATGTCAATGCTACTGTTAACAACGATCTTGATCTGTCAATGTGGGGAAGGTTTAGAAAACAAAAGGAATGAAATTGAGAAACATTTCATGAATTTATAAAGCTCTGATTGACTGAGGGATGGACGGACAGACGGACTGACTGGTTGATTGATTCATTGATTGGTTAATTGGTTAATTGGTTACTCAGTTGATTGGTTAATTGGTTGTTTGATCACTAACTGGTTTTGATGGATTATTTCCAGGCGGCGGTCTCTGTGGTGTCGGGGAACTGGTCTGACTCCACCGCGTTCATGGCGACCATCTCCCAGTCGGGGGAGGAGAGCCTCTCCACCCTCGTATCGGACATCTCCGTCTTGGAACAACGCAACAGCACCATAGCGACCATCGCCATGGTGCTGGACGTCAACACAGGCATCAGCACCAGCAAGGTCACCATGGCAACCATGTACAACCACACTGGGTTGTTTGAGCAGAACAAGCAGAAGAAACAGGACGAGTGCTGGGAGACCTACGTGGGACAGGTGCAGAAGTTCATTCCTCTACTTGTCATTCGCTCATTCGTTCATTTGTTCCTTCATTTATTTGTCCATTCATTCATTTCTTCATTCGTTCATTTGTTAATCTGTCCATTTGTTCATTCATTCATCTTTTAATGTTGAATGAGCAACCCTTTACATGGGAAGTGTACGAACAACTGTTCCATGAAGGCAGAGACCTTTTGTATAGGCCAGAGTAGGACCCTTACAGGGACACTGCATTATTAACCTGACACTTTACTTGAACGGGGTCTACATAAGGCATTCATAACATGTTTATGAAATCCTTTATGAGTGCTGTCGTATCATTCATAACACCTTTATTTATCATTTATAACAACATCCATAACACATGCATTCAGCATCATTCACAAGGAGTCTTCAAAATAAAAGTCCCCTGGAATAGATCTTTATCTATTGTACAAAGGAAATGTGTATTATTACTGTCACAGTAATCTATTATGAAACATAACACTGGAGTAGTTCAACCATGTAAGCTTAAGTACTCCGTGTGTACGTATGGGTGGTCCTCTGTAGCTCAATTGGTAGAGCATGGCGCTTGTAACGCCAGGGTAGTGGGTTCGATCCCCGGGACCACCCATACGTACAAATGTATGCACACATGACTGTAAGTCGCTTTGGATAAAAGCGTCTGCTAAATGGCATATTATTATTATTATTATTATTATTATTATTATTATTATTATTATTACGGTAAGCACCGATAACTAGTACACAGACCTAATCATCAACAGCCTCATCCCTCAGACCGTTACCCTTAATACCTCTTAAAGGCATTATGCCCGACAAGAAAAATGAAAATGCCTTGTCCTGTGGCAATTGTTTCCCCGTAAACTATAGATTGAGTATGGATTGAAACGTACCCAGGCAGACATTCAGGTAATGAAGCTGTCACTAGGCCAAGGATGCAAAACAAATGACTTGTTCTTGGTGCAGATCAATAGGAGGGTATATCGTGTGTCGTCGTCTTAGGAGTGGATATTCTCAACAGGAAAATGACATCATATAATTAGCAGACCTGGGTTCAAATTATATTTTTATATTTTCAAATGCTTAAGCTGTGCTTGATCGAGCTTTGAACCAATAGTAAAGTCCCAAAAAGTGCAAGAACCAAGGTCTGATAAGTATAGCTTGATGATCCATTTCCAATTTGTTATGGTACAGTTCAGACAGATGTTATGAGTTTTTCTGCAAGACATATACATTTAGGTCATTTAGCAGGTGCTCTTATCCAGAGCGACTTACATTCAATGAAGGTAGGTAAGACAACCACATACCACAGTCACCGCAAGTAAAACTTTCCTCAATAAAGCTGACAGTGACATCAGCGCTAGTAGGTGTTAGCTAGTGTCATTACAGAATGACCAGAATTACCTTCAAGGCGACACAATAACAGATAGTTACCAGACAGTAGCTATAACAGTACATTTCATTATGCTCATACGTTTATATGTGTTTTATTGTAGGAGATGTTGAAGCTGTCTATCATCGATATGATCTTCACGGTTGCCAGTATCCTGTTGATAGACTTCATCAGAGGGCTGGTGGTCAGGTACCTGAGTGACTGCTGCTGCTGGGACCTGGAAAGCAAGTTTGTACGTACTCAACCGCCATTCTGCCCAGACCTGGGTTCAAAAAGTATTTGTTTACTTTCAAATAGTCTAGCTGTGCTTCACTGAGCTTGCCTGGTGCAATTGAATAGTCCCAAAAGTGCAAATACTGACCTTATGGCACTCCAGGCAAGCTTAAAGTGTTTGAAAGAAAACAACTACTGTTTGAACCCAAGGGTAATTGTTACTTATCGTCTGATTACAGTTGACGTCTGATAAGTGCACTACAGTTTGCAAGTCACAATTGGATGACATGCTTTTTAGTTGCTCCTGATAACTACATGTTCTGGTTTAGTGCATGCCATCACGGCAGTCCCAAGCTGTTGCATTTATCACCAGTCAACTTTATTTTAATAGATTTGACAACGTCATCAAAATATTTTATTAAGTAATTAAAGGTTTTATTAATGTCACTCCTTTATGCTTCCCACCTGGCAGCCTGAGTATGGGGAATTCAAGATAGCTGAGAATGTACTCCACCTGATATATAACCAAGGAATGATCTGGTATGTCACATTCTACTGTATATGTCACATTCTACTGTATATGTCACATTCTACTGTATATGTCACATTCTACTGTATATGTCACATTCTGCTGTATATGTCACATTCTGCTGTATATGTCACATTCTACTGTATATGTCACATTCTGCTGTATATGTCACATTCTGCTGTATATGTCACATTCTACTGTATATGTCACATTCTGCTGTATATGTCACATTCTACTGTATATGTCACTGTCACGTTCGTTGTGTAAAGGATCGGACCAAGGTGCAGCGTGGTATGCGTACATAGTCGTTTATTTTAATAAACACCGACAAAATAACAAAATCCAACAGAACGTGTAGTTCAAGAGGCTAAACATCAAACAAGCCAAACAGAAACAAGATCCCACAACTAAGGTAGGCAACATGGCTGCCTAAGTATGATCCCCAATCAGAGACAACGACCGACAGCTGCCTCTGATTGGGAACCACACCCGGCCAACATAGAAATATGTCAATTAGATTTCACACCCTGACCAACTCAACTAGAGATCTTAATGTCAGGGCGTGTCAGTCACATTCTGCTGTATATGTCACATTCTGCTGTATTTGTCACATTCTACTGTATTTGTCACATTCTACTGTATATGTCACATTCTACTGTATATGTCACATTCTGCTGTATATGTCACATTGTACTGTATATGTCACATTCTACTGTATATGTCACATTCTGCTGTATTTGTCACATTCTACTGTATATGTCACATTCTACGCAGACGACACCATTTTGTATACATCTGGCCCTTCATTGGACACTGTGTTAACAAACCTCCAAACCTTATCTTAGCTCATTGGTCACCTTAGCAACACCCACCCGTAGTATGCGCTCCAGCAGGTACATCTCACTGGTCATCCCCAAAGCCAACACCTCCTTTGGCCGCCATTCCTTCCAGTTCTCTGCTGCCAATGACTGGAACGAATTGCAAAAATCTCTGAAGCTGGAGACTCTTATCTCCCTCACTAACTTTAAGCATCAGTTATCAGAGCACCTTACCGATCACTGCACCTGTACACAGCCCATCTGAAATTAGCCCACCCAACTACCTCATCCCTATATTGTTATTTATTTTGCTCATTTGCACCCCAGTATCTCTATTTGCACATAATCTCTTGCACATCTATCATTCCAGTGTTAATACTAATTGTAATTATTTTGCACTATAGCCTATTTATTGCCTTACCTCCATAACTTGCTACATTTGCACACACTGTATATATATATTTTCTGTTGTATTTTTGACTTTATGTTTTGTTTTACCCCATATGTAACTCTGTGTTGTTGTTTTTATCGCACTGCTTTGCTTTATCTTGGCCAGGTCGCAGTTGTAAATGAGAACTTGTTCTCAACTGGCTTACCTGGTTAAATAAAGGTGAAAAATAAAAAATAAAAATATGTCACATTCTACTGTATATGTCACATTCTGCTATATATGTCACATTCTACTGTATATGTCACATTCTACTGTATTTGTCACATTCTACTGTATATGTCACATTCTACTGTATTTGTCACATTCTACTGTATATGTCACATTCTGCTGTACTGTATATGTCACATTCTACTGTATATGTCACATTCTACTGTATATGTCACATTCTACTGTATATGTCACATTCTACTGTATTTGTCACATTCTACTGTATATGTCACATCCTACTGTATTGTCACATTCTACTGTATATGTCACATTCTACTGTATATGTCACATTCTACTGTATATGTCACTTCTTCTATTCTTTAGTTTTATAGGACAGGAGTTCCACTCAACCTTTCATTTTACATTTTAGTCATTTAGCAGACGCTCTTATCCAGAGCGACTTACAGGAGCAATTAGGGTCAAGTGTCTTTCTCAAGGGCACATCAACAGTTTTTTCACCAAGTCGGCTCGGATTCGAATCAGTGACCTTTCGGTTACTGACCCAACGCTCTTAACCGCTAGCCTACCTGCCGCCGTAGGCATACGTGCTTATTGCTGGGAGTGTTACCCACCCACTCGACCACGACTCGGCACGTATTTGTCTCTTCTGACATAAGCTATTGGTCTTTGCTGTTGAGTTTCAGACAGCACATACAACATAGACAGTAGATGGAACTAGGGCCCAGAGTTCATCCTCAAGTCACATGGCCAGGAAAAACTCAGGTTAGAGATATAACACACTCTCTCACACACTTGCAATTCCATGTTCACTTTATCTAATTTGTTCATAATGCGTGGAACCGTTGTGTAAATTCCTCTGTCTGTATAATGGCTCTAAATGATATCTATGGCTAGCAGCACCATATCACCAAGTGACATTCTGACTGTGTAAATGTACTTGGCTATTAATGGTGATTCTGATTCTAATGTAGAAGGTAATGTGCCCATACTAGCTATAATATATACCCCAATCCTACTATAAAAGGCAACCTTACTAAGGGCAGGACAGCCCCTGACCCAGAGTAATATGCTGTGCTGTGTGTGTGATCTTTCCATTACACACCTCTGTAGTTAGATGGACAGTATTACCTCTGTTCATTCCACACCCGTCATTTCAGAGCTGATCAACTCAATGGTCCGGTAATGTGTTTTATATGGGCTATGAGCCCATACCTGTGTGTGGGGGGGGGGGGGCTGGGAGAAGTCCATTAGGCAGAGTGTAATGCCCTTTCTGGCTTGGCTTCAAGAGGGGGACACCCCCCCCCCCCCACACCCTCTCTCGGGTTCCCTCTTTCCCCTTTCTGTCGCTCTCTCCCAAATCCCTGTCATAAAAATGCATACATTGTCATAATAGTGACATAAACAAAATACTGAAATTTCTAATGTAAGAAATTTAAAAAGGCAAAAACACAAACTGCGTAAAGGGAACCTTGTTGGCTCAGATACATTAAGATAATAACTCCAGACTCCCTCCCCCCTATTCCCCCCCCTTTTTTCTAAATTGGTTTTTAAAATTACTTGTATTAAGGTTTCTGTTTCTAATGTGGGAAGGAAAGAAAATTTCCCAAATGGTTTTAAAAACCCCCCTTTTTTTTTTTTTTTTCCCAATTATGGGCAAACCCCCCCCAAAATTTATGTCTAAGGTGGCCCAAAACACACCTAGGTAAAATGGGTATTAGGGCATCCAACCCGTTTTTTGGCGTTTTTGGGGGGGGGGGGGCCCTTTTTTTTGGGGAAGGGGCTATTCAAGGAAAGTGGGGGGTTTTTGGCCCGGGTTTTAAAAACCCCCCCCCCCCTTTCCCTTTCCCCCTCCTTAGCTTTTCCCCCTTTAAAAAACCCTTTTCTCTTTTTAAAGTGACCCCCCCCCCCCCCCCAAAATCCCAGTTTTCCCCTTTTCCTTTTCCCCAAACCTTTTGTAATTTGTAGTTTTTAATCCCTAAAAAATCCCCTTTTTCCCCTAATGGGGGAAAAAAAAAAAAAAAGGGATAAAAAAAGAAAAAAGAGAAAAAAAAAAAAAAAGAGAAAAAAAAAAAGAGATAAAAAAAAAAGAAAAAGAAAAAAAAAAAAGGGGGAAAAAGAGAATAGGAGAGGAAAAAAGAAGAGAGAGAAAGAAAGACCTTCCTCAATCCCTCTTCTTTTCCAGATTTTTACTTATCACTCTAGAACAGCGCCAGTAGAGAGAGAAGAGAGAGATGTAAATTGTCCCGAATCTAACCCTCCATAACAAGAGAGAATATCCAGAGAGAAGAGAGTCTAGTCTCTTCGTCTTCTCCTATACTCAGCTCTCACATAAAAGATAGCAGGTCATGAGGAGATATAAACAATAATAGGAGAGAAGGAAGACTTTACAAGCAGAACACAAAGAGCGTTGAGGAACCAAGAAACATCAGAAACAAGAGAGAAGGAGAGAGTACTCCTCTACCAAAGATCGTCAGAGAGAATATCGCCTCAGATCAGCGAGAGAGATAGAGTCAAAGCTCATCCTATCTCTATCTCTCTATGATCTCTATCTATCTCTCTCTCCTATCTCTCTCCTCTCTCTCTCTCCTCTCTCTCTGTCTAGGATGGGTGCATTCTTCTCTCCCTGTCTGCCTGCCTTTAACGTGTTGAAGCTGATAGGCTTGATGTACCTGAGGAGTTGGGCTGTGCTCACCTGCAACGTCCCTCACCAACAGGTGTTCAGAGCATCCAGGTCAGGGGCAGAGACACACACACACACAGGCACGCACACACACATACATACAGTGCATTTGGGAAAGTATTCAGACCCCTTCCCTTTTTCCACATTTTGTTACGTTACAGCCTTATTTTAAAATGTATTACATATTTTTTGCAAATGTATAAAAAATAAAATTTACATAAGTATTCAGACCCTTTGCTATGAGACTCGAAATTGAGCTCAGGTGCATCCTGTTTCCATTGATCATCCTTGAGATGTTTCTACAACTTGATTGGAGTCCACCTGTGGTAAATTCAATTGATTAGACATGATATGGAAAGGCACACACCTGTCTATATAAGGTCCCAAAGTTGACAGTGCATATCAGAGAAAAAACCAAGCCATGAGGTCGAAGGAATTGTCCGTAGAGCTCAGAGACAGGATTGTGTCGAGGCACAGATCTGGGGAAGGTTACCAAAAAATGTCTGCAGCATTGAAGGTCCCCAAGAACACAGTTTGGAACCACCAAGACTCTTCCTAGAGCTCCCCCGAGTGCTCTCTCTCTCTCTCTCTCTCTCTCTCTCTCTCTCTCTCTCTCTCTCTCTCTCTCTCTCTCTCTCTCTCTCTCTCTCTCTCTCTCCCTCTTTCTCTCTCTCTCTCCCCCTCTGTAGTACTGATTAATCAATAACAAACAGTACCACAAAAGACTAACATTACATAATAGCATAGTGGTACACTGCCTCTTTTGGACAGTGAGTGGGTCTGATTCACTCTGGGCCTTTAGTCCTGTTCCTGTGGTTCTGGTTCTGTGGTTCTGGTGTCATTACTCCTGTCCTCCCCTCCCACCTGATCTTATTTTCCAGCTCTGTGGAGAGAGAAAACAAAATGAGCCACTGCACTGCTCCCTCCCTCACACACACACACACACACACACACACACACACACACACACACACACACACACACACACACACACACACACACACACACACACACACACACACACACACACACACACACACACACACACGGCCTGCAGCCACTCAGCCCACTCTGATTTATGTAACGAGTCTGTTGCTGCCTCTTTCAGGCCTTATCAGTCACTCCCAGATGTACAGGAAAGTACGCACTCATGCACGCGTGCACGCACACACACACACACACACAGTTATGTAAAACAGCATGATTGTTTAAAAAAATAGCATATAAGTTTATTAAAGAAATAGAATGATATAAAGAAATAGCATGATAGTATATGAAAAATCTATTCCACATATTTTCTTAAGATTACAAAGATAGGATAACTTGAAATAACAAAGAGATACATACACAATATATAAATAAAAATGCCCAAAATAAAAAATAAAATACATTTTTAATTCTGTATTTTACTTCTCTCATTTGTTTCCAGATCAAATAATTTCTACCTGGCTATGCTGTTGTTCATGCTGTTTCTATGTATGCTGCCCACCATCTTTGCCATTGTGAGATACAGACCTTCCCAACACTGCGGGCCATTTAGGTAAACAATTGTTCCTGTGAAGCTCTTTAAACGTGGTGCCCATTTTAAAGTTAGGCCTTGTAAATTAAGGTAATGTAAGCCACACTTTTAATAGGGTTGCAGTACACTGTGTGTGTGTGTGTGTGTGTGTGTGTTTGTAGCCCAAGTGAGTGAGTGTGTGTGTGGACGAGCTAACTCCTATTGAGCACCTTGAAAATGGCTATAAAAGATAAATCCATGATTATTTTATTACCATCACACATCATCATCAGCTGAATAGCTGAAAGCAGTATAATGGCCAAGAAGAAAAGCCTGTATAGCTTTAATTCTGCTGTGCCACTATGCTTCATCCTTTCCTGTAATACAATGGTCCGATTTAGTGTGTGTGTGTGTGTGTGTGTGTGTGTGTGTGTGTGTGTGTGTGTGTGTGTGCTTCCCTGCAGCGGTCAGGAGAAGATTTATGACATAATCTCGGAGACGATAGCCAATGACTTCCCGCTGTGGTTCAGTAAAGTGATGAGTTATGTCACCAGCCCTGTCGTAGCGCTGCCCGCTCTGCTGCTGCTGTTGTGAGTACACACACACACACATGCAGACTCACACACAGGAATGCAGACTCTCTCACACACACCCACAGACTCAGACACACAGACTCACACACACAGACTCACACACACAGACTCACACACACGGACACACACAGACTCACACCCACAGACTCACACACACAGACACACACAGACTCACACACACAGACACACACACACAGACACACACAGACTCACACACACAGACTCACACACACACACACAGACACACACACACAGACACACACAGACTTACACACACAGACTCACACACACACATTATGTCTGTAGCCTGACTTGCTTGATGCATTCGGATTGGTCAAGTTGTTTCACTCTTAGGTAACTCTACCTGTGCCTTTCAGCATGTTGATCAGACATTGTGTCAGTCCTCTTGGGGTAACTCTCTCTGTGTCTTTCAGCATGTTGATATACTACCTTCAGGCCATCGCCAGATCCCTCAAATTCACCAACAACCAGCTGAGGATGCAGCTTCAGACTGTGAGTTCTAGACGCTATTGTTAAAGTTCTCGGATTCAGTCACTATTATACAGTAAAGAAACTTAGAGTGCGTTCCAAATGGCACCCTATTCCCAATACAGTTTACTACTTTTGTCTCTGGTTAAAAGTAGTGGACTACATAGGGAATATGGTGCCATTTGGGATGCATGCTTAGTCTCATGACTGTGTGCTGAACAGAAATGTCTTTGTCAGGAGAGAACAGAAGACAAGAAGAAGGTATTCCAGCTGGCTTCAGGTAAACCTCATCATTTTACTTTGTAGTTGGTTGGTTCTATGTATTCTATATCTACAGTTGAAGTCGGAAGTTTACATACACTTAGGTTGGAGTCATTAAAACTCATTTTTCAACCACTCCACAAATGTCTTGTTAACAAACTATAGTTTTGGCAAGTCGGTTAGGACATCTACTTTGTGCATGACACAAGTCATTTTTCCAACAATTGTTTACAGACAGATTATTTCACTTATAATTCACTGTATCACAATTCCAGTGAGTCAGAAGTTTACATACACTAAGTTGACTGTGCCTTTAAACAGCTTGGAAAATTCCAGAAAATTATGGCTTTAAAAGCTTCTGTACCTGTAGATGTATTTCAAGGCCTACCTTCAAACTCAGTGCCTCTTTGCATGACATCATGGGAAAATCAAAAGAAATCAGCCAAGACCTCAGAATTTTTTTTGTAGACCTCCACAAGCCTGGTTCATCCTTGGGAGCAATTTCCAAACGCCTGAAGGTACCACGTTCATCTGTACAAACAATAGTACGTAAGTATAAACACCATGGGACCACGCAGCCATCATACCGCTCAGGAATCAGGAAGGAGACACGTTCTATCTCCTAGAGATGAACGTACTTTGGTGCGAAAAGTGCAAATCAATCCCAGAACAAAAGCAAAGGACCTTGTGAAGATGCTGGAGGAAACAGGTACAAAAGTATCTATATCCACAGTAAAACGAGTCCTATATCGACATAACCTGAAAGGCCGCTCAGCAAGGAAGAAGCCACTGCTCCAAAACAGCCATAAAAAAGTCAGACTATGGTTTGCAACTGCACATGGGGACAAAGATCATACTTTTTTGAGAAATGTCCTCTGGTCTGATGAAACAAAAATAGAACTGTTTGGCCATAATGACCATCTTTATGTTTGGAGGAAAAAGGGGGCTGCTTGCAAGCCGAAGAACACCATCCCAACTGTGAAGAACAGGGGTGGCAGCATCATGCTGTGGGGGTGCTTTGCTGCAGGAGGGACTGGTGCACTTCACAAAATAGATGGCATCATGAGGAAGGAAAAATATGTGGATATATTGAAGCAACATCTCTAGACATCAGTCAGGAAGTTAAAGCTTGGTCGCAAATGGGTCTTCCAAATGGACAATGACCCCAAGCATACTTCCAAAGTTGTGGCAAAATGGCTTAAGGACAACAAAGTCAAGGTATTGGAGTGGCCATCACAAAGCCCTGACCTCAATCCTATAGAAAATCTGTGGGCAGAACAGAAAAAGCGAGGCCTACAAACCTGACTCAGTTACACCAGCTCTGTCAGGAGGAATGGGCCAAAATTCACCCGACTTACTGTGGGAAGCTTGTGGAAGGCTATCTGAAACGTTTGACCCAAGTTAAACAATTTAAAGGCAATGCTACCAAATACTAATTGAGTGTATTTAAACTTCTGACCCACTGGGAATGTGATGAAACAAATACTGTACAAGCTGAAATAAATAATTATCTCTACTATTATTCTGACATTTCACATTCTTGAAATAAAGTGGTGATCCTAACTGACCTAAAACAGGGAATTTCTACTAGGATTAAATGTCAGGAATTGTGAAAAACTGAGTTTAAACGTATTTGGCTAAGGTGTATGTAAACTTCCGACTTCAACTGTACATCTCCCCTAACCTCTTACCTCTGACCTTTAACCCTTCACCTCACTTGACTATTAACCTTTGACCAATAAAGTTTTGAACTTTTGAACACTTAAGCTATAATCCCTGACCTGTAACAGCTGACCTTTGACCCCCACCCACAGCGAGGCTACAGGCCACGGAGGTCCCTGGCGGGGACAGGAAGCCTGACCAGCAGGACAGTGACATCACCAGCCGCGAGTCGTCCATTCGCACGCCGTCGCCCCGACGCAACGGCAGCGTCACAAACTTCCAGTCGCCTGATCGACACGGCAACGGCATCCGCACCATCACCCAGTCGGCATCGAGGGCCGAGATCGCTAGGGCGACGGCTGCTGCTGGGGCGTCTAGAAGTCCAACAGTGTCCATACTGCACAAGCAAAGGCCGGAGCACATTCCTAACAGGTGTGTCACACACACACACATATATTGTGTTATTCTGTCTGGTCAGTCATGGGCTTTAATACAGTCCTCTACAGGTGTGTCTACAGGAGGATTAAGGGTTGGCGTCCATGTTGTTAGTCCTAAATAATCCTCTGAAGGGGGATTCCAGCACCTAGTCCAAAGTTTAAACTTAGTCTCCCATTAACATCAATGCATGACTAAGTGAAAATTAGAAGTCAGGATTCGCCCCTAAGAAATTTAGTGGGATTCCACCTCAATGCTTTCACTCATCAAGTCAGATTAGTGGTCATGAAAGGAAAAGTGTAGTTTTCTACAACAGTAGCTAATAAGCAGTGGGTATTTAAATCCTACTAAAGTCCCTTTTGGCATACTATGGCCTGGAGTACTGTCACTACTAAAGGAATCAACGATACACAGCATCAGTAGTATTTGTTACCGTAATGATGCAAGTTGAAGTGGTCTCTTATTACGACCACATAGTTTACCATCTGTATTTCCCTCTGTCACCACAGACACCCTGCCTACCTGGGAGGCCCTAGCGGTACCTGCAGGTCCAAGTCCTACCACCATGTGGCCTACAACCCCCCGACACGCTACTCCTCAGAGAACATCCACTCCGACCCCCTCTTCAGGAAGACCATCAGGCCCATGCACCCCACAGAGGCAGCTGGGATAGTGACCGCCCAGAGCTACGTGGGCCGTCGCCCCCACACCACGCGCTACGTCATCGTCAACGAGCACGAAGCTAGGAAAAAGCTGCTTCGATCCACCACGCGCGTCCCTCGCCACTTCCGAGCGGAGGACCCGGTGGGTGAGATCGTGGAGCTGATCCCGCGGAATATCAAGCGGTATACTCCAAGGGCTCCGCATCTGCATGGGCACCCGCATAGGTCGAATCCGCCGCAGTCGCACCTGAGTGAGGAAGAGGAGGAGGAAGAGGGAGGGGGGAAGAGGGAGTCTAGGAGGGGGTTGTTCGGGCAGACGCACCGGCCCCGCTCGCTCTCCGACCTCCATCAGCCGGCGCGCTTCTACATCGGAGAGCGCCTGGAGAGCAAGTTGTCTATGGCACCGAAAGACAGCCACACCGCTAGGGGGCGCTACGGCGGTGAAGCCCAAGAAGGGGACTGGGAGGATATGGAGACGCGCTTGCACTCCCTCTCCCAGACCAGCATCAGAGGAGCCGAGCTTCCACCACCAGTCAGGCACACACAGTCCCCGGCCAGACACTCCCACTCCCCGGGCAGACTCGCACACTCTTCCCCCCAGGGCCCTGGAAGACGCCTGGAGCTCCAGGTCAAACCCAAGACGTCCAGGTCGAAGATGGAGCCTTCCCTGACTGAGTCGGACTCGGCCTCTCTGGCCTCCAGTAGCGACCAGCAAAACAGCAGCACAGACCAGTACATCCAGGTCATTCACAACAAGGAGAAGTACCTCAAGTCTGAGGCCAGGCAAGGCAAGCTGGCTAAGAAGAAGTCCAAAGCCAGTATAGACACCAACGTGTCTGGGTCCAAAGAACTGGTCTGCTCCAATGTGTAGTTTGTGTATTTGTATTGTGAATCTATCTATGTTTATTTAACCTTTATTAATCCATGTAAGTTATTGAAAGCAAATTATATTTTACAATAACGACCTGTAGAGTTAATTATTTTGCAATGGGTTACATTAAGTCGTATTGTAAACCACAGAAAAAGTGAATAGCCCATTCATGGCTAATGCTATACTTTGTTTGTGTGTGTTAACAAAAAGCTCTATGTGCATAACATGCATAATATATTATATGCTCACATTGTCATGGATACTGTATTTGCTCTCAATAAAATAAATATAATGGTCAATGGTCCATAATAGTGTACCTAAGCATCAGATCGTTTTGTTCTACGCTAAGGTTATTGGTATGGCACTTGATGTTTGTTTTAGGGTTATCACAAACAGGTGTTGTTATATTGGCTATTGTGTGTGTACATTACATTGTACCAAGCAAACATGGCCTTCAACTCAATAAAACGATGATACTGTAGTAAAGTATGATGTGTAACATGTATAACACCTTAGGATATGTATAAAGTACATTTAGAAAAGGAATACCATGTCGATGATAACTTCCAGACCAAAAGTGGCCTGAGCAGGGACGGCTTGTTCAATAGGGCGATATGGGCGACGCACTGCCAAACGGGAAAAGGAAGGGATTTTTTTTCTAATCAATTATATCACGGCAACAGCAGTTATCAGTGTTCACGTCTGATCTGCCAGCCACTAAATGTCAAATCAGGCTAAAGTCGTGCTTCAAATGGCCCCGCCCGTTTTTGGGGCGATTTCAGTCAAGTTGAAAATCGCCCAGAAGTCTCTCATAGCCTGTCATGTAAAATCTATTTTTTTCACATTTCAAAGCTTTCAATACATTCTCTATGGGTGTCTGTGGGCTTGCACTTACGCGCTTTCGTCATACGTGACGTAACGTTGAACGTAACTAAGACAATGGCGGCTAGAAGCGTCTCTGTTGCGACCTGCAGTGCGGCGTTATTTTATGTTTTTAATTTGTAGACTTAGTTTACAAACATTCTGCCAACCATGGATTTCCAGTGGTTGGTTTTGGACTGATCTTGTTGATCGTGTACATACCCGCTACGAACGGACTAAATAATGAAAACGCTGCTGGCAGCTGAATCCCAATACAGCTGGGAGACTTGGCTGGATGAGTCCCGGACAGAGAAGTGGAGCCGGCCACCTTCACCCTGGTCAGAGCGGACCGCGATCCTGGTAAGAGAGCGACTCTGTACCCCGACATTGAACTGCTTTCTGTGTCATTGCGACCTTACTATCAATTCAATTCAATTTAAGGGCTTTATTGGCATGGGAAACGTGTGTTAACATTGCCAAAGCAAGGGAAGTAGATAGTAAACAAAAGTGAAATAAACAATAAATATTAACAGTAAACATTACACTCAGAAGTTTCAAAAGAATAAAGACATTTCAAATGTCATATTATGTATATATACAGTGTTGTTACAATGTGCAAATAGTTAAAGTACAAATGGGAAAATAAATAAACATAAATATGGGTTGTATTTACAATGGTGTTTGTTCTTCACTGGTTGCCCTTTTCTTGTGGCAACAGGTCACAAATCTTGCAGCTGTGATGGCACACTGTGGTTTTTCACCCAGTAGATAAGGGAGTTTATCAAAATTGGGTTTGTTTTCGAATTCTTTGTGGATCGCTGTAATCTGAGGGAAATATGTGTCTCTAATATGGTCATACATTTGGCAGGAGGTTAGGAAGTGCAGCTCAGTTTCCACCTCATTTTGTGGGCAGTGTGCACATAGCCTGTCTTCTCTTGAGAGCCAGGTCTGCCTACGGCGGCCTTTCTCAATAGCAAGGCTATGGTCACTGAGTCTGTACATAGTCAAAGCTTTCATTAAGTTTGGGTCAGTCACAGTGGTCAGGTATTCTGCCACTGTGTACTCTCTGTTTAGGGCCAAATAGCATTCTAGTTTGCTCTGTTTTTTTGTTTGTTCTTTCCAATGTGTCAAGTAATTCTCTTTTTGTTTTCTCATGATTTGGTTGGGTCTAATTGTGTTGTTGTTGTTGTTGTTGTTGTTGTCCTGGGGCTGTGTGGGGTCTGTTTGTGTTTGTGAACAGAGGCCCAGGACAAGCTTACTTAGGGGACTCTTCTCCAAGTTCATCTCTCTGTAGGTGATGGCTTTGTTATGGAAGGTTTGGGAATCGCTTCCTTTTAAGTGGTTACTATCTGCCCCGTGAGTTCCCCCAATTGTTTGTTACCGTTGTGTACTGTTGATAATCACAAGTTTACTGGAGAACTGAGACCAAGTAGAGACTTTGGACAGGGTGGATATGGTATAATAAAGGCAGTTTATTCAGAGGTAAAGATATCTGGAATCGCGTGCACGGACTCGTGCACGTGTGTAGGTCACCTAAATCATCAGAAAAATTGCCCCTCCTGAGAATTTTTTCAGGAGCCGCCACTGGGCCTGAGTCTGCTCTGTGGGTGGAGAGAAAAAATACTTGACAGATGAACAGATGTGTTTCGATAACTGATTGTCGTTGCAATAAGAACATTGAAGTATAAATTGTTCTCACCCATTCTATCTCACCCTAACTATCCATTTCAAACTACAATTCCCAGCATTCACTTCAACACAGTTCCAAGCTTCCAACCAATCAGAAAGCATACTTTTTCACATTAATTTTTTCATCAGTTGATGGGAAAACGGCCAGCTAGCCTGCTGGCTAAATAAGCTGCATATTTACTACACATTCGTATTAGATGTTTATGACAATCAATATTTATTTTTAAGCAGATCTGTTGATGGTTGCCAGATGTGGCTATCTTACTGACTTCAGGAACCTCGCGGCTAACTATAATGCCAGTCTTTCATTCAATCTTTTCATTAGCTAACGTTAGCTAGCTAACGTTACTGTAAATGGTCTTATATTGGCGTGTGTGGCTATCTGTTACTAAACGTAACTGTCTCATATTCTACACTTCATAATCTACGCTAACTAGTTATCTTGTGTGTCAGTCTACATCCATCCATTTGGAATCACGGCTAATGTTAGCTAGGGAACTAGTCGGTTAGCCTGACAGCTGGCTAGCTAGTTGAACAGGTTGCAAGACCTCCATCTTCACATCTGCCTGGCGGACTCAACAAGCATGGATTACCAGCACAGAGCGAATGCAGTTGGGGATTGTCTTTTGAGTTACACAAAGGACGAGTCTGGGTGGAAAGTCTGCAAGAAATCGGTGCGTAATGTTCTAGGTAGCAATATTAATATTTGATCATCACAGGTGACGTGCCTTTCCGTGCACCGTGTTAACAGCTCCATTTTGCTGTGTCATTGTAAATAACATAGCTAGGTAAATGCAGTGGGTGACAACAGCAACCAATGTTTTGTTTTTGACAAATGTCCATTTTTAGAATGACGTCATCGTGTCCTGGCGGCCTTCGACTGAGTTCCCTGGAAATGTGTAAGTATAAGTTATTCTCCTTAGCAAGTCTAAATCATTCGTTTCTACATTTTTGTATAGGATTGGAAGCAAGTTTTCACAATCTTATCTCCGGAGAGTCTTTAATGTTACTGCTTAACAGGGGTACCTAGTTCCTGTCAAGGCTATCTCCAACAGAACTGACAGCATCAGTTATTGATAAACTGTTGGACTGATCAATTGTTACTAAGTTCATCTTCAGCTGTGTATCATAATGGTCTAATGAGGCCTACTTTCCCCCTCCTCAACCTGTTTCCTTCAGCTGCATTGATGTGAAAAAACGGAGAAACAAATATCCACCATCTTGCTTTTACCATTCCTGTTTTGAGTTCAGTGCAGATGAAGGAGAGAACATGGAGATGGAGCAACGTTAGACTGTTAATTAAGATACACCCCAGGATTGGTGCTATAACACCCAGGGCTGGCTTCCCAGACACAGATTAAGCCTAGTCCTGGACTAAAAAGCATTCTTAATGGAGAATCTCCATTGACAGTACTTTTTAGTTGAGGACTGGGCTTAATCGGTCTCTGGGGAAACCGGAAACCACCCCCCAAGTAGACCTATCTCTACATGTGTTATGTTTGACAGGTATTAGGGTTAGTGGTGTTCTGTCTGTCTCTACATGTGTTGTGTCTGACAGGTACAGTGCATTCAGAAAGGATTTAGACCCCTTCACTTTTTCCACATTTTGTTACGTTACAGCCTTATTCTAAAATGGATTAAATTGTTTTTTTTCCATCAATCTACACACAATACCCAATAATGACAAAGCAAAAACATGATTTTATAAATTATTGCAAATGTATTCAAAATAAATAAAAATATCACATTTACATAAGTATTCAGACCCTTTACTCAGTACTTTGTTGAAGCACCTTTGGCAGCGATTACAGCCTCAAGTCTTCTTTGGTATGACGCTACAAGCTTGGCACACCTGTATTTGGGGAGTTTCTCCCATTCTTCTCTGCAGATCCTCTCAAGCTCTGTCAGGTTGGATGGGGAGCGTCGCTGCACAGCTATTTTCAGGTCTCTCCAGAGATGTTAGATCGGGTTCAAGTCTGGGCTCTGGCTGGGCTACTCAAGGACATCAGAGACTTGTCTCGAAGCCACTCCTGCATTGTCTTGGATGTGTGCTTAGGGTCATTGTCCTGTTGGAAGGTGAACCTTCGCCCCAGTCTGAGGTCCTGAGTGCTCTGGACGAGGTTTTCATCAAGGATCTCTCTATACTTTGCTCCGTTAATCTTTCCCTCGATCCTGACTAGTCTCCCAGTCCCTGCCGCTGAAAAACATCCCCACAGCATGATGCTGCCACCACCATGCTTCACCATAGGGATGGTATTGGCCAGGTGATGAGCTGTGCCTGGTTTCCTCCAGATGTGACGCTTGGCATTCAGGCCAATGAGTTCAATCTTGGTTTCATCAGACCAGAGAATATTGTTTATCATGGTCTGAGAGTCCTTTAAGTGCCTTTTTGCAAAGTGCAAGTGGGCTGTCATGTGCCTTTTACTGAGGAGTGGCTTAAGTCTGGCCACTCTACCATAAAGGCCTGATTGGTGGTGCTGCAGAGATGGTTGTCCTTCTAGAAGGTTCTCCCATCTTCACAGAGGAACTCTGGAGCTCTATCAGAGTGGCCATCGGGTTCTTGGTCACCTCCCTGACCAAGGCCCTTCCCCCCCGATTGCTCAGTTTGGCTGGGCAGCCAGCTCTAGGAAGAGTCTTGGTGGTTCCAAACTTCATCCATTTAAGAATGATGGAGGCCACTGTGTTCTTGGGGACCTTCAATGCTGCAGAAATGTTTTGGTACCCTTCCCCAGATCTGTGCCTCGACACAATCCTGTCTCGGAGCTCTACGAACAATTCCTTTGACCTCATGGCTTGGTTTTTACTCTGACATGAACTGTCAACTTATACAGACAGGTGTGTGCCTTTCCAAATCATGTCCAATCAATTTAATGTACCACAGGTGGACTCCAATCAAGTTGTAGAACATCTCAAGGATGACCAATGGAAACGGGATGCACCTGAGCTCAAATTTGAGTCTCATAGCAAATGGTCTGAATACTTATGTAAATAAGGTATTTCTGTTTTTTATTTTTAATACATTTGCAAAAAAATCTAAAAGCCTGTTTTTGCTTTGTCATTATGGGGTATTGTGTGTAGATTGATGAGGATTTTTATTTATTTAATCAATTTTAGAATAAGGCTGTAACAGAATGAAGAAAAAGTGAAGAGGTCTGAATACTTTCCGAAGAGTTAGGGTTAGTGGTGTTCTGTCTATCTCTACATGTATTGTGTCTGACAGGTATAAGGGGGAGTCGGTGGTGAAGGGAAGTCCAGAGAAGGTATGGGAGTGTCTGAAGCCAGTGCCCAACGGACTGCGGGTGAAATGGGACAACAATGTCAAGAAGTTTGAGCTCGTAGAGCAAGTCACCGAGGTAGGCTAAGTTTCAAACCAATGGACCAAACTACAGTGGCTTGTGAAAGTATTCACCCCCCTTGGCATTTTTCCTATTTTGTTGCCTTACAACCTCCAATTAAAATTGATTTTTTTGGGGGGGTTGTATCATTTGATTTACACAACATGCCTACCACTTTGAAAGATGCAATCTTTATTTTAATTTTTTGTGAAACAAGAAATAAGACAAAAATACAGAACTTGAGCGTGCATAACTATTCACCCCCCCAAAGTCAATACTTTGTAGAGCCACCTTTTGCAGCAATTACAGCTGCAAGTCTCTTGGGGTATGTCTCTATAAGCTTGGCACATCTAGCCACTGGGATTTTTGCCCATTCTTCAAGGCAAAACTGCTCCAGCTCCTTCAAGTTGGATGGGTTCCGCTGGTGTACAGCAATCTTTAAGTCATACCACAGATTCTCAATTGGATTGAGGTCTGGGCTTTGACTAGGCCATTCCAAGATATTTAAATGTTTCTTCTTAAACCACTCAAGTGTTGCTTTAGCTGTCCTGCTGAAAGGTGAACCTCTGTCCCAGTCTCAAATCTCTGGAAGACTGAAACAGGTTTCCCTCAAGAACTTCCCTGTATTTAGCGCCATCCATCATTCCTTTAATTCTGACCAGTTTCCCAGTCTCTGCCGATGAAAAACATCCCCACAGCATGATGCTGCCACCACCATGCTTCACTGTGGGGATGGTGTTCTCGGGGTGATGAGAGCTGTTGGGTTTGCGCCAGACGCGTTTTCCTTGATGGCCAAAAAGCTCAATTTTAGTCTCATCTGACCAGAGTACCTTCTTCCATATGTTTGGGGAGTCTCCCACATGCCTTTTGGCAAACACCAAACGTGTTTGCTTATTTTTTTCTTTAAGCAATGGCTTTTTTCTGGCCACTCTTCTGTAAAGCCCAGCTCTGTGGAGTGTACGGCTTAAAGTGGTCCTATGGACATATACTCCAATCTCCGCTGTGGAGCTTTGCAGCTCCTTCAGGGTTATCTTTGGTCTCTTTGCTGCCTCTCTGATTAATGCCCTCCTTGCCTGGTCCGTGAGTTTTGGTGGGCGGCCCTCTCTTGGCAGGTTTGTTGTGGTGCCATATTATTTCCATTTTTTAATAATGGATTTAATGGTGCTCCATGGGATGTTGAAAGTTTCTGATATTTTTTATAACCCAAACCTGATCTGTACTTCTCCACAACTTTGTCCCTGACCAGTTTGGAGAGCTCCTTGGTCTTCATGGTGCCCCTTGCTTAGTGGTGTTGTAGACTCTGGGGCCTTTCAGAACAGGTGTATATATACTGAGATCATGTGACAGATAATGTGACACTTAGATTGCCCACAGGTGGACTTTATTTAACTAATTACAGTGGGGGAAAAAAGTATTTAGTCAGCCACCAATTGTGCAAGTTCTCCCACTTAAAAAGATGAGAGAGGCCTGTAATTTTCATCATAGGTACAAGTCAACTATGACAGACAAAATGAGAAAAAAAAATCACATTGTAGGATTGTTAATGAATTTATTTGCAAATTATGGTGGAAAATAAGTATTTGGTCAATAACAAAAGTTTCTCAATACTTTGTTATATACCCTTTGTTGGCAATGACACAGGTCAAACGTTTTCTGTAAGTCTTCACAAGGTTTTCACACACTGTTGCTGGTATTTTGGCCCATTCCTCCATGCAGATCTCCTCTAGAGCAGTGATGTTTTGGGGCTGTCGCTGGGCAACACGGACTTTCAACTCCCTCCAAAGATTTTCTATGGGGTTGAGATTTGGAGACTGGCTAGGCCACTCCAGGACCTTGAAATGCTTCTTACGAAGCCACTCCTTCGTTGCCCGGGCGGTGTGTTTGGGATCATTGTCATGCTGAAAGACCCAGCCACGTTTCATCTTCAATGCCCTTGCTGATGGAAAGAGGTTTTCACTCAAAATCTCACGATACATGGCCCCATTCATTCTTTCCTTTACACGGATCAGTCGTCCTGGTCCCTTTGCAGAAAAACAGCCCCAAAGCATGATGTTTCCACCCCCATGCTTCACAGTAGGTATGGTGTTCTTTGGATGCAACTCGGCATTCTTTGTCCTCCAAACACGACGAGTTGAGTTTTTACCAAAAAGTTATATTTTGGTTTCATCTGACCATATGACATTCTCCCAATCCTCTTCTGGATCATCCAAATGCACTCTAGAAAACTTCAGACGGGCCTGGACATGTACTGGCTTAAGCAGGGGGACACGTCTGGCACTGCAGGATTTGAGTCCCTGGCGGCGTAGTGTGTTACTGATGGTAGGCTTTGTTACTTTGGTCCCAGCTCTCTGCAGGTCATTCACTAGGTCCCCCCGTGTGGTTCTGGGATTTTTGCTCACCGTTCTTGTGATCATTTTGACCCCACAGGGTGAGATCTTGCGTGGAGCCCCAGATTATCAGTGGTCTTGTTTGTCTTCCATTTCCTAATAATTGCTCCCACAGTTGATTTCTTCAAACCAAGCTGCTTACCTATTGCAGATTCAGTCTTCCCAGCCTGGTGCAGGTCTACAATTTTGTTTCTGGTGTCCTTTGACAGCTCTTTGGTCTTGGCCATAGTGGAGTTTGGAGTGTGACTGTTTGAGGTTCTGGACAGGTGTCTTTTATACTGATAACAAGTTCAAACAGGTGCCATTAATACAGGTAACAAGTGGAGGACAGAGGAGCCTCTTAAAGAAGAAGTTACAGGTCTGTGAGAGCCAGAAATCTTGCTTGTTTGTAGGTGACCAAATACTTATTTTCCACCATAATTTGCAAATAAATTCATAAAAAATCCTACAATGTGATTTTCTGGATTTTTTTTTCTCAATTTGTCTGTCATAGTTGACATGTCCCTATGATGAAAATTACAGGCCTCTCATCTTTTTAAGTGGGAGAACTTGCACAATTGGTGGCTGACTAAATACTTTTTTTCCCCACTGTATGTGACTTCTGAAGGTAATTGGTTGCACCAGATCTTATTTAGGACCTTCCTAGCAAAGGGGGTGAATACATAAGTTATTTTTTTCATTTCACTTCACCAATTTGGAGTATTTTGTGGATGTCCATTACATGAAATCCAAATAAAAATCCATTTAAATTACAGGTTGTAATGCAACAAAATTGGAAAAACGCCACGAGGGATGAATACTTTTTCAAGGCACTGTATCCTCACAGTCAGTCACAATTCAGTTGTTTTCCCCATCATCATCTAGGTTCTGAGTTTGCTTTAGAGAGTTGTCACTGATCATTTGATTCATTTGTTTCTCGATTGATTCTTAGTTATCATTCCTCACTCACTCACTCACAAACAAATCACAACTGAATAGCTGCTTTGTCATCCATTCTTGCTGTATAGTTCTGTCTACTCCTGTACTGCCCCAACTTTGTTGATAATGCTCAGGGGTTTTTGGAAGTGAGTTTTACCTGACCTCTATCGGACTTCCTGGTTACGTGAAGGTTAAATAAGTTACCCAAGCAACCAAAGTGTGTCATCCAGTTTGTTCATGGTTTTGATTCCTGTTTCCTAAAGGGCACCTGCCAGCGACCGTCACACCCACAGCCCCAACGCAGCACTCCTATCCTTTGTTCTCTATTCCATTAGTCACGTTCATGTTTATTTGCTTTGGGACGAACACAAGTACAGGGACATGATCAGTAGGAAAACGTAGATAAATTATCATGGATAGAACTGATGCGATACCTTATTCTGCAGGTCGGAGGGGTACTTTTGTCGTGTCCTGTTGAACGAGGCCCAGTGTTTATCTTGTGGAATGTTGCACTTAGAAATGTCATGGATAGAACTGATGCGATGCCTTATTCCGCTTATCAGAGGGGTTCTTGTTTCATTCTACTTGGTATATTTCTATATGAACATTTCCACCACGCTGTGTCCTGCTGAGCGAGGCCCAGTGTTTACCTGCCTAGTCTCTCCCCCTCTCACACAGAACATCACTGTCTGCCGAACAGTCACTCCCTCAGCAGCCATGGGCATCATAGCCCCCAGAGACTTTGTCGATGTTATTCTAGTGAAGCAGTACGACGACGGCACCATTACATCCAATGGTGCGTAACGCCTCAATCTCTCCTTTTACTTCCTTCTGTCTTTTCTCTCTTATATTTTTGAATATTTCTCTAACTAACAATGTATTATTTAACTACATTTCTCTACTGACTCAATTCCACATTTCTATTGAAGTGTAGCTCTGTAGTCTTCTCTCCTTGGAAGACCACACAGACCTGGGGTTTTATATGAGCAACTGTTTCCTTTTTTTTTTTTTTGTAGGCTATTTTTATTGAACATTGAGACATTTACAGAGCACATAACAGCTCAGATATTAAGAAATATAAAGGGATAATAGGTATTCTAACAACAACAAAAACAAATCAAGACAATAAAATGAATGATATACAAAGAAAAGAAAATCAAACACCGGGATGCACAGACACACCACACCATCAGCAGTAGGCTGAAATCAGAGTAAAGTACAAGAGGAACTCTTGTCACTAATGCAGTGGTAGTGTGTGGATGATGTAGCCTAATCATCAGCCATAACCCTCAGAGCGAGGCTGGCTGGGTGGGAATCTCTGGGCCAGACAACTTATCTTATCCACTGCCCCAGACTGAGGCCTAGGCCTAATCATCCATGTCGAAATGTGGGTCGTGTTCAGTAGGCACGAAAAGGAAGAAAATGCTCAAACTGTGATGTACTAGGTCCAATAAGAAAGACTTGGTTATGTATTCCGTTGCAAAATGTTTTGCTACAGTGTGCCCAAGATGAGATACCTATATGTGTTTTACCTTCACTATCAGTGTACTAAGTAACATGATGTGATAGATTGAATGATATGTACACACAATTGCATCCTCATATGTTCTCTCCCTGTGTTCTGTCCGTTAGCCACCCACGTGAGCCACCCCAGCTGCCCTCCCCAGTCAGGATACGTGAGGGGCTTCAACCACCCCTGTGGCTGCATCTGTGTCCCCATCTCTGGGTGAGTCATGCTCTGAGACACGCTTCTCTGTTTCACACTATTGTCGTTGTCTGATGAAAACCTCATCTCCAAAACAAACTTTTCAGGATATTGAAAAAATGACCATATTTTCCCATTAACGAACATACAATTATGAAACTTCAGAAGCTATTTTGAATACATTTTCTTGGTCCTAGAGTCATTACATTTTCTGAGTACAATGTTCAGAGTACATTTCATATTTATTTATGCATAAATTGAGTTACAAGGTTTGCAACATTCTCAACATTGTGTTCAGTTCTGTGAGAACCAAGGACGTTTTTGTAGAGGCAATTGTCCGTCACAGGAGGGCAGTAGAGAGCTAAACATCAGTTGAAGCACTGTCTTACTCTATAATGTGCACAGCAACAGGTTTGATTTGTGCATCTTCTCACTCTCTCATTATCTAACATGACCACCTGTCTTGATAGCTATGTGGCTGAAGAAGCACTTTCTAATATTGTTCATAAAGTATAGTGTAAATGCAACGTCTCTGTCTCTCCCAGGGAGCCGAACAAAACACAGCTGTTCAGTTTCTTCCAGACGGATCTGGGGGGCTTCCTGCCTCGCTCCGTGGTCGACTCCTTCTTCCCATCCAGCATGGTGGAGTTCTACAGCAACCTGGCCAAGGCCGTCAAGTCCCTCAAGGATCACTGATACACTCATACTATACCTTCCCTTAGCCCTGGTCCCAGATCTGTTTGTGCTCCATAACCAACTCCTGGCAACAGGCGGTACTCAGATCTAGGACCAGCCTTCAGGGGGACCAAAAAACACAGTGATTAGCTATGAATCGCTTTTTACCTGAAAGGGATAGATGGATCTAAATGGATTTTTTAAAATCCTTATTGAGAGCAAGGGGCACACCTCCCCACACCTATGAGCTAAATCATATATTTCTAGACTAAAACTAAGGATTGTGTTGTTTCATGAGTCAATAAATAATGTTATATCAACCATACAGGCAACACTCAAGCCAAAAATGTAGATAAACAATTAGCAACTAAACTTCTGTACAGCCTCTTTAAAAGAGTGGCCACCTGGCCTTGGCTTGGAGCAACTGTATCCTAAGAGCATACTGGTTCAAAGGGAGATGATATTGGATGACATGAGGGAAGGAAGGAGTGCAGCTTGATTGTCCCAGCACTAACACAGCTGATTTCAGGTCGTTGAGGTCTTGGTTAATTTGTGTAATAATGGTGTGTTAGTGCTGGAGCAAAAGCCTGCACCCCTGGTGCTGTTGCTCTCTAGGACCAGGTCTGGTGGCCACTGTCTTACAAAAAGGTGGGAGGGTCTGTTCTAATTTCATTCATTTAACTCTGGAAAAAGATTGAATATGAATTTCTCATAGAGGTTCATGGGTAGTTTTCTTGAATTGAAGCGATTGAAATGGAATTGACCTTAGCCCTGATGTTAAAGGTGCAATCTGTATGTTATTTCTCCCCCCTATTGTAACAAGAATGAGTACAAACACCATCATGAACCCACCCCACAAAAACACACGTTACATTATTGGACATAATGTAGTTCCTGTTCATGAACCCCCCCACCAATTCCCACCCCAAAATAATGAGAATAGATTTGAAATCTATATTTTGTATATTATGTAGACACACGGAGGATATGTCCTCCTTCCCTTTTGTACTGTTGCTGTTGAATACAGTCCATTCCGTTACACTGGCTGAATCCTACCTACAGTAACATGCATGTTGCATGGACCTTACAGGAACCCCAGAATGGAATCGGATTCCATTGGGACGAGTCATACCTCATTTTTTGTTGTCCTTTGTATACAGTAGTACTGTACTTGAAATGTTCCAGTTTAATCTGTCTCCACAGCCCTTTAACCGATACCTTAAAGATGGAATCCGCAGTAGGGGGAAACGGCGCCACAACCATTGTTATTGTATTTGTTGCCGAGCTGAGGAGCGTCGCGCAGCATGATAAAAAAAATTTTGCAGTACATATTGTGGTCTTCTATTGCGCGTGCAATGATGCCTGAGATGGAAAAAAACTATGTTTGTTGTTTGCAGTAACTGGAAAGAGTTATGGACATGGCTGTTTTACCATTATGGATTCCAGCTTTAACCAATAACCTTTAGAGGGTGTATATACAGCCGGCAGATGGTTTCTGGTTACAATAACCCAGCCCCTCAACTCTATCCTATTCCTAACCTTGACATCTGCTGGCTGTATATACACCTAACCTCCAAGCATGGATTCCTGCCTCAGTTACTTTTCTCCATGTAGTATGTAGATGTCAAACACAGAACACAGAATTATTCTTAAGCAAAGGTATTTGCAGTATGTATGGGCAAATGGCAATATGAACAGCTTCATCTAATGAAGAATGTACAAAGGGACCTCCGCTAGAGTAGACATGGTATTTGTCCCATAAGGCTCTGGTCAAAAGTAGTGCACTATATAGGGAGTAGGGTGCCATTAGGGACAGCCCTGGAGTCCCAACATATTTTTAAGCACAGCAGCAGCATAGGACTGCCATATTCTGGGATCAGCTGTGAGTAGTGTGCCATTTTACACTGTAAAGAAACATATTACCAGCATAGAGTTGAGAAAACCACTGTCTTTGGTATGGCACAAGAGGGCATGGCCTTCCATCTAGGGCAGGGTGCGTCTCAATAGCTTATTGTTTTGTGGAGGAAGCCTCTTCAGAGTATTGAGATATATCCCTATCAGGTGGAGAGGAAGCCTCTTCAGAGTATTGAGATATAGCCCTAGAATGTGTCTTCACAGTGCTGGACAGTCAACCATCTGCATGCCTGCTGAGTCCTCTACATGTATGATGATAAGCCATTTTACTAATAATGTTTTAAGATCAATCTTTTTTTCCTCGTGGTTAAGTTTCCTTTTGAAATGAAAACGCACTACTAAACTTCCTCTCTTATCCCGAGTGGATATTAACCTTAACTGACAAACCTTTACAAGTGCATTGCATTCCACCTCATTCACAACCATGTCCTATATGCTTGCTTTTTTAAGTCATCATTTGCCTTTTGTTGGTGTAATACTATTAAGGCATTGTTTTGATGTGTGTTGTTGTACTGTAACCGGAGGCTGAAGATCATACCTACCTACAGTGTATTGCTGTCTTAACGTCAGAGTACACACATTGTCTATTGGTGGCTTGTTTTTTAAATTTACTCGATAATGCATTTTGCGGCAGATGTATGTTTTAGGGTACGTGTTGAATGCTGTCTGTTGTCCTCAACTCCTGATTGGGGAAAAAACAGCTGCTATGGAAAATGGCTGCTATCGAAATATACTATTAGTTAAGTTGTCAATGAAAGCAACACAGGAAAATAACAGGGGTTTTTAGGTAATTTTTCCAACATTTCCAAGTTTTCCAGAAATTTAATTTGGAAGATTCCTGGAATAAACAGGGAATCTGGAAATCCTCCAACCAGGATTTCTGGAAAACCTGTGAAATTGGGGAAAGTTACCAGAATTTTGCAACCCTAATCTTAACCTGCACTCTACTGTACTGTATACTGTGTGTTCCACCCAGCAGATTTTGTATTTCACCAGCATCTGCATTAAAAATGACTGACGGTTACATCCAATGTTGTCCTTCTTCCTTGTCGTATTATATTACCATCACCACAAGTAGGAAAATGATTATACCCACTACACAAATTCACCGGCTGTTTTTCAAAGACCGGAGAAGAGAAGTGGTGGATTACACAATGATGGATGAATAATGGTTACTCAACTTTCCCAGAAGTCATGTTTGGAAGCTCCCAAAATCAGAAGGGAATAAGCAGGAAATGCAGAATCCTCCAACCAGGATTTCTGGAAAACCTGGGAATTTTGGGAAAGTTAAAGTCGTTTTGCCTACAACTCTCATAGTCTCATTAACTGAGTGATAAATGCATCTGTTCGTTCCATATGAAGTCAAATAACTATATAGGTTTTAAAATGTGAATGGTTATTGGCACAACAGTCTTGTGAATAAACTTTTGAAACATACACATACAGATCGACAGACAGATTGGATTAAATTATTTTATTAATATAATGTATCTTGAGGAAAAAGCTTTAGTACCAATATTATACAGAGTTTTAAGTATCTATATTCCAATAGATTTTGGTACAAAATGTTCACACCCTGTGTTTTTCCTCGATATCAAATTAGGTGACAAAACAAGGTGAACATTTGCTCCAGTTTAGTTATATCTTTGGTTTGACTCATTGGGAGAATCTCAATTACATCCTCCTCGCGTCCTCTCGCCTGGATTCCTTCTCAAAACCAATTGGAGGATAAGGTCAGAGGGGCGGGACCTCTGGCTTTCTCATCCAATGGTTTTTCAGAAGGAGAGAGGACGCGAGGAGAATGCAATTGAGATTCTTCCATTGTCATCTAATAAACTAATTAAGGGGCTCTATTAAATCCGTAGGGCTGAAGATCCGCTTTATAGCGTGATTTACAATTAAAGGCAATGTCCCTGTGGTCGCGGAGACTGCATTCATGGTAAATGGAAATTAACTTTACATTTTGATGCTGATCTTCCGCGATATGGATTAAATCCAACTCATAGTCTTTGGTTTAAATAATGATTCCAACATCAAGCGCAATACCACAATATTCCATGAAAAACGCAAATCCCATTTTAAATATTTTGTATCAGTGTCATAATCTTTTGGACTACATTACAGTATTGTACACTATTTCTAACAACCAAAAGCAATGGAATGTCTCTCCCTTCCTTCATGTAAATACTGTATATCTGTGCAAATCTCAAATTCACTGTGGTCCCTGATCTAGAAGTTCTGGGTGTAGGAAGGCAGTCAGAGCAAAGCACCTGTCAACTCACCGCTCTCTACAGCAACAGTCCCTGATCTTCATTGCAATATGATTTGATCTAGAATATAGATATTATATTCATAATTACAGTATGTTAATAGTGCTCATATGAAATGGTATGATGGCTTGCGGTTGATTTGTGTTCCAGTTGGCCCTGTTTATACCTGGTGCTAACTTGCGTGCTAGGGCTCTATTCAATCCGTAGCGCTGAAGACCTGCACTTCAGCATGATTGAAATATAAAGGCAGAGAATGCGTTCAGGGTAAACGCTGCATATGTCGGCTCAATCGGAAATTACCTTTAATTTTCAATTGTGCTATAACGCTGAACTTCAGCGATACGGATTGAATCGAGGCCGTTGTCCACATTCTGATAGTGGCCACATTTCTGCCATTGCATCGACACGTTGTATTAAAATGTGTCTCTTAGCCGTCCACTGTGTCCACATGGTGACCAGATTTACTGGTCCCTCCCTGTATGGAAATTATTCCACAGATATTCTTTCAAAATAATATGTATTTATTTATTTAAAGACACATATTGATGCCATAAGACAATGGCCCCACCTGTCAATGGTTTTAGAGGGCCGGATAATGATGATTTAAATGGTTTCACTGTCCACATCCATCTACACTTGTAAGATACCCAGACACAATGTGTGCCTGACTACCTCCGGAGGTGGTCAGGAAGATCTGATCACAATCCAATCACAATAGGTATTTTAATCGCGGACACCTGTCCATAAATGTGGCCACATCTTGAGAATCAATAGCCCCGTTTATACCTGGTGCTAATATGAGTCCTTTGTCCTGATCTTGTCCACATTCTAATTGTGCCCACATTTTTTGAGAAGTGTAATTGTGGTCGATTGTATCTGGATACCAATTAAGTGTAAACAGTGTCTAGGGCTAACTCCTCAGTCTCCTCCTCCTTCCTCCTCCTGTTAACTACAGTGAGATGCCCCTCAGGCAGAGCCTTCTGCCTCATCCTCCTTCCTCCTCCGGATGACTAGAGTGATATGCCCCTCAGGCAGAGCTTTGACGATGTTCCAGGCCTCGAAGCGGCTCAGCTCCTGGAGGGAGGAGCTCTGGACCTGCAGCAGTTCATCGCCAGACTGCAACCCACTCTGCTCCGCAGCGCCACCTATTAGGGAGCAGGAGAACACACTGTCACACATTGGTCTGGGGTAAAGTTTCCCCTAGCTGCAGATCTGGGATCAGCTTCCCCTCCCCCATTTTATAAAAATGTAAGCTTATAAAACTGTATTTCTCTGCGTTGTTTGCATGCTTTCCTACTTTCTGTGACATCACAACTTTTCTAACCATAAAATCAATTGTTAAACGTGTTAAGAACAGGTCCTGTGTGGCTCAGCTGGTAGAGCATGGTACTTGTAACATCAAGATCGTTGGTTTGATTCCTGCTGTGGTCACCCATACTAAAAATGTATGCACACACTACTGTAAGTCACTTGGATAACAGTGTCTGCTAAATGGCACATTATTGCTTTTTAAAGTTCACCCAAATTACAAAATGATATATCGGTTTCCTTACCCTGTAAGGGTTTAGGGACATGGTAAGGCAGCAATCCATGCTTTGGTTTTGTTTACCTGGCCACTGTCTCCAAATATTAACTTTTTTGTGAACTATCCCTTTTACTCCTGTGGATAGTACTGTACCTTTAAAGATCCTGTTGATGACCAGAGACCTGTCTCTGTGGATAGTACTGTACCTTTAAAGATCCTGTTGATGACCAGAGACCTGTCTCTGTGGATAGTACTGTACCTTTAAAGATCCTGTTGATGACCAGAGACCTGTATCTGTGGATAGTACTGTACCTTTAAAGATCCCGTTGATGACCAGAGACCTGTCTCTGTGGATAGTACTGTACCTTTAAAGATCCTGTTGATGACCAGAGACCTGTCTCTGTGGATAGTACTGTACCTTTAAAGATCCTGTTGATGACCAGAGACCTGTCTCTGTGGATAGTACTGTATCTTTAAAGATCCCGTTGATGACCAGAGACCTGTATCTGTGGATAGTACTGTACCTTTAAAGATCCTGTTGAGGACCAGAGACCTGTCTCTGTGGATAGTACTGTACCTTTAAAGATCCTGTTGATGACCAGAGACCTGTCTCTGTGGATAGTACTGTACCTTTAAAGATCCTGTTGATGACCAGAGACCTGTATCTGTGGATAGTACTGTACCTTTAAAGATCCTGTTGATGACCAGAGACCTGTATCTGTGGATAGTACTGTACCTTTAAAGATCCTGTTGAGGACCAGAGGCCTGTCTCCATGGATAGATCCTTTCCCTCCTTCCAAACTGAACCCCACGCCCCCTCCTCCTGTCTCCAGCTCCACAGTCAGCATGGCTCCCCCATCCTCCACTACAGACAGACCGAGAGAGAGAGAGTGAATGAACAACCAACGTATACATACAGTACATACACTGTATGATACAGCCACAAATGCAAGCATTTTGCTACATCCACAATAACATCTGCTAAATATGTGTTTGCAACCAATAAAATTGGATTTGATTTGATGTGCACGCACACACACCTACACATTGGGACCACACGGTTTTGGGTGTGCTGTCTTACTAGGTGAACTTGTCTGATCACCTTCTACTCACCTGTAGGGTTGAGGTCTGTACTGCTACTGCTGATAGAGGGATCACCAGCCTTGTTCCCTCCTTCTTCTCCTCCTCCTCCTCCTCCTCTCTCCCCTTGCTCACCACCACCACGGCCAGTCTCATGGTGCGGGCCTGGCGCAGTGTGGCGGTGGCATCGGCGTGTGTCGCGCCCCTTAGTGTCTGGCCGTTGATGGACAGCACCTCGTCACCCTTCTCCACGGTTCCCTCTTGAGCCGCCAGGCCATGGGGGAAAACACGATGCACCTGGGGGGAGGGAGGAATGTCACCAGAGCGTTAACAATGGACTTTCCCATTCTAAGCAATTCGCCTTGATTGGTGGAGCAGGCGGCAGACATTTTGTAGAGTTGCCACTATCTGGCCATGCTAGAAAGGACAGTATCAGGGATTTATAGCCATGGGATCCTATCTTTAATCTTTAAGTCCAAAATCATACGCCTAACAAGACAGACACTGTATGTTGTACAATACAATACAACTTTATTGTCCATACAATATGTTACAGTGAACAACAGAAACGTGTCTTCTGCAGAATTCTCAACTCCCCCAGATAGCACACATGACATAGAAATACAATCTTTAACATAAATTCTGACGATATCATCACTTTTCATCTGCTCTAGCATGACCTTAGAGTGTGATTGGGTTATAGTTATGTGGTGGGCCTTTCAGTATGGTTACAGAGTCCACAGTATACTCACTGTGGTGGCCTTGCTCTCCAGGTCTATCCCACCAGCGATGCTGAAACCCAGACCTGCTCCTTCCTCCTTGTGCAGAATCACCACGTGGATGTGCTCAAATTGCTAGAAAGAGGGAAGGAAAGATGTAATCTCTTTCATTCTAACACTCAAAATAATGTTTTCATCTTTTTTGTTCACTTTAGAATTTTACTGCTGGCCTAGTGATTTTTGCATTGATTTCAAATTATTCTAGTTATATTTATAACATTGATAACACATTTTGGCCATTTGGGACTTTGGGCCTTAAGTTCTTGTTCAAATCTATTAAGTGTAGGAGTACTGATCTATGTTCAGGTCCCCCCTGTCCATGTAATCTTATTCACTATGATCTAAAAGACTAAACTATTCTTAGATCAGCAACATTGTTACTCTGGGACGATTAATACTTTATGACGTTAGTCAGACGATTCATGTGCATTCACAGAGATACAGTCTCTCAGTTTGATTATTAAACCCCAGCTGTTGTTGATGATTTCCAGATGATTGTATGTCTGTGAGAGAGCTGAGGGGGACCAAGTGTCTCGCCCTCACCTCCGGCCTTTACACACACACGTAAACACACACCAGACACACACACACACACACAAACAGACACACACACAGTCACACATTGTAGTAAGAGTGCGGTAATGACTTATCGAGAAAGGAAATGCATACAGATGCACAGAGCCAAGTGGTCCTTTGAGAGAGGTCTGTGTGTGTGTGTGTGTGTGTGTGTGTGTGTGTGTGTGTGTGTGTGTGTGTGTGTGTGTGTGTGTGTGTGTGTGTGTGTGTGTGTGTGTGTGTGTGTGTGTGTGTGTGTTCGTGCGTGCTTGCGTAGACAAAAGCTTTGATTGCCTCACAGAACGGAAATGAAGAACAGAAACACAATACACACTGTGATACTCTGTCCACCCTGAAAGCCTCTTAATACACACTGATACTCTGTCCTCCCTGAAAGCCTCTTAATACACACTGTGATACTCTGTCCACCCTGAAAGCCTCTTAATACACACTGATACTCACCTACTCTTCCTGTCCTGTCCTCCCTGAAAGCCTCTTAATACACACTGTGATACTCTGTCCTCCCTGAAAGCCTCTTAATACACACTGTGATACTCTGTCCTCCCTGAAAGCCTCTTAATACACACTGTGATACTCTGTCCTCCCTGAAAGCCTCTTAATACACACTGTGATACTCTGTCCACCCTGAAAGCCTCTTAATACACACTGATACTCTGTCCTCCCTGAAAGCCTCTTAATACACACTGTGATACTCTGTCCTCCCTGAAAGCCTCTTAATACACACTGTGATACTCTGTCCTCCCTGAAAGCCTCTTAATACACACTGTGATACTCTGTCCACCCTGAAAGCCTCTTAATACACACTGTGATACTCTGTCCTCCCTGAAAGCCTCTTAATACACACTGTGATACTCTGTCCACCCTGAAAGCCTCTTAATACACACTGTGATACTCTGTCCACCCTGAAAGCCTCTTAATACACACTGTGATACTCTGTCCTCCCTGAAAGCCTCTTAATACACACTCACACACACACAGACATACAGACTCACACACACAGACACATTCACACACACACACACACACACACAGACACACTCACACACACAAACACACTCACACACAGACATACACACTCACCCACACACACACAGACACATTCACACACACACACACACAGCCAGACACACTCACACACACACACACACACACACACACACACACACACACACACACACACACACAGACACATATCTGCAGCTGAGCACTCTAACGTAATCCTTAATGGTCCCTCCAGTCCAGTAGCTCATTCATACGGGCTTGTTGTTTTGCAGAAGCCAGTGGTGAGTAATGCATGAGAGAGCAGCTCTTACCATGCTTCCCACATGGCACCCTGTTATCCAGAGACTTATGGGCCCTGGTCAAAAGTAACGCACTATAAAGGGACTAGCATGTCATTTGGGATGCAGCCTTGGACTCAGGGGTATAGATACTGATAAAGGGGTTTTAAAACCCATTATTTTATGTTGTGTATTTGGATTTGGGATATGACCTCTTAGAGAGTAGACCACAGTTGAGAGATAATCAACAGTAAGAGTTGACAGTCTGTCATGACTGGGTGTTAATGTGGTGTTAATGTTGTGTTAATGTTGTGTTACTGTGGTATTGATGTGGTGTTGATGTGGTGTTACTGTGATGTTGATGTGGTGTTGATGTGGTGTTGATGTGGTGTTGATGTGGTGTTGATGTGGTGTTGATATTGTGTTAATGTGGTGTTGATGTGGTGTTGATGTGGTGTTACTGTGGTGGTGTTAATGTGGTGTTGATGTGGGGAACATCAGTATTTTACATCATAATACAGTGAGGGAAAAAAGTAGTTGATCCCCTGCTGATTTTGTACGTTTGCCCACTGACAAAGAAATGATCAGTCTATAATTGTAATGGTATGTTTATTTGAACAGTGAGAGACAGAATAACAACACAAATGTTATGAATAGATTTGCATTTTAATGAGGGAAATAAGTATTTGACCCCCTGTCAATCAGAAAGATTTCTGGCTCCCAGGTGTCTTTTATACAGGTAACGAGTTGAGATTAAAGGGAGTGCTCCTAATCTCAGCTTGTTACCTGTATAAAAGACACCTGTCCACAGAAGCAATCAATCAATCAGATTCCAAACTCTCCACCATGGCCAAGACCAAAGAGCTCTCCAAGGATGTCAGGGACAAGATTGTAGACCTATACAAGGCTGGAATGGGCTACAAGACCATAGCCAAGCAGCTTGGTGAGAAGGTGACAACAGTTGGTGTGATTATTCGCAAATGGAAGAAACACAAAAGAACTGTCAATCTCCCTCAGCCTGGGGCTCCATGCAAGATCTCACCTCGTGGAGTTGCAATGATCATGAGAACGGTGAGGAATCAGCCCAGAACTACACGGGAGGATCTTGTCAATGATCTCAAGGCAGCTGGGACCATAGTCACCAAGAAAACAATTGGTAACACACTATGCCGTGAAGGACTGAAATCCTGCAGCGCCCGCAAGGTCCCCCTGCTCAAGAAAGCACATATACAGGCCCGTCTGAAGTTTGCCAATGAACATCTGAATGATTCAGAGGAGAACTGGGTGAAAGTGTTGTGGTCAGATGAGACCAAAATCGAGCTCTTTGGCATCAACTCAACTCGCCGTGTTTGGAGGAGGAGGAATGCTGCCTATGATCCCAAGAACACCATCACCACCGTCAAACATGGAGGTGGAAACATTATGCTTTGGGGGTGTTTTTCTGCTAAGTGGACAGGACAACTTCACCACATCAAAGGGACGATGGACGGCGCCATGTACCATCAAATCTTGGGTAAGAACCTCCTTCCCTCAGCCAGGGCATTGAAAATGGGTTGTGGATGGGTATTCCGGCATGACAATGACCCAAAACACACGGCCAAGGCAACAAAGGAGTGGCTCAAGAAGAAGCACATTAAGGTCCTGGAGTGGCCTAGCCAGTCTCCAGACCTTAATCCCATAGAAAATCTGTGGAGGGAGCTGAAGGTTCGAGTTGCCAAACGTCAGCCTCGAAACCTTAATGACTTGGAGAAGATCTGCAAAGAGGGGTGGGACAAAATCCCTCCTGAGATGTGTGCAAACCTGGTGGCCAACTACAAGAAACGTCTGACCTCTGTGATTGCCAACAAGGGTTTTGCCACCAAGTACTAAGTCATGTTTTGCAGAGGGGTCAAATACTTATTTCCCTCATTAAAATGCAAATACATTTATAACATTTTTGACATGTGTTTTTCTGGATTTTTGTTGTTGTTATTCTGTCTCTCACTGTTCAAATAAACTTACCATTAAAATTATAGACTGATCATGTCTTTGTCAGTGGGGCAAACCAGCAGGGGATCAAATACAAAATCAGCAGGGGATCAAATACGTTTTTCCCTCACTGTACAGTCAGTGAGGCCCTTCTAGGGAGGAAGAGGTGGATGGTCCTCCAAATAAAATAAAAACAATGAAGCAGACATGCCGTACAGACAGACAGACTGACAGACAGACAGATAAAGTCTCACCTTCAGAGTTTCCTCATCCAGAGCTTTCACTTCCTGGATCATGGTCTGTATCTGCTGTGGAGGGATGGCTGATATGACAGAGTGGGCACATGCTGACAGGGATGGGCGTGAGACCAGGTCCCTTCCCTCCTCCCCCCGCTCAATGGTACACTGCCTCAGATCAGATAGGCTGAGAGGAATAAGGAAGCAAACAGAGTTCAACTGACACACTGACTGACTGGTCACATACAGATTACACTCTCTCACACACACACATTCTGTATTACAGGTTCGTCGTAGCTACTCTCATAATCATGCATTTCACTGTATGAAAAATAAATAGAGATTTATGTTTTAACATTGTCAATCTGTTACAGACTCAACTCTGAGAGGGTTTCAGTCAGATTAACACCTTAGACATAATCACACATAACAGGAATAAGACGTGCAACTTCCTGTGTTCATACTTCCTCTTACTAAAGATGATACTGCCAAGGTTGCATTAAGCACTGTGAAGCAGGGACAAAACACAGTAAGATTTGATCTAAAACATTTGATCTAAAACATGCCAAAGCCATCTCCCCTTTGCAGAATCTGACTTCCAGTGCTATCTTACTTTTTTTCATAGCAAGCACTACTACAGTGTAGGTCTGTAGACATACTAGACTATTTTCAGCTCTTGTGAAATCAGTGTATATTTATACCTTCTCATCCAATCACCTGAGTGGTAGTGTGTGTACAGCTGTGTGGTGTCAGTCATTGAAACCGAGAATATGCTGTATATACCAGGGTAAGGGTCAATTCCATTTCAATTACATCAATTTAGGAAGTAAACTGAAATTCCAACTTCCTAAATAGAGAAGCATTGAGAAAAACTGGAATATGAACTTCATTTTACTTCCTGAATTGATTGTAATGGAATTGACCCCAACCCTAGAATATGCTGTATGTTGATGTTTTTCAGAGAGTTTTTACCTGACAGAGAAGCTATTCTCGTTGCTGTCGGGGCCAGGGGAGAGGGGGGTGTTCTGGGCCGGGTCGGGCTCCTCCGGGCTGCTGACTAGAGGGGATGCAGGGGGAGGGTCTGACCCAGGGTTACCCGGCACAGTTGGACAGGGGGAGGGGAGTAGGGAGTGCATGGAACGCATCAGGGCATGGGACACCTAGAGTAGAGTAGAGTAGAGTAGAGTAGAGTAGAGTAGAGTAGAGTAGAGCAGAGCAGAGCAGAGCAGAGTAGAGTAGAGTAGAGTAGAGTAGAGTAGAGTAGAGCAGAGCAGAGCAGAGCAGAGCAGAGTAGAGTAGAGTAGAGTAGAGTAGAGTAGAGTAGAATAGAATAGAATAGAGCAGAGTAGAGTAGAGTAGAGTAGAGTAGAGTAGAGTAGAGTAGAGCAGAGTAGAGTAGAATAGAGTAGAGTAGAGTAGAGTAGAGCAGAGCAGAGCAGAGTAGAGTAGAGTAGAATAGAACAGAGTAGAGTAGAATAGAGTAGAGTAGAGTAGAGTAGAGTAGAGTAGAATAGAGCAGAGCAGAGCAGAGTAGAGTAGAGCAGAGTAGAGTAGAATAGAACAGAGTAGAGTAGAGTAGAGTAGAATAGAATAGAGCAGAGTAGAGTAGAGTAGAGTAGAGTAGAGTAGAATAGAGCAGAGCAGAGCAGAGCAGAGCAGAGCAGAGCAGAGTAGAGTAGAGCAGAGTAGAGTAGAGTAGAGTAGAGCAGAGTAGAATAGAGCAGAGCAGAGCAGAGCAGAGCAGAGCAGAGTAGAGTAGAGTAGAGTAGAGTAGAGTAGAGTAGAGCAGAGCAGAGCAGAGCAGAGCAGAGCAGAGCAGAGCAGAGTAGAGTAGAGTAGAGTAGAGTAGAGTAGAGTAGAGTAGAGCAGAGCAGAGCAGAGCAGAGCAGAGTAGAGTAGAGTAGAGTAGAGCAGAGCAGAGCAGAGCAGAGCAGAGAGCAGAGCAGAGCAGAGTAGAGTAGAGTAGAGTAGAGCAGAGCAGAGCAGAGCAGAGTAGAGTAGAGTAGAGTAGAGTAGAGTAGAGCAGAGCAGAGTATAAAACATGTTATGGTTAGGGCCCTGCTGTTCTTTTCTATCCTTCATCCCACCTCAGGAGGCACCTTCTTACACCATGTGGCAAACAATTCTCACGTGTTCATACTATAATAGTCTAAAGGAATTATCCAATTAGTCCAAAATAAGTTGCCCAATCCTAACCGGGTGAATCGACTTCAAATTAAATGTCTGCCGACACTTATTGCCATCAGCAGCCTACACCGTAATGTACCAAATTATTTATTATTATTATTAATTACTATCTCAAGGACATGATCAACATAATGAACCACTTAAATCATTATCTGTTCACAACACTATATGAGAATAATAAGCATTTTATCTAAGAAAATTGAGGTGGGAAAAAAAACGAATTCAAAAGAACAGAATAGATGAGTTGACTGTATGTTACGGTGCTTAGTCTGGCTATGCACCATGCCGATGGCATCCCACTGGGCACACAGTGTTTAAATTAATGTTGTTTCCACGTTATTTCCACGTCATTTCCACGTTATAGACGTTGATTTGATGTTAAATTGACGTCTGTGCCCAGTGGGATAGCCTGTAGTTCATTTGTTCATTTAGCAGACAATACATTTATATTCCTGTGCCCTTACCACGGTCAACACACATATATTTTACAGTAAGAATATAATGAAATATAACAGAATAATATATAAATTATATTGTATCCCAAACAAACTATTGCCAAGTGTCGCAGGTGCGCACAATCCACACACTAAATGACAGCTACAAATGTATTGCATGCACTTACCTGTTACAGAGTAATTACATGGGTTATTCAGCTGGTATGAAGCTTGTGTGACATTTCATACATTTCATACATTTTATTGGACATTTTACAATTTACACTTGGACAATGTGATGTAATGTAAAGTGTGACCAAAGACGCACCTGTTTACTGAAGGAAAGTATCTTCCCCAGGCTCTCTCCCTCCAGTCCTCTTAGAGTTGTTGACCCATCTGGGGAGGGAGAGGCAGGCAGGGGAAGGCTACGCGTCCGCAGGCTGGCCTGCTTGCCCTGAGCCTGGGCATGGCTCTGGTCTCCCTCCCCCTCCTCTGGTGGTTGTAGTGGACCAAGGCTTTCTCCCTTGGAGCTGCTGGACCTCCTGGGCACCGGGCCAGAGGGGGAGACGGAGGCCTCCACAGCCTCATCCAGGGGCTCTGTTTCTGGGTCGGCCTCGGGGAGAGATGCCTCTAGGGTGGATGGGGTGGTGGTGGTGTCCTCGGGGGATGGTGAGTCAGAGATTTCTGTATTGGTGTCTGTTGTCTCTTCCACTGGGGTCTGGAGCTCCACTGGGGTCTGGAGCTCCGAGGCAGGGTGGGGGGTCGGAAGAAGAGAAAAGCAGGTTGGAGGAGAAGGGTGGGAGGCAGGAGAGGGAGGATGGGTGGAGTGAGGAGAGGCTGCATGGGGAGAAGAGGACACCCTTCCGTCCTTTTCCTCGTCAGAGATTGGAGAGGTCACTTTAGCTCCTTTGCCCATGTCATGTTGGATTGTACCATTCTCCTCTAAGAGAGGGGGGTCACTCCTGATGGGTGCCTTGTCCTTCAGAGGGAGGGAGGTGGAGGGGGATAGGGGCCTCCTGTTGTTGCCCCACCTCTCCTGACCCTTACCATCAGGACTAGAGAAGGTCTCAAATGAATGGATCTTCTGCTTGATTGACAGGTTGGCTGCAGAGGAGGTGGGCCGTAGACTTACCCCGAAGGTGCTGTTGAAATACACATTTAAAAACGTTATTGTCCATCCACCTGGACAATTTACATGAGACAGAAATTGTTGTTGGCTTATAACTCATGAACACACAACACTGGGAATCAAACCCAGGTCACCTATACACTTCAACACCACCTTAACCCACTGAAATAAAGGTGTACGCTTTAGGCGCTAACACAAGTCTTCAGATCTCAGGCAAGACTAAACCGCCTTTTATACATTGCTATAAAACAAAAGACAAAGATAAATGTTATGGAGAAACACTACGTACGTTCCACCGCCTCTGTTGTCCAGGGGTTTGGCCAGCTCCGGCTGGGGCCTCCCGTTCCTGATACTCCTGAGGCTCTGACGGTTCCACATAGGCTTGGGGGCAACCGGGGGGGCCTTCCTCACCCCTGGGGGGTCCTCAGTCATTGGGCTAGGGGTGGAGATTAGGGAGGCAGGGGTGGAGGGGGTGGTGGGGTCTGGGGTGGTGTGGTGGTCGGAAGTACTGTTGAGTTCAGGAAGCTCAGGAAACTCACTCCTTTGGCTCATGGCGACTGGTTGGGATGGAGTGTGTGTTGCGTCGTGGTGTGAGCTGAGATGGTGTGTTTGTTGTTGATGTGTGCTATTGTGGGAGTGTGTGTTGTGTTGGTGTGGGCTCGGATGATTCGGACTCTGGTTGTGATGGGGGTCTCCAGGACCTCCAAGATCAGGGGGGCTGTCGGAGATCCTAACCCAGGGGTCGTGAAGCTTTTCTGGGGTGAGCTGCTCCACGCGAGCCTGCCTCCTCAGGCCCGGCCTCTTACTCTGGGAGCAGAGGTGGAGGGCAGACTCAGCACCTGAACACAGACACAACACAGGAAACACAATCTAAGAGGAGGAGAGATACAAGTGCTTCACAATGAGCTAGACTCACACTACCCTCACTGCAATAATGCATTCATACCTGCACAGCTTTCTGCTTTACTAATGTAAGTAAATAATAAGTTGTGGTGCCATTAAATATCACAATGTAAGAAATGATCTAAAGATGACGTTCACAAAGCTGGCATTCACAACTAATCTAAACAACGTGTTGTCTTTCAGGAAACATCTTCACAGGAAACGAACTGCAAATGGCCCCTATAGGTGTCTCAAGGAGCTGGATATTTGACTGTTGCCTCTGTACTGTACAAATGCTGTATTCTAATTTGTTTTTGGAAACTGAATGTGACTGACAAAAAGAAAGTATCCCTTCCTAGGCATGCCCTCTTCAAAAGCACATTTATAACGCACAGCATAGATGTTATAAATTCGTTTTTAACGAATAGTGTCATAAATTATATAAAGAGGGTAATCATAGGAAATGTCCACATGAAGTTTGGCAAGGTGGCCATACGGTACCTGTGTGTGGTCTGTCTTCTGTGCAGGATGAGTATCGAGGGCAGTCGGTGATGGCAGCAGAGTGAGCGTCAGAGTGGGTGAGATTCTCTCCACTTCCCCCTGAGTGTTCTCTCTCTCTTTCTCTCTCTATTACTCTCTCACTCTCTACTTCCTGGAACACACATAAACAGGAAGTTAAAACGTTGAGCGCACCACTCAGCCTCCGACCGCAGAAAGCAATTCACCCTGCATTTACTGTCGCCCGTTAACCTCCACAACTTCACATGGACATGCATCCATCCATCACACTCACAACGACCAGATGCAGAACGTAATTGGATCACACACAATGCCAAGGCAAGGCCATTCTATGATATCCAAAAGCTTCATGCTTGATGTGGGTATAACACAAGCATCGTTCAGAATAACAGGGTAATCACTTACAAACACATAAGCAGATACTTCCAGAATCGAGAGGCCATCCTTACTATAAAAGCTTGCATTGTGAGACAGGTTTAAGGTTTAATGTTTCAGGGACAGGATACATAGGGAAGAGGTGTCATATTTTGACATCAATGCCTGCTCAAAGGCATGAATGTATGACATTCTGCAAAAAATAAACAAAAGGTATGATTGGTATGTTCATATTTTCTATTCTCAGTCCAAAGTAATCTCCATGCAAAACATTCACCAACACACATTCAAGAGTATGAAACGGTCCCACATACATTTCTACATAGTAACCTTATGCTCTTTCTCAAAGCCTTGTATACACTGCTAAAAAGCTGGAAGCATGTAGATGTGAATACAGAAACAACACATGTGACGATACACATTAGTTAGAGGAAAAATACATTAGTATACTGCATTTAGTAAATTCAGCATGGTTTAGCATATTGCTTATGGACAGAGAATAAGAAAAACAGTGAGATTATGTCTAATGGTATCCTTCTCTGCACTAATATCTAATGTTATCCTTCTCTGCACTACTGTCTAATGGTATCCTTCTCTGCACTACTGTCTAATGGTATCATTCTCTGCACTAATGTCTAATGGTATCCTTCTCTGCACTACTGTCTAATGTTATCATTCTCTGCACTAATGTATAATGGTATCCTTCTATGCACTACTGTCTAATTGTCACGCCCTGACTCAGGGGACGTTTATTTGTTGAGTCAGGGTGTGTATATTCCGTGTTATGTTGGTTCTATGGTGTAGATTCTAGAATGTGTAGATCTATGTTGGCCGGGGTGGTTCCCAATCAGAGGCAGCTGTAACTCGTTGTCTCTGATTGGGGACCATGCTTAGGCAGCCTTTTGGCACCTGTTAGTTGTGGGATCTTGTTCCAGTTATGGTATGTTTGTGTGTTACCTTGGACTTCACGTTTTGTTTGTTGTTTTGTAGTGTGTTTATTCGTTTAAATAAACATGTACGCTTATCACACTGCGCCTTGGTTCGACCAGTCTTTAAACGATCGTGACACTAATGGTATCCTTCTCTGCACTACTGTCTAATGGTATCCTTCTCTGCACTACTGTCTAATGGTATCCTTCTCTGCACTAATGTCTAATGGTATCCTTCTCTGCACTAATGTCTAATGGTATCCTTCTCTGCACTACTGTCTAATGGTATCCTTCTCTGCACTACTGTCTAATGTTATCCTTCTCTGCACTAATGTCTAATGGTATCCTTCTCTGCACTAATGTCTAATGGTATCCTTCTCTGCACTACTGTCTAATGTTATCCTTCTCTGCACTACTGTCTAATGGTATCCTTCTCTGCACTACTGTCTAATGTTATCCTTCTCTGCACTACTGTCTAATGGTATCCTTCTCTGCACTAATGTCTAATGGTATCCTTCTCTGCACTACTGTCTAATGTTATCCTTCTCTGCACTAATGTCGAATGTTGTCCTTCTCTGCACTAATGTCTAATGTTATCCTTCTCTGCACTAATGTCTAATGTTATCCTTCTCTGCACTAATGTCTGATGTTATCCTTCTCTGCACTAATGCCTAATGTTGTCCTGTGGTGTTCATTAGGCACCAAATGGAAAAAAAACTGGGACTACCTTGACTTGTCCAATAAGAAACTTTCATTCTCGTATTAAGACGTTTCCATTGCATGCCTTAATGAACTCGACCCAGCTCTGCAGATCAGCTTCACAGACAATGTGGTTTTAGAGAATAGGCAAGCGGAAGAACCAATGCAAAACAGAATAGCGTGTCTCGACCACAGCTGATGCCTGATGCATGAAGACAATGCAACTCTTTACACTGTTTTACAGACATTTTGAGCACGCCCCCTTCTTTCCTACAGTAGCTACCATTTATGGGCAATAAAAGCATCCAGTCTAGCTCTTCCTCAAATTTAAGGAAGTATGAATGAATGACAGACATTCATATAAAGCTGTCCTGTTGAGATGCATCGATATTTAGATGACTTTGATCACTGTGTTTGAGATGTAGATACTTTGATCCATCAATTCAAATTAATTATTTCAAAAACCTTTCAAACCTGCTTACAATATACCTATTCATTAATCCATCCATCCATCCAGAGTAATACATGTTTAAGTCAAGATGACTGGTTAGATATGAGTATACTTAGTAAATTCAGCATGTTTTAGCATATTGCTTGTGGACAAAAAAAATACATAAACAGTGAGATTATGTCAGATGCTGTCCTTTGCTGCGCTGGGTTGTGTTCTTTAGGCACCAAACGTAAGAAACCAAACCATCGTTGTAAATAGGTGTAAATAATGTTCTCTCCCTACCTGACAGTTGGTATGTGTGGGGCTCCATCCGTCCTCTCTAACAGGGGAGCCTCTACTGGAACCATTGGAGTCCGGCAGGCCCCCAGGGGCCCCCTCCTCACTAGTGACGTCCTGGTGTCTGCTGTACCTCCTTGGAGGTGCCAGGGCTTTGGGCCTGTTCTAGGGTCAGATTAGGAAAATATGTGTTGTATAAGCGTTTCTTACTGGACAATTCCAGGTAGTCCCAGCCTGTTTCAGTGCATTATTCTTCCATTTGGTGCCTAAAGTGTGGCCTTCCAGAAGCTTGTTTGGAAACCTCTGGAGTTAAGCTACCTTATTTCCCCTAGTGGCCAGGTCTAAGGTACGCTGGCTGGAGAGGTTGGCTGCTGGGGAGTTGTAGGGGACATTGTAGTCGTCATCAGGTACAGGGCAGACCAGTGCAGACAGTCTGTTATCACACCAGGGCTCAGCCGTGGACCCCTAGAACCATGATATCAAGAGGGATTAGGACCCCTAGAACCATGACCCCTTGAACTCTCAGAACCATGAGACAAAGAGGTATTAGAACCTCTAGAACCATGACCCCTAGAACTCCTACACCCATGAGATAAAGACGGATGAGAATCCCTAGAACCATGACCCCTAGAAGCCCTACACCCATGAGATAAAGACGGATTAGAATCCCTAGAACCATGACCCCTAGAACTCTTAGAACCACGAGATGAAGATGTATTAGAACCTCTAGAAACATGACAGACACCGATGTACAACACATCGACCCAATCCTTTCTCATCTTATTCTGGGATGCCTGGTTGTGGTGAGTTACCATGGGGATGTCGAGGCTGTGGACCCTTCCCATCAGATTATGGTGCGTGTTGTGGTTGGGTACAGTCAGGGTTTGACCATTAACCAGGTTGGTTCCTGGTCCGGGGCAGCAGTTGTGCTGATGGTTATGATGGGGGTTCTGGTTGTATGTGTTGCTGTCACTACAGGAGCGAGTCATGTTCTTCTGGGCTCGCCGGGCAGTCAGTTGGCTGAAGCTCCTCGCCACACAGCGCTCACACTTCCCTCTGGAGTGGGAGCAGGGGTCAGACCTACGCAGGCCTGGGGTTAAGAGGTCACAGGGAGAGACAGAAAGTGAGAGAGAGAGAGAGAGAGGGAGAGAGAGAGAGAGAGAGAGAGAGAGAGAGAGGAAGAATAAGACCCCGGTTAGTGGGCATGGCCGGCGGGGCGCCGGGGCCGGGGGGCCGAAGAGTTCAAGGAGTGCGCCCGCCCCTTAGGGGAACCCGGACGAACCGCGGTATGTATTGTGGTTTTTGGGTTGGTCGGTGGTCGGGAGGTAGGTGGCTGTCGGGGTAGGTAGGTCGGTAGGTAGGTAGGTCGGTAGGTAGGTCGGTAGGTCGGTCAGTCATCGGTAGGTAGGTGAGAGAGAGAGATGGGATGAAACACAATGCAGTAATATTACGGAAGGTAATGTGTGTGCATTATCGTCTGGCGACGCTAAACTAGCTCAGAGTTGATAAAGGTTGTTACTGTCTATACTCCACTGAGTTGATAAAGGTTGTTACCGTCTATACTCCACTGAGTTGATAAAGGTTTTACTGTCATACTCCACTGATTGATAAAGGTTGTTACTGTCATACTCCACTGAGTTGATAAAGTTGTTCCCGGGTCTATACTCCACTGAGTTGATAAAGGTTGTTTACTGGTCTATACTCCACTGAGTTGATAAAGGTTGTACCTGTCTATACTCCACTGAGTTGATAAAGGTTGTTACTGTCTATACTCCACTGAGTTTGAATAAAGGTTGTTACTGTCTATACTCCACTGAGTTGATAAACGGTTGTTACTGTCTATACTCCACTGAGTTGATAAAGGTTGTTACCGTCTATACTCCACTGAGTTGATAAAGGTTGTTACTACGTCTATACTCCACTGAGTTGATAAGGTTGTTACTGTCTATACTCCACTGAGTTGATAAAGGTTGTTACTGTACTATACTCCACTGAGTTGATAAAGGTTTTACCGTTATACTCCACTGAGTTTATAAAGGTTGTTACTGTCCTATCTCCACTGAGTTGATAAAGGTTGTTACTGTCTATACTCCACTGAGTTGATAAAGGTTTGTTACCGTCTATACTCCCACTGAGTTGATAAGTTGTTACTGTCTATACTCCACTGAGTTGATAAAGGTTGTTACCGTCTATACTCCACTGAGTTGATAAAGGTTGTTACTGTCTATACTCCACTGAGTTGATAAAGGTTGTTACTGTCTATACTCCACTGAGTTGATAAAGGTTGTTACTGTCTATACTCCACTGAGTTGATAAAGGTTGTTACTGTCTATACTCCACTGAGTTGATAAAGGTTGTTACTGTCTATACTCCACTGAGTTGATAAAGGTTGTTACCGTCTATACTCCACTGAGTTGATAAAGGTTGTTACTGTCTATACTCCATTGAGTTGATAAAGGTTGTTACTGTCTATACTCCACTGAGTTGATAAAGGTTGTTACTGTCTATACTCCACTGAGTTAATAAAGGTTGTTACTGTCTATACTTCCACTGAGTTGATAAAGGTTGTTACTGTCTATACTCCACTGAGTTGATAAAGATTGTTACTGTCTATACTCCACTGAGTTGATAAAGGTTGTTACCGTCTATACTCCTGTCACGCCCTGACATTGAGATCTCTAGTTGGGTTGGTCAGGGTGTGAAATCTAGTTTATCTATTTCTATGTTGGCCGGGTGTGGTTCCCAATCAGAGGCAGCTGTTGATCGTTGTCTCTGATTGGGGATCATACTTAGGCAGCCATTTTGTCTACCTATGTTCTGGGATCTTGTTTCTGTTTGGCTTGTTGGATGTTTAGCCTCTTGAACTTCACGGTCTGTTGGATTTTGTTATTTTGTCTGTGTTTATAATAATAAACAACTATGTACTTATACCACGCTGCACCTTGGTCCGATCCTTTACTCAACAAACGTGACAGAAGATCCCACCACCAACGGACCAAGCAGCGTGGCCAGGAGGAGCAGACATGCTGGACACAGGTGGGGAAGACATTCTGGACATGGGAGGAGATATTGGCCGGTAAGGGACCCTGGGCGAAGGAAGAAGCCCAGGCAGGAAAGGATCAACGGCGACGACGAAGGAAGCCTAAGAGGTAGCCCCAAGAAACATTTTTGGGGGGGGGCACACGGGGTGGTTGGCGGAGCAGCAGGAGGCCCTAGAAGGGCTGATTGTGGAGAGGGAGATAGCTATAGAAGAAGCCGCTATGATAGATGCCCTCCAAGACCTGCAGCTCAGTACTCTGAGAGAGGAGACCACCGCCTTACGGGAGCTGTTAGTTAAGAGGGAGCAGGAGCTCTCCCTTCAGAAGGAGGCGCTGTAGGAGGCCCTCAGGGAGAAGGAGTCAGTGGATGCACGGAGAGAGGAGCTGGCCAGACAACAGGAGGAGCTGAGAGAGGAGTTAACCCTCCAGCAGCAGAGAACTCAGTCCTTAGAGCAGAGGCTGGCGGAGCCAGGTTTAGCAGAGCCAACTCCCCGCACTCGCTTTGAGGAGCGTGTGACCATGCAGGCACCAGGCTATGCGCCGGCTTTACGCACTGTGCCGCCAGTGCGCCTTCACAGAGCGGTACGGCCCGTGCCTGCTCCTCGCAGTGGTGCGTGTCTCCAGTCCGGTATGACTTGTACCTGCTCCTCGCACCAAACCAGTGGTGCATGTCCCCAGCCCGGTACGGCTCGTGCCTGCTCCTCGCACTAAACCAGTGGTGCGTGTCTCCAGCCCGGTACGGCCCGTGCCTGCTCCTCGCATCAAACCAGTGGTGCGTGTCTCCAGCCCGGTAAGGCCCGTACCTGCTCCTCGCACCAAACCAGTGGTGCGTGTCCCCAGCCCGTCGGCCCCTTTTCAGGGTCTGGGCCTCCCACACCAGGGTCCAGACAGGGCTTGGTGCCTCGCGGGAGGACTGCCGAGCCGGAACCAGACGTCAACCCCTCTCCAGGGTCTAGGCCTCCCACACCAGGGTCCAGACAGAGCTTGGTGCCTCGCGGGAGGACTGCCGAGCCGGAACCAGACGTCAACCCCTCTCCAGGGTCGGGGTCTCCCACACCAGGGTCCAGACAGGGCTTGGTGCATCGCGGGAGGACTGCTGGGCCGGGACCAGACGTCAGTCCCACTCCACTGAGTTGATAAAGGTTGTTACTGTCTGTACTCCACTGAGTTGATAAAGGTTGTTACCGTCTATACTCCACTGAGTTGATAAAGGTTGTTACTGTCTGTACTCCACTGAGTTGATAAAGGTTTTGTTACCCGTCTATACTCCACTGATTAATAAGGTTGTTACTGTCTGTACTCCACTGAGTTGATAAAGGTTGTTACCGTCTATACTCCACTGAGTTGATAAAGGTTGTTACTGTCTGTACTCCATTGAGTTGATAAAGGTTGTTACCGTCTATACTCCACTGAGTTAATAAAGGTTGTTACTGTCTGTACTCCACTGAGTTGATAAAGGTTGTTACCGTCTATACTCCACTGAGTTGATAAAGGTTGTTACTGTCTATACTCCACTGAGTTGATAAAGGTTGGTGTTACCGTCTATACTCCACTGAGTTGATAAAGGTTGTTACCGTCTATACTCCACTGAGTTGATAAAGGTTGTTACCGTCTATACTCCACTGAGTTGATAAAGGTTTTACCGTCTATACTCCCCGAGTTGATAAAGGTTTGTTACCGTCTATCCCACTGAGTTGATAAAGGTTGTTACCGTCTATACTCCACTGAGTTGATAAAGGTTGTTACCGTCTATACTCCACTGAGTTGATAAAGGTTGTTACCGTCTATACTCCACTGAGTTGATAAAGGTTGGTACCGTCTATACTCCACTGAGTGATTAAAGGTTGTTTCCCGTTATACTCCACTGAGTTGATAAAGGTTGTTACCAGTCTATTACTCCACTGAGTTGATAAAGGTTGTTACCGTCTATACTCCACTGAGTTGATAAAAGGTGTTACCGCTATACTCCACTGAGTTGATAAAGGTTTGTTTCCGTCTATACTCCCTGAGTTTATAAAGGTTGTTACCGTCTATACTCCACTGACTGGCGTCCTGCTTTAGTTTGCTGGTCTCTACAGCCTGGGCTATGGCATCGTTCAGCTGCTGCTCTGACACCTAAAGATACACACAGACACATTGCATTTAACACACACACATGAGCACCACGCAACCGCACCCACACACACACACCACCACAAAACAAATGCCCTTTCCCCCATCCCCCCCCTCCCCTAACCCACACACAATACTACATGATATACACACGTTTATATAAGGCTATAAGTCCAGACATTGTGTGTATATAAGGTTAGACAGGGTGTGTATATAAGGCCAGACAGGGTGTGTATATAAGGTTAGACAGGGTGTGTATATAAGATTAGACAGGGTGTGTATATAAGACCAGACAGGGTGTGTATATAAGACCAGACAGGGTGTGTATATAAGATCAGACAGGGTGTGTATATAAGGCCAGACAGGGTGTGTATATAGACCAGGGCAGGGGTGTATATAAGGCCAGACAGGGTGTGTAAAATAAGGGCCCGAAGGGTGGGGTATATAAGACCAGACAGGGTGTGTATATAAGGCCAGACAGGGTGTGTATATAAGGCCAGACAGGGTGTGTATATAGGCCCAGACAGGGTGTTGGATATAAGGTTAAGACAGGGTGGTGTATATAAGGCCAGACAGGGTGTGTATATAAGGCCAGAGAGGGTGTGTATATATGGGCAGACAGGGTGTGTATATAAGACCAGACAGGGTGTGTATATAAGACCAGACAGGGTGTGTATATAAGGTTAGACAGGGTGTGTATATAAGGCCAGACAGGGTGTGTATATAAGGCCATGACAGGGTGTGTATATAAGGTTAGACAGGGTGTGTATATAAGGTTAGACAGGGTGTGTATATAAGGTTAGACAGGGTGTGTATATAAGGCCAGACATTGTGTGTATATAAGGCCAGACATTGTGTGTATATAAGGTTAGACAGGTTGTGTAATATAAGGTCAGACAGGGTGTGTATATAAGGCCAGACAGGGTGTGTATATAAGGTTAGACAGGGTGTGTATATAAGGCCAGACATTGTGTGTATATAAGGTTAGGACAGGGTGTGTATATAAGGTCAGACAGGGTGTGTATATAAGGCCAGACAGGGTGTGTATATAAGGTTAGACAGGGTGTGTATATAAGACCAGACAGGGTGTGTACAGTGGGGGAAAAAAGTATTTATTCAGCCACCAATTGTGCAAGTTCTCCCACTTAAAAAGATGAGAGAGGCCTGTAATTTTCATCATAGGTACACGTCAACTATGACAGACAAAATGAGAAAAGAAAATCCAGAAAATCACATTGTAGGATTTTTAATGAATTTATTTGCAAATTATGGTGGAAAATAAGTATTTGGTCAATAACAAAAGTTTCTCAATACTTTGTTATATACCCTTTGTTGGCAATGACACAGGTCAAACGTTTTCTGTAAGTCTTCACAAGGTTTTCACACACTGTTGCTGGTATTTTGGCCCATTCCTCCATGCAGATCTCCTCTAGAGCAGTGATGTTTTGGGGCTGTCGCTGGGCAACACGGACTTTCAACTCCCTCCAAAGATTTTCTATGGGGTTGAGATCTGGAGACTGGCTAGGCCACTCCAGGACCTTGAAATGTTTCTTACGAAGCCACTCCTTCGTTGCCCGGGCGGTGTGTTTGGGATCATTGTTATGCTGAAAGACCCAGCCACGTTTCATCTTCAATGCCCTTGCTGATGGAAGGAGGTTTTCACTCAAAATCTCACGATACATGGCCCCATTCATTCTTTCCTTTACACGGATCAGTCGTCCTGGTCCCTTTGCAGAAAAACAGCCCCAAAGCATGATGTTTCCACCCCCATGCTTCACAGTAGGTATGGTGTTCTTTGGATGCAACTCAGCATTCTTTGTCCTCCAAACACGACGAGTTGAGTTTTTACCAAAAAGTTCTATTTTGGTTTCATCTGACCATATGACATTCTCCCAATCCTCTTCTGGATCATCCAAATGCACTCTACCAAACTTCAGACGGGCCTGGAAATGTACTGCCTTAAGCAGGGGGACACGTCTGGCCACTGCAGGATTTGAGTCCCTGGCGGCGTAGTGTGTTACTGATGGTAGGCTTTGTTACTTTGGTCCCAGCTCTCTGCAGGTCATTCACTAGGTCCCCCCGTGTGGTTCTGGGATTTTTGCTCACCGTTCTTGTGATCATTTTGACCCCACGGGGTGAGATCTTGCGTGGAGCCCCAGATCGAGGGAGATTATCAGTGGTCTTGTATGTCTTCCATTTCCTAATAATTGCTCCCACAGTTGATTTCTTCAAACCAAGCTGCTTACCTATTGCAGATTCAGTCTTCCCAGCCTGGTGCAGGTCTACAATTTTGTTTATGGTGTCCTTTGACAGCTCTTTGGTCTTGGCCATAGTGGAGTTTGGAGTGTGACTGTTTGAGGTTGTGGACAGGTGTCTTTTATACTGATAACAAGTTCAAACAGGTGCCATTAATACAGGTAACGAGTGGAGGACAGAGGAGCCTCTTAAAGAAGAAGTTACAGGTCTGTGAGAGCCAGAAATCTTGCTTGTTTGTAGGTGACCAAATACTTATTTTCCACCATAATTTGCAAATAAATTCATTACAATGTGATTTTCTGGATTTTTCTTTCTCAATTTGTCTGTCATAGTTGACGTGTACCTATGATGAAAATTACAGGCCTCTCTCATCTTTTTAAGTGGGAGAACTTGCACAATTGGTGGCTGACTAAATACTTTTTTCCCCCACTGTATATAAGCCAGACAAGTGGTGTATATAAGGTTTTAGACCGGGTTGTGTATATAAGGTCGACAGGTGTGTATATAGGCCAGACGGGTGTGATATAAGGCCCAGACAGGGTGTGTATAATAAGACCAGACAGGGTGTTATCTAAGACCAGACAGGTGTGTCATATAAGGTTAACGTGTGTGTATATAAGGCCCGACACGGGTGTGTATATAAGGCCAACAGGGTGTGTCATATAAGGTTTAGACAGTGGTGTGTATATAAGGGCCTTCATGTGGTGTTTATCAGGTTCAGACAGGGTGTGTATATAAGACGCAGACAGGGTGGTTATAGGCCAAACAGGGTGTGGTATATAAGGCCATCGGTGTGGTATACAAAGGTTGACAGGGTGTTATTAACCAGCGGGTGTGTTAAAAAGACCAAAAGGGTGTGATATAAGATTAGACGGGGTGTAATTTAAGGGGCCCGACTGTGTTATAAAAATTGACGGGGGTGTATAAGGCCAACAGGGTGTTTATAGGGTTAGACAGGTTGTATTAAGGTTAACAGGGGTGTATTAAGGCCCAAAAGGGTGTGTATAAAGGTAACGTGTTTTTAATAAAACCAGACAGGGTGTGTATATAGGCCCAACGGTGTAAAAATAAGGCCGACAGGGTGTATTAAGGTAGCGGTGTGGTTAAAGGCAATCAGGGTGTGTTAAAGGTTAGCAGGGTTGTTATAAGACCAGACGGGGGTGTAATAAGATTAAAAGGGGTGTAATTTTAAACCAACGGGGGTTATTAAACCAGCAGGGTGTTATAAGGCCAACAGGGTTGGGGATTAACCAGACAGGGTGTGTATTAAGGGCCAAAAGGGTGGTATTAAGGTTAAAAGGGGGTTGTAAAAAGGGCCCGACAGGTTTGTATTAAGGTTAACAGGGTGTGTTATAAGGGCCCGACAGGGGGTTATTAAGGCCAACGGGGGTGTTATAAAACCAACAGGGTTGTATATAAGCCAGACGGGGTGTAATAAGGTTAGACAGGGTGTATAAAGGGCCCGACGGGGTGAAAAAAGGCCAACAGGGTGTGATATAAACCAGACAGGGGGTTTTATAAAGACCCGACAGGTGGTATAAAGGTTAACAGGGGGGTATATAAAGGGCAACAGGGGGTGTTTAAGGCCAAAAGGGTTTTAATGGCCAGACGGGTTTTTTAATAAGGTTGACAGGGTGTTATTAAAGGCCAGTCGGGTTGTATACAAGGTTGACAGGTGTGTATATAAACCAAAAGGGGTGTTAAAAAGCCAGACAGGGTGTATATAAAGGGTTAACGGGGGTGTTATAAGGGCCCGTCAGGGGTTTATTAAGGGTTTGCGGGTGTTATATAAGCCCAGACATGGTGTGTATTAAGGTTGACATGGTGTTTATCTAGGTTTCGACAGGGTGTGTATATAAGGTTAGACAGGGTGTTGTATAAGGCAGACAGTGTGGTGTATAAAGGCCATACAGGTTTGTATATAGGTTAGACAGGGTTGGTATATAAGCCCAGACAGGGTGTATATAAGGTTAGACAGGGTGTGGTATATACGACCACCTGGTGTGTCTGTAAGGTTTAGAACGGGTGTTTTAATAAAATGCTATAGGCCGCGAAACGGGGTGCTACTTTGGGGTCGGGGTGTCGACTGATGATGATCTGGACTGGCCCGGGTGCGCACTGGCTCAGAACCATGTACACATCGTTCAGCACCATGTTGTACACCACCGTGTTGTTGATCTCCATAATCTCATCTCCACATCTAGGAGAGGGAAGAGGGGGAGAGACAGGGGAAGGTGGAGAGAGGGGGTGGAGAGAGAGAGGGGAGGGGGAGATGGAGAGTGAGTGTGAAGATGTAAGTTAAAATACGGTAACTGATTCAAGCTGAGCATTTTTTATTTTTTTATTTCTCCTTTATTTAACCAGGTATGCCAGTTGAGAACAGGTTCTCATTTACAACTGCGACCTGGCCAAGATAAAGCAAAGTAGTGCAATAAAAACAACACAGAGTTACATATGGGGTAAAAAAACATAAAGTCAGAAATACAACAGAAAATATATATACAGTGTGTGCAAATGTAGCAAGTTATGGAGGTAAGGCAATAAATAGGCTATAGTGCAGAATAATTACAATATTATTAACACTGGAATGCTAGATGTGCAAGAGATGATGTGCAAATAGAGATACTGGGGTGCAAAAGAGCAAAATAAATAACAATATAGGGATGAGGTAGTTGGGTGGGCTAATTTCAGATGGGCTGTGTACAGGTGCAGTGATCGGTAAGGTGCTCTGACAACTGATGCTTAAAGTTATTGAGGGAGATAAGAGTCTCCAGCTTCAGAGATTTTTGCAATTCGTTCCAGTCATTGGCAGCAGAGAACTGGAAGGAATGGCGGCCAAAGGAGGTGTTGGTGTCACACCCTGGCTATGGGACTCTAGTTGTTGAGCCAGGGTGTGTTTGTTCTATGTGGTGTGTTTCTATGTTGGGGGTTCTAGTTCGTCTATTTCTATGTTTTGCCTGAGTGACTCCCAATCAGAGGCAACGAGTGTCAGCTGTTGGCTGGTTGTCTCTGATTGGGAGCCATATTTAAACTGTCTGTTTTCCCTTTGTGTTTGTGGGTTTTTGTTCCGTGTTGGTTGGTGTATGTAACCAGGGACGTCACGGTTTCGTTTTGTTGTTTTGATCGTGTGATCATTTATTAAATAAAGAATATGTTTGCCTTCAACGCTGCGCCTTGGTCTCTCCCTGACGATCGAGACAGAAAAACCCACCATACAAGGACCAAGCAGCGTGTCCAGGAGCAGGCAGACTGGACTTGGGAACAGTGGAGGAGGAGTCTCGACTGGGTCAAGCCTAATGAAGAGCAGAATGGCTGGAGTTGGAGGCAGAAGAGCGAGAGTTGGGCGAAAACTATAGAGGCCTGGCCCACGGGGAGGAGAGACCCCCAGAAAATTTTTAGGGGGGGGCTCACGACGTCGGGGCAGCAGGAGGCCGCGATAGAGCGGTCCAGCGGGTTGGCAGAGGAGGCCGCCATGTTAAGGGTGCCACTGGTCACTAAGGGGAAGGAAAGTGTGGAGGCACGGCGAGAGGTACTGGGGTGTGTTACCAGTCCGGTCCGGCCCGTTCCTGATCCCCGCGTAGGGCCAGGGGTGTGTGTCCCCAGTGCGGTCCGGTCTGTTCCTGTTCCTCGCATCGAGCCTGTGGTGCGCGTCGCCAGCCCGGTCCGGCCCGTTCCTGCTTCCCGCACCAAGTCAGTGGTGCGCTTCGTCAGTCCGGCACGGCCCGTGCCTGCTCCCCGCACCAAGCCTATGGTGTGCGTCGCCAGCCCGGCCCGGCCTGTTCCTGCCCCTCGCACCAAGCCTACGGTGAGCATCGCCAGCCCGGTAAGGCCCGTTGCTGCTCCACGCACCAAGCCTACGGTGCGCGTCGCTAGCCCGGCCCGGCCTGTTCCTGCCACTCGCACCAAGTCTACGGTGCGCGTCGCCAGCCCGGCCCGGCCTGTTCCTGCCACTCGCACCAAGTCTACGGTGCGAGTCGTCAGCCTGGTCCAGCCCGTTCCTGCTACTCGCACCAAGCCAGGGGTGCGAGTCGTCAGCCTGGTCCAGCCCGTGCCTGCCACTCGCACCAAGCCAGGGGTGCGAGTCATCAGCCTGGTCCAGCCCGTTCCTGCCACTCGCACCAAGCCAGGGGTGCGAGTCGTCAGCCTGGTCCAGCCCGTTCCGGCCACTCGCACCAAGCCAGGGGTGCGAGTCGTCAGTCCAGTGAGGCCCGTTGCTGCTCCACGCACCAAGTCAGGGGTGCGTATCGTCAGCCAGGTCCGGTCCTTTCCTGCCTCACGCACCAAGCCAGGGGTGCGCGTCGTCTGTCCGGCACAACCCGTGCCTGGGTCACCGGTGCCTAACCAGGTACCGGTCAACGGCTCCACTACGGAGTTGAAGCTAACCGCTCCTGCTACGTCCAGTCCAGCTCTAGCCGGCGGGGCCAGACCGGACCAGGGGCACTATGGGGGGTTTGTTGGAGGGTGGTGGGCAAGCCCGGAGCCAGAACCGCCGCCGAGGAGGTATGCCCACCCAGCCCTCCCCTGTTTTGCTCTTTTTGAGGCGCGGTCGCAGTCCGCGCCTTTAGGGGGGGGTACTGTCACACCCTGGCTATGGGACTCTAGTTGTTGAGCCAGGGTGTGTTTGTTCTATGTGGTGTGTTTCTATGTTGGGGGTTCTAGTTCGTCTATTTCTATGTTTTGCCTGAGTGACTCCCAATCAGAGGCAACGAGTGTCAGCTGTTGGCTGGTTGTCTCTGATTGGGAGCCATATTTAAACTGTCTGTTTTCCCTTTGTGTTTGTGGGTTTTTGTTCCGTGTTGGTTGGTGTATGTAACCAGGGACGTCACGGTTTCGTTTTGTTGTTTTGATCGTGTGATCATTTATTAAATAAAGAATATGTTTGCCTTCAACGCTGCGCCTTGGTCTCTCCCTGACGATCGTGACAGTTGGCTTTGGGAATGACCAGTGAGATATACCTGCTGGAGCGCAGACTACGGGTGGGTGCTGCTATGGTGACCAATGAGCTTAGATAAGGCGGGGATTTGCCTAGCAGTGATTTATAGATGGCCTGGAGCCAGTGGGTTTGACGACGAACATGTAGTGAGGACCAGCCAACAAGAGCGTACAGGTCACAGTGGTGGGTAGTGTATGGGGCTTTGGAGACAAAACGGATGGCACTGTGATAGACTACATCCAATTTGCTGAGTAGAGTGTTGGAGGCTATTTTGTAAATGACATCGCCGAAGTCAAGGATCGGTAGGATAGTCAGTTTTACGAGGGCATGTTTGGCAGCATGAGTGAAGGAGGCTTTGTTGCGAAATAGGAAGCCGATTCTAGATTTAACTTTGGATTGGAGATTCTTTATGTGAGTCTGGAAGTTGAGTTTACAGTCTAAACCAGACACCTAGATATTTGTAGTTGTCCACATACTCTAGGTCAGACCCGTCGAGAGTGGTGATTCTAGTCGGTTGGGGCGGGTGCTAGCAGCGTTCGATTGAAAAGCATGCATTTAGTTTTACTAGTGTTTAAGAGCAGTTGAAGGCTACTGAAGGATTGTTGTATGGCATTGAAGCTCGTTTGGAGGTTTGTTAACACAGTGTCCAATGAAGGGCCAGATGTATACAAAATGGTGTCGTCTGCGTAGAGGTGGATCTGAGAGTCACCAGCAGCAAGAGCGACATCATTGATATACACGGAGAAAAGTGTCGGCCCAAGAATTGAACCCTGTGGCACCCCCATAGAGACTGCCATAGGTCCAGACAACAGGCCCTCCGATTTGACACACTGAACTCTATCTGAGAAGTAGTTGGTGAACCAGGCGAGGCAGTCATTTGAGAAACCAAGGCTATTTAGTCTGCCAATAAGAATGCGGTGGTTGACAGAGTCAAAAGCCTTGGCCAGGTCGATGAAGACGGCTGCACAGTACTGTCTATTATCAATCGTGGTTATAATATCGTTTAGGACCTTGAGCGTGGCTGAAGTGCACCCGTGACCAGCTCGGAAAACCGGATTGCATAGCGGAGAAGGTACGGTGGTATTCGAAATGGTCGATGATCTGTTTGTTAACTTGGCTTTCGAATACTTTCGAAAGGCAGGGCAGGATGGATATAGGTCTGTAGCAGTTTGGATCTAGAGTGTCACCCCCCTTTGAAGAGGGGGATGACCGCGGCAGCTTTCCAATCTCTGGGGATCTCAGACATTATGAAAGAGAGGTTGAACAGACTAGTAATAGGGGTTGCGACAATTTCGGCGGGCTAGTTTTAGAAAGAAAGGGTCCAGATTGTCTAGCCCAGCTGATTTGTAGGGGTCCAGATTTTGCAGCGCTTTCAAAACATCAGCTGTCTGAATTTGTGTGAAGGAGAAGCGGGGGGGGCATGGGCAAGTTGCAGCAGAGGGTGCAGAGTTGGTGGCCGGGTTAGTGGTAGCCAGATGGAAAGCATGGCCAGCTGTAGCAAAATGCTTGTTGAAATTCTCGATTATTGTAGATTTATCGGTGGTGATAGTGTTTCCTAGCCTCAGTGCAGTGGGCAGCTGGGAGGAAGTGCTCTTATTCTCCATGGACTTTACAGTGTCCCAAAACGTTTTGGAGTTAGTGCTACAGGATGCAAATTTCTGTTTGAAAAAGTTAGCCTTTGCTTTCCTGACTGCTTGTGTATATTGGTTCCTAACTTCCCTGAAAAGTTGCATATCGCGGGGGCTATTTGATGCTAATGCTGTACGCCACAGGATGTTTTTGTGCTGGTCAAGGGCAGTCAAGTCTGAGGAGAACCAGGGGCTATATCGGTTCTTAGTTCTGTATTTTTTGAATGGGGCATGTTTATTTAAGATTGAGAGGAAATTACTTTTAAGGAACAACCAGGCATCCTCTACTGACGGAATGAGATCTATATCCATCCAGGATACCTGGGCCAGGTCAATTAGGAAGGCCTCCTCGCTAAAGTGTTTTAGGGAGCGTTTGACAGTGATGAGGGGTGGTCGTTTGACCGCAGACCCGTTACGGACGCAGGCAATAAGGCAGTGATCGCTGAGATCCTGGTTGAAGACAGCTGAGGTGTATTTAGAGGGTATGTTAGTCAGGATGATATCTATGAGGGTACCCATGTTTAAGGATTTAGGGTTGTACCTGGTAGGTTCGTTGATAATTTGCGTGAGGTTGAGGGCATCTAGCTTGGATTGTAGGATGGCTGGGGTATTAAGCATATCTCAGCCAGCATATGCACAGACCATGTGTCAACAATAAACTGCTCTGGATCAGTGACTCTGCTCAATAACTAATGGAGAGAGGTTCTGTGATGTCCTCTCCAGAGTCTGCTCCTTCCCTCCCCTTCTCATGCATTGAAAAGCATTGGATTAGTGCCACCATGGCTTGAGGGCGTTTCCACTACATCCATTCCTTTCCAAATCCTTGATGGGGAGGGTACAAGTGCACACTTGGGATAAAGGTAAAGAATGGGACCACAACCAGGGAGTAAGGAAGTGGGAAGTGTACTGAGGTAAGAGACTCCTTTTCATGACAAGGAGTGTAATGTTAGCACAAACAGACAGGTACCCAGGCTATGTGTATTCAGCATTTACAGAATGTTTCTTTAACCCTTACCTGAGTCTACTGTCCATGTGTGCCACCGACCCAGGGGACAGGGTGTGGATATAGATGCCACGGCAACCATCTCCAGAGGGCACACAACACAGCCCAATACCCAGCCCCACACCAGCTTCTACACACACACACACACACACACACACGCCCGCATGCACACAGGCACACAAACACACACACGAAGACAGATATGACATTGTGTAAGTTAGATGATCTAGCTTTAGTTTAGCTATACCATCCAAGTCCAAATCATAATACAACTTATAATATCTTATTTTTGACCCCCTGACCTTTGTGCAAAGTGATCTCCATCATGACGCGATCCCGGGGTTTGGCCAAAGGCGGCAGGGTGTTGGTGTTTGTGTGTGTGTTGGCGGCGGTGACACCGCTGAGGTAGTTGTAGTCCCCCATATCAGTGCTGACCCGGGCCATGCCAGTACTGGAGCTGAGAGAGCGAGACCGACACAGCTGTGCTACCGCCGCCTGGCCACAGAGGGCGCCGACACGCAGGCTGGTCCTCACCGCCAGAGTCAACAGACCCTTCTTTATCTGCTGTGGAGGGAGGAAGGGAGGGATCGAGAGGGAGAAAGTAAAGGAATAGGAGTAGGATAGGGAGATTGAGAGGGATCAGGGATAGCAGAGAATAGATAGATAACAAGGGAAATGGAGAAGGAGAAGAGATATAGGGAGCGGTATACTTTGGCCATCTTTCTATTCTTGGTTCGTTTGATCTTTTTCTACTCTTTCTCCTTGCGTCCCTCCTTTTTGCGTTTCTCCTTTTTCGCTTTTCCTCCTTCTCTCTTTCTTCGCTCTCTCTCTTCTTTCTCGTTCTCCTTTCCTCTCTTTTCTCTCTTTCTCTCTTCTCCTCTCTTCTCTTTTCCTCTTTCTCTCTTTCTCCTTCTCTTTCTCTTCTTCTCCTTTCTCTCCTTTCCTCTTCTTTTTCCTCCTTTCTTTCTCGTTTCTTTCTTCTTTTTCTTTCTCTTTCTCTTCCTGTCTCGCTTTTTTTACTAATCTTAAGTCTTGTTCTCCTCTGGTCCCTTGACCTGGAGTCTCAGGAATCATGTTCTGATTAAGACAACCAAGAGATTCTTAAATAATGATCATGGGTGTTGTGTATTGAACATAATCTGTTAAGTGGTTCTAGAACAGGGTTAGACCACCCTTTACCTGATGCTCAGGCACTCATGCTTTTATTTACCAACCAGGGGACATGTGTGTTGAAATTAGGCAATCAGGTGTGGTGCCTAGTTGGAACAAAATCCTGCATTACCTGCGGCACTCCAGGAACAGGGTTGCCTACCCCTGTTCTAAAATGTCTTCCAACCAATCAAAAGTGATCCTTTTAATTCCAGCATGTTGTATTATGCTGTAATAATGTTGTATTATGGCTGTAATAACGGTGTAATACGGCTGTAACAACTATGTAATATGATGATTTGTTGTGGTGCTGCAGTCTTACTTTGAATCTCTGCAGTGCGTCCTCATGAGTTAGGCCATGTAGAGACTCTCCATTCAACTCCAGGATCTCATCCCCTGAGAGAGAACGAGAGAGAGAGAGAACGAGAGGAGAGAGAGAGAGAGAGAGAGAGAGAGAGAGAGAGAGAGAGGGAGACTATAGAGGATCTCTACGAGGATATCGCTAGAGAGAGCGAATAGAGAGAGAGAAACAGAGACAGAGACAGAGACCGAGTACAAGAGATACAGAGAGAGAGAGAGAGAGATAGAGACAGAGACCGCCAGGGACAGAGAGAGACAGACAGAGACAGAGAGTGAGAGAGAGAGAGACCGAGAGAGAGAGAGAGAGAGAGAGAGAGAGAGAGATTACTTTACATAACTGTAGATTACTTTATCACTGACCTCAACCCAGAGTCTCTCAGAGTGTTCAGTCAGCCCACTGACACCCCTATCAGATCACAGCAAAATCACAGTCTACTTGAACAGAGCAATACTCAATCATGAGACATCAAAGCCAAAGGAACTACATAATATTAAGAAATGCTATAGATGGAAGGAAAGTAGCTTAGAAACCTACCAAAAAACATTTAGGCAACAACAAATTCAATCGCTTTTAGACAACTTCCTGGAGAAAAAGTTTCACTGTAATAGTGAAGGTTTAAACTTGGCAGTAGAAAACCTAAACAGTATATTTGACCTCTCAGCTTCCCTATCAAATCTAGGAGACAACCTAAGAAAATTAACAACAATGACAAATGGTTTGATGAAGAATGCAAAAACCTAAGAATGAAATCCAACCAAAAACCTATCCAACCAAAAACATAGAGACCCAGAAAACCTGAGCCTACGCCTTCACTATGGTGAATCACTAAAACAATACAGAAATAAACTACGGAAAAATAAGAAACAGCACGTCAGAAATCAGCTCAATGTAATTGAAGAATCCATAGAATCTAACCACTACGGGAAAATTGGAACACACTAAACAAACAACACAAAGAGTTATCTATCCAAAACGGATCTGTATGAATAAACCACTTCTCCAATCTTTTTGGCTCTATAACAAAGAACAAACAGCAAAAACATATACATGATCAAACAATAATCTTAGAATCAACAATTCAAAACTACCAGAACCCACTGGATTCTCCAATTACATTGAATGAACTACAGGACAAAATACAAATCCTCCAACCTAAAAAGGCCTGTGGTGTTGATGGTATCCTAAATTAAATGATAAAATATACAGACCACCAATTCCAATTGGCTATACTTAAACTCTTTAACATCATCCTCAGCTCTGGCATTGTCACGACTTCCTCCGAAGCTGCCTCCCCTCCTTGTTCGGGCAGGCTTCGGCGTTCGTCGTCACCGGCCTTCTAGCCACTGCCGCTCCATATCTCATCATTCCATTTGTCTTGTCTTGTCAATTATACACACCTGGTTCATATTCCCGTCATTAGTACGTGTTTAAGTGTTCCCTCTGCCCCCCTTGTCCTTGTGGGTGATTGTTCATTGTGAGGATTAGTAGCTCGGTTGAGCTCAGTATTTTGTGTTGCCGGGGTGTTTTCCCCGTGTGCATGTTTGTTCCAGTGCGCCTGTTTTGCGCACTGAACTGGTTACGCTGGATTATGGAAAAATCTCTGTATACTGTGATTTATCCTCTTGCACCTGACTCCTTCAAATCACGCATCACAGGCATTTTCCCCAATATTTGGAACCAGGACTGCTCACCCCAATCCACAAAAGTGGAGACAAATTTGACCCCAATAACTACCGTGGGATATTCGTCAACAGCAACCTTGGGAAAATCCTCTGCGTTATCATTAACAGCAGACTAGTTCATTTCCTCAGTGAAAACAATGTACTGAGCAAATGTCAAATTTGCTTTTTACCAAATTACCATACGACAGACCATGTATTCACCCTGCACACCCTAATTAAGGCTTTGTTGATTTCGAAAAAGCTTTTGACTCAATTTGGCGTGAGGGTCTGCTATGCAAATGGATGGAAAGCGGTGTTGGGGGAAAAACCCACGACATTATAAAATCCATGTACACAAACAACAAGTGTGTGGTTAAAACTGGCAAAAAACACACACATTTATTTCCACAGGGCCGTGGGGTGAGACAGGGATGCAGCTTGATTCCCACCCTCTTCAACACATATATCAACGAATTGGCGAGGGCACTAGAACTGTCTGCAATACCAGGCCTCACTACTAAAATCTGAAGTCAAATGTCTACTGTTTGCTGATGATCTGGTGCTTCTGTCCCCTACCAAGGAGGGCCTACAGCAGCACCTAGATTTTCTGCACAGATTCTGACAGACCTGGGCCCTGACAGTAAATCTCAGTAAGACAAAAATTATGGTGTTCCAAAAAAGGTCCAGTTGCCAGGACCACAAATTCTCGATCCCAAAACGCCAAATAATGCATGCAGAGCAGAATTAGGCCGACACCCGCTAATTATCAAAATCCAGAAAAGAGCCATTAAATTCTACAACCACCTATAAGTAAGCGATTCCCAAACCTTCCATAACAAAGCCTTCACCTACAGAGAGATTAACCTGGAAAAGATTCCCCTAAGCAAGGTGGTCCTGGGTCTCTGTTCACAAACACAAACAGACCCCACAGAGCCCCAGGACAGCAACACAATTAGACAAAACCAAATCATGAGAAAACAAAAAGATAATTACTTGACACATTGGATAGAAGTAACAAAAAAAACAGAGCAAACTAGAATGCTATTTGGCCCTAAACAGAGAGTACACAGTGGCAGAATACCTGACCACTGTGACTGACCCAAAATTAAGGAAAGCTTTGACTATGTACAGATTCCGTGAGCATAGCCTTGCTATTGAGAGAGCCCACCGTAGGCAGACCTGGCTCTCAAGAGAAGACAGGCTATGTGCACACTGCCCACAAAATGAGGTGGAAACTAAGCTGCACTTCCTAACCTCCTGCCAATTGTATGACAATATTAGAAACACATATTTCCTTGAGATTACACAGACCCACAAAGAATTCCAAAACAAACCCAATTTGGATAAACTCCCATATCTATTGGGTGAAATACCACAGTGTGCCATCAAAGCAGCAATATTTGTGACCTGTTGCCACAAGAAAAGGGCAACCAGTGAAGAACAAACACCATTGTAAATACAACCCATATTTATGTTTATTTATTTTCCCTTTTGTACTTTAACTATTTGACATCGTTACAACACTGTATATATACATAATATGACATTTGAAATGTCTATTCCTTTGGAACGTTTGTGAGTGTAATGTTTACTGTTAATATTTATTGTTTATTTCACTTTCCTTCATGATCTATTTCACTTGCTTTGGCAATGTAAACATATGTTTCCCATGCCAATAAAGCCATTTGAATTGAAATTGAATTGAGAGAGAGAGAGAGAGAGAGAGAGAGATAGAGCAAGATAGAGAGAGAGAGAGAGAGAGAAGAGAGAAGAGAGAGAGAGAGAGACGAGAGTAGTAGAGAGATATGAGACCGACAGATCAGCACAGCTAGCCTCACTAGAGAGAATAAGAGAGAGGAACAGATGAATAGATGTGATATATAGAGATAGACACTACAGATGATAAAACTAGATAGCCATACTGTATAGATCAGAGATAGACAAGTGGACCACAGTCAGCCAACATGCTGCTCACCATACAGATAATAATATGATAATATAGTAAACTAAATGATCATTCTGTGCCATACTGTATAGATCTAAGACAGTGGTCACTGGTCCAGCAGTCCAAGAGGGCTACAGGGTGTGTGTATGCTTTAGTGTAAGTTAGTGTTGGACTGAGATCAACTCTGTTGTTGTACTAATAACATTTGAACGAAAGCATATGGTTTACATCGTTTTCATGCTCATCAAACCATTCAGTTACCAGTTGTGCCCTGTGGATGGGGGCATTGTCATCCTGGAAGAGGCCACTCCCATCAGGATAGAAATGCTTCACCATTGGTTGAAGGTGATCACTCAGAATGGTTGAGTGGAAGACCCAGAGCTACCTCTCTGTCTTTCTCCTCTTACCCTCCTGCAGTCTGCCATCTGCAGCCGCGGCCCCTCCAGGGAAGATGGTCTTGACGTAGATACCCATGGGTCCATACATGCTGTCCCTGCCCCCCACGATACTGAACCCCAGACCCTGCATGGGACAACACAACAGTTAGGAGAGACTTGAAACTACAGATTGCACCTTTAAGGAGGAGTATTCACCCCCTTTAAAGATGTAATCTGTAGTTTCATTTCTGGTAATGAAAAATATTAACCCGGCCAATAGCACTGAGGGGGTGGTCTTTGCAATTGTACTCTGACTGGCTTAAATGTAACTAGGACCCCGAGTTTTCCCATCAAGTCATATGGTCAGGGAAAACTCAGGGCCAAAGCAACAACTTATCACTAGTATGTGTAAAGATTAGATGCTACTCAGTAGTAGAAGCAAACAATGATGCTTTATCATGAATTAGCCCCAGGGCCACGTGCTGCGTTCAAGATCCTGGAGCAGACGTTCAAACGTGCTGCATAATTACCTTGCCATGGCCCTTCATCAGCACAATGTTACAGATGATGAAGGCTTGGACGTTACTGCAGGAGTGGACCAGATGGGCGGAGCTAAGAGAGCGAGAGGGGCGGGGAACGGGCTGTGGAGGGGGGAGGAGGAGTGGGGTGGAGGGTGGAGAAGGGGGAGGAGGGGGACAGACGGGAGACACCCTCAGTCAGGTTCCACACACACACACACACACACACACAGGTTTCACACACACACACACACACACACATTTTTCCTCGCTCGCTCTAGAGTCCAAGTTCTGCTAAGCAGGAAGAAGCCTGACAAATTGAGTTGACTAATTCCAGATGCTTTTTGGAAGTGTTTTCTACACCTGTTTTTAATCTCCCTTCTTTTCGTATTGTTCTGACGTTTCTCTTCTCTCCGTCTCACTCACTGTATGAGCAGATCATTGAATTATGTAATGATTATAATGTAAAAGAGTCTCCTTCCAAGAACTTCATTGAATAGAAACTTTTATCATGAGAACTCAAATTGAAATAACAAGGCAATAGGAGCAGCGGCTACTGTAGAAATCTCACGAATGTAATAAGTCAGGACCGATCTTGATTCATTGTAATCAGAGCATTTGCAGGTGCAGAAACTCTCAAGGCAGGTAGGCAGACAGGCACACACACACACCTGGTTGGGGTTGTGAGGAAACTCCAGCTGCTGGGACAGGGACTTCCTGCTGCCAAAGAAACCAGCGGTTCCGTGGGTGTTGCTCTGGTAAAGCTCAGGTGTCTTCAGGATAATAGTGTCCAGGTCTCCGATCCAGTATGGATGGACACCTGAGCACAATTCAATACAATGTCATGTGATTCAATACAATGTCATGTGACTCAATACAATGTCATGTGATGCAATACTATCCAGAGACCAAGCAGAACTCAAGATACCAACTGTGATCAACTGTATGGAACCTGGGTTATCTGCTTCCCTCAATACCACATTAGCCCATTGAGCTAAAGCCTACGACATTTTCTGGGCGATAACAAGACTCTTGGTTACTAATCATAAAAGCAGGTCAAAACAGGGAAAGACTAGTTGCTCATACAGCAAGGAATGCAATTTGTAAAAAAAACAAAAAAACAAGTGACTTACAAAACGTACCCAGGTCAATTTCAAGCATCATTACATTTAGTCATTTCCAGAGTTTAGACAACATCTGTGCAGGATGTGACAAACTCAACATCCATTTAGAGATTATAATGTCCTCATGTTCTTCTAGGACAGGAAGGAAATGACTTAATAGTATCTAATGATGTACCACAGGAAACTCAAGACAACTGCCTTTCAGGCCTCATATCGGTGTGTGTGTGTGTGTGTGTGTGTGTGTGCGTGCGTGCATGCGTGTGTGCATGTGTGTTACTGGTAGAGTTGGAGCGGGTCCTCTTGCAGACCGTCTGTCCCTGAAGACAGTGTCCTGTCCTCTCTGTGTCCCAGCCTCTGTCCTCATTCATCTCTGGGATTGCCAGCTACAACTCACAACATACCAGGGTCATGTTCATTCGACACCAAACGGAGGAAAACACACTGAAACAGGGTCATGGACTAGGCTGGGTGCCAGTCTGTTTAGCTTACATTCCACTCCATGTCCTGTGCTACCCTGGTGGAGTAGAATGTTATCTAAACAGATTGGTACCCAGACTAAGGATGGACTACCTGGGCTGTTATTTTTGTTTTCCGTTTCAAAACGTTTTACAATGATGTGCCCTACTGAATTCAACCCAGGTATTCATCCACTCTTGGAGGGAAATGGATGTTCAAACAATGATTTTCAAAGTTAAAGCCTAAAGATAATGAAGACACACTGAACCAAACAGTCTGTGAATGTTTATCAAGAGGACTTAGAAGAGTCCTAATTGATACCTTGAGGTGGTTGTTGTTCCCAGTGTGTTCTGTCTCTGTGTAGTTGGCCACTGCCATGGGGTCTGCCAGGCTCAGGGGGTCTGCCAGGGTTACACCTCCAGGGGAGTGGGGCTGCTGCTCACATGTTGAGCTTTCCTACAAAAACACACAGAAAGGACTGAAAGTTTAATCGTTATGGAATTCAATGGTGTACATGTGTCAATCTTTCTATGATTGGAGATAGTTTTTAGGACTTATACTGATTGTGTAAGATACAGAATTATTCCAAATAAAATGTGTGAATATAGTATTTCAATGCTTGGAAGAGATTGATGGAATTAAAATGAAATAATAAGCTACTAAAATATTGATTGCCCTTTTAGTTAATATCTGGAATATATTAGTTAATATATTTAACACTTGCTCACTTCAGTTAGAGAAGTCTGATTTGAATGATTGAATTTCCTGTTTTCAATTTGGTCTCTATAACAACGCATACTATTTCTCTGCTAGAGGCAGGACTGAGTATTATGGGAAAGATTTGAAGGAGAGACTGAAACAGTGTTCAAAACACAATCAGCTGAGTCCAAAGTTGTCACATGTTTTAGACATTCTTTCCTACTTGTCTGTCCCTCCCTTCTCTTCTTCTCTGTCTGTCTGTATCACTCTCTCTCTCTTTCTCACTCTCTCACTTGCTCTCTCTCTCTCTCACTTGCTCTCTCTCTCTCTCTCTCTCTCTCTCTCTCTCTCTCTCTCTCTCTCTCTCTCTCTCTCTCTCTCTCTCTCTCTCTCTCTCTCTCTCTCTCTCTCTCTCTCTCTCTCTCTCTCTCTCTCTCTCTCTCTCTCTGTGAGTGTGCATGAGCGTGTGTGTGAGAGTCTCTGTCCTTATACCCTTCTGTATCATCTCAAACAGACAGGGACTTGGCTTGGTCAGATGTAGTGTCACCTAGCATGAGACAGCTTCAACATATCCTCAGTCCAACCTCTGAAAAATGATTACAAATTGGATGAGGGAGGAAGATGTGAGAGGGCCTTCCACGTAGAGTGAAAGCTGCTTCAACAGCAGTGGGAGAAGTAGAATGAACACTTAAGCCAGGACTCACACTCTATATCCATTCATGAGATATGGGAAATGTAATCTCTCTCTCTCTCTCTCCCTTTTCACCAAATGGCTGACAGCAAAGTCAGTAATCTCTTTTCCTATTCAATTTCTGTTTTGAGACTATTTTCTACCCGGTTCAGCCAAATGAGGATGGGCCCCCATCAATTTGATTGATTGATCATTTGGAACTGTCACTCCCGTACAGGCAGAATGCATGTCATATCTAATGTCATCAATGTCACTACGCAGCTCTTTTTCCCACATACTGACAGTGCAGTGACTGTGGCTAGCAATGTTTTGTTGCACTATTTGGTTTAATTTGAACTCATTCCATTTCTGATTTCACATCATTTCTGAGGCAATGCAGATATTCTGCCCCACAGATTCCATCTGGGACCAGTGTTGGCTGGGACCAGTGTCTCGTGGATGTAGGATGGGAATGTGGCTACAGCATGTGAAGAAATGCCAGACCCACACAGACTTAGTGGCTGGAGGGATGATGGAGAATGACCTACTGTAACACAGGTGGAGTGTCAAATCTGTATTATAGTGAGGGTCCAAAATGGCACCCTATTCCCTATATTGTCAATACTTTGGTAAAAGTACTGCACTATACAGGGAATAGGGTGCCATTTGGGACCCAACTGAACATATTATGGGATGTATCAATTTAGAATGGCAAACATAGCAGTTGTCTATGGAAAAGATGGAATAGTCCCCAAGTGCACACCTCGTCCACTGCATGGCACTCCATTTGAAGTAAAACAAATACTATTTGAACCCAGGTCTGGTATGAAGTGCCAACATTTATATTTTTTCTTAATTTCAGCAACAGAACAAGTGGGATGTGAGTGGGATGTGAGTGGTTCTACCTCACTGTAGGCTGTTATGTGGCTGTTCCTGCAGGCGGCCTGCCTCCCTCCCTCCCCCTCTGTCCTGGCAGCATGGCCGTTCTTGGCCTGCCTCTCCACCTCTGTCCTGGCATGGCCGTTTAGACACTGTCCGTTAAAAGGTGCAAGCTTGTCTGTACTCTGAAGGTAACTGCTCCTGGAGAAGCAGGCAGAAAGACAAAGTTAGACAGAAGCTTCAGGGAAATTGCTTTGAAGCTTTCCTCTGAGAACTAAGCATAGAAAAATAGCCACTGTTGTTTGGCAGTGTGGGTACATTAGCCACTACACTTTGGGAATCTGCTGCATGCATTTCCCAAACTGTTGTACACAAGCCTTGGCAAGGCCATCTTCGAAAAACCATAAACTGACAGGTATAATGCACTATGCTAACAGCCATTTTGAATCAGTTCAAAATGTATTACATAGAAAGCCATAACATATAATAATAAGCCTTAAAGGGATACTTCAGGATTTTATCTACTTCCCCAGAGTCAGATAAACTCGTGGATACCATTTTTTTTTGTCTCTGTGTCCAGTATGAAGCATGCTAGTAGATACCCATAGACTTCCAGTCATTGCGCTAACGCTAGTTAGCATTGGCTTGCAAAACTACCTCTAACTTTTTAGCAGATGCTCTTATCCAGAGCGACTAACAGGAGCAATTAGGGTTAAGTCCCTTGCTCAAGGACACATCGACATGTTTTTCACCTAGTCGGCTCGGGGATTCAAACCAGCAACCTTTCAGATATTGTCCCAACGCTCTTAACAGCTAGGCTATCTGTCCCCCCAACTTCCTTCATACTGGACACAGAGACATACAAAATCCCAAAGTATCCCTTTAAGAAGACAGTATAAAGACCCAGACATGCTTACAATAAGTAATAAAGCATTATAGCAGTCTGCTTATATCTGTATGGCTTGCTACCTGTGTCCCTCCCCTCCTCCGTTCCTCCCTCGCTCCACACTGGGCTCTTTGTCCTCCGTCTGGTGGCTGCTATCGCCCGTCTGCAGGCCCAGACCCTCCTCGCCCGCCCCCGTCGTTACACACATCCTCCAGATACTGCTCTCCTGCACCAATAGGGCAAGCAGAGCGTTAGCACAAGGGGACCTCTATGCAGGGGCAATACTCTCCTGTGCCAATACAGTCCCAGGAGAGATGAGGTTACAACATGCTCAACTTTGTTTTCTTCATTAGACAAGGGTGTTATAAGTCAAGGAGCGACACAAGCATGCGAAAAGGCTAGCACTCAGTTGATGAAGCTGCAATTGGTGTCCATATCACCAACAAACTATCATGGTCCAAACACATCAAAACAGTCATGAAGAGGGCACGACAACGCCTTTTCCCCCTCAGGAGACTGAAAAGATTTGGCATGGGTCACAAGATCCTCAAAAAGTTATACAGCTGCACCATCGAGAGCATCCTGACCGGTTGCATCACCATCTGGTATGGCAACTGCTCGGCATCCGACCATAGTGCGTACGGCCCAGTACATCACTGGGGCCAAGCTTCCTGACATCCAGGACCTATATACTAGGCGGTGTCAGAGGAAGGCCCAAAAAATTGTCAAAGACTCCAGTCACCCAAGTCATAGACTGTTCTCTCTGCTATCGCACAGCAAGCGGTACCGGAGCGCCAAGTCTAGGTCCAAAAGGCTCCTTAACAGCTTCTACCCTCAAGCCATAAGACTGCTGAATAATTAATAAAATGGCCACCCAGACTATTTACATTGATTCACTTTACCCTTACTTACATGTACAAATTACCTCGACTAACCTGTACCCCCGCACAATGACTCAGTACTGGTACCCCCTGTATATAGCCTCGTTATAGTTATTTTATTGTGTTACTTTTTTCTTTTTTCTAACTTGAGTTTATTTAGTAAATATTTTCTTAACTCTATTTGTTGAACTGCATTGTTGGTTAATACATTTCATGGTAAGGTCTCCACCTGTTGTATTCGGCGCATGTGCCAAATAACATCTGATTTGATTGGATTTTAGTGGTTCATATGGATGGTTCCAACAGACTACGATAGCATAAAATATGTTTGTTTAGAGAGTAAAACCAGGGAAGTTGGGGACGGATCTTCAGAGGGTCAAAGAAACACATTGCCTAGACTAGAGCTACAACTCTAACTGCATATGTATCAAGCACATCAGAGTAGGAGTGCTGATCTAGGATCAGGTCACCCCTGTCTGTATTATCTTATTCATTGTGATCTAAAAGGCAAAGCTGATCCTAAATCAGCTCTCCTACTCTGAGACGTTAGATACATATGGCTCCCCTGGCCTTTTCTTATACCAGTACAGTCCAGTCCAGCAGAGCCAACACAAGGGCACCTCTATGCAGGGTTTTAAAAGACGGCTTTATGACCAAATCAAGACCTTGAGTTAATGGGTTGACAGCTTCAGAACAAATAACAGAGTAGTAGAGCTTTTATAGGTCTATGAACTGTGCCACAGCGTGCATAAGTTACCTTTATGAGAACTGCTAGTGTGTTTAGGCTCCTTTTAAAAGAGAACCATATGATTAACTTAAATCTCACATGACATTGTCCTTATGAAATGCAGGGGCCATTTTTGGAACCATTGTAAAGGTACTGCCCCACACCCACTACGGTTGAAAAATTTTTGAGATGAAATGCTGTAGTCTAACTGTGGGGTCCTGAGTCTGGGCTAGTGGGTAAAGCTGTAACCCTGCAGCACCATGGAACCCCCTCTCTCTATCCTTTTCAATGTCTCCCCTTGTTCCATTATATATCTCTATCTGAATAAAACAACAACAACCCCAGAGTATTAAACACACGTTCTAAACATGCACATGATATGAACATAAACAATGTAAACACAGTGAACGTCAACTCATGTTTGTTTCCCTCATGTATTTTTGCATGTATCTGAATGTCTGTTATTGACTGTCCTGTGACATAGCCTTCTGTCAGCTCAGAGTAGCAGGATTGGGCTCAATTCCATTTCTCCTAGGCCAATTCAGGGGTTTGAAAAGGAATCAAGCCTTTCTTTCTATGTGAACTCAATTAATTTGTGACCGGTTGGACACTAACAAGCTCTTTCCTCTGATTCACCCACCAGGTGTGTCTTGTCATAATCAACGGTAGGATCTTTATATGACAGTTTTTAAATGACAGCCTTCCGCTTCACTATCAACGAATTCACTCTTAATGAGTTGACATGGAATCGACCTAACCTTGGTGAATAGAGTTCATTCATAAACTTTAGGATAACCTTGGGTTTCTCTCTGAATGTCCATAGGATCATACTGTCTTGTGACATAGTCCTCATGTTATCCTAGTGATTAAATAACTAGCATTCATTCATTCATGAACTCTGATTTATGTTCTGCTACGGAACATTAATTCCTGACATCAATCTGGCTGAAGGTTGGCCTGAACATAATCAGTCTGCCGCTAAACACTACTTCCTGATGTAGTATCGGGTCAATGCTGGCAATTATTGCTGATAAACAAAGGAGTCCGCTCATACTGAACCTTGATCATAAGTTTATTCATATCACAAGCTTTCAGCATGAGTTTACGGATGTCATGACCACCCGGAGAGCAACGTCCCAGATTGCAATGGCTGCTCTAACCTCTTCGTCGTTTTTACCCAGTATATATAATCTTCCCAAGATAGGGGTGGCTCCCTCTACTGTCCAATCCCCTGTCTACAACACACAGACTTCTCTGTCCTATCCGGGGTGTCACCCTAAAACCCTTCCCTCTGACACTAAAATAAACATCCTCAAAGGTTCCACTTAAACCCATTAAGAAAGTCATAATCTCAATACACTACACTGACATTAATCTGGCTGAAGGTTGGCCTGAACATAATCAGTCTGCTACGGAACACTACTTCCTGACATCAATCTGGCTGAAGGTTGGCCTGAACATAAGCAGTCTGCTACGGAACACTACTTCCTGACATCAATCTGGCTGAAGGTTGGCCTGAACATAATCAGTCTGCTACGGAATACTACTTCCTGACATCAATCTGGCTGAAAATTGGCCTGAACAGAATCAGTCTGCTACGGAACACTACTTCCTGACATCAATCTGGCTGAAGATTGGCCTGAACAGAATCAGTCTGCTACGGAACACTACTTCCTGACATTAATCTGGCTGAAGGTTGGCCTGAACAGAATCAGTGTGCTACGGAACACTACTTCCTGACATTAATCTGGCTGAAGGTTGGCCTGAACAGAATCAGTCTGCTACGGAACACTACTTGCTGACATCAATCTCGCTGAAAGTTGGCCTGAACATAATCAGTCTGCCGCTAAACACTACTTCCTGACATTAATCTGGCTGAAGATTGGCCTGAACAGAATCAGTCTGCTACGGAACACTACTTCCTGACATTAATCTGGCTGAAGGTTGGCCTGAACAGAATCAGTCTGCTACGGAACACTACTTCCTGACATCAACCTGGCTGAAGGTTAGCCTGAACAGAATCAGTCTGCTACGGAACATTACTTCCTGACATCAATCTGGCTGAAGATTGGCCTGAATAGAATCAGCCATGTGAGTTCACAGTACTGACAGAGGTGATGCTTTTATCTTATAACACATAGCTAGGAACAAGACTAACAGACCAGCCATAACCTCAAATAGGGGAGGAATGAAGGAAGGAAGGGTGCATTTATTAAGTATTTGAACATGGCCACATTGTCCCGAGGCTCTATGACATCAGTGAAATGTCCTCATAGCCTTGTGTTAGCTAGTTAACATGTCTTTCCCTCCAATGTGGTCTAATACCTCTCTCCCTCCCCTGGTTCCCAACAAACACTTTCTTTGTGTGTGAGTGAAACAGGCCCAACGAGCAGCACTCAGCCCTCTGACACACAGGCCATGTGATTGCTGTTATGCATTTGCACAAGAAAACCCCGTCCAGACAGGATGACTAAGGACCCATCCGCAAGACTAGAGGAACCCAGTCCAGACAGAGATGACTAGAGGAACACATTCCAGACTTATTATGGGTAGTACCAGGAGTTCTTCATACACTGGACTCAATCTTCAGATACAATACTGTATTGTATATGTTTTATCCTAAATGCTTTCATATTGAGACAAGTCCTAACTTGAGATCAACATGCATTATTCATTCCCCCCCCCCCCACAAATCTCCCATTGTCTTCAATGCATGTTTCAAGTGAGGATCTGACCCCTTTTGAGCAACTAAGACTCTCTACCCACCACACATAACAAGAAGTAAGTCATATGCTTTTGAAGGCTGGAGTCTTTAGCTTGTTCACTCTTGCAATAGCAGTAACAGTCTTAACATGCAACATGTATGGTACCTGAACATGGTATGCTAATCCACCTGATGCCTAGCTGTCAGCCTGTCAGCTGAGAAAGGATCTCATGTCTGTCAATACACTGCTGAGGGAACTGGACTGCATAAACACACATTTTTAGTTTTCCAGATTCATTAAAACTTCTTATCATAGTCTTAGTTAAGTAAGTGTATAGTGCATACAAGATAGTGCAAAAATGGTTTTGAAGCCACTGGATTTCATTAGCAATGAGGGTAGCTAGCTTTCACTGCAGCCGTCACTGATTGTCTAGGGCTGTGAGTAAACATTAGGACTCTGTTCTTCAGACCCGCCAACAGTTCATTCAGGCTTCCGCTCATCTCCGCTTGTGTCCTTGAAGTTGTCCATATTTGTCGGCATGAAGACTCACATAGTGGCGACGAAGGTTATATTCTTTCAGCATAAATAGGATGACCATTTTTCTTGGAACACTCTGCACTCTGCGTCCACTTTTCTCTTTTTTGACAGAGACATATTGGGGCAATGAGGGTGCCAAAGCACATAATGTTAAAAGTAGAAGCCGTAATAAATATCGCGGGCAAAACAAAGTAGCTCATTGGCTGCACGTGCTTGACCTACTTGCTCTGCCCCGGTATAAACAGTTTGCTTGCTTAACACAATTGCTATTGCGCAATCCAGTGGACGCAATTGGAACAGCAGTTTATTTTATTGAAAAATTGCAGCGCATTTTTATACTTTACAAAATTATTATTATTATTATTTTTTTTTTTTTTTTTTTTTTTTTTTTTTTATCATCTCGCGGGCCGGATTAAACCCGTTTGCGGGCCTGATCCGGCCCGCGGGCCGGACGTTTGACACCCCTGGTTTAGAGAGTAAAACCAGGGAAGTTGGGGACGGATCTTCAGAGGGGTCAAAGAAACACATTGCCTAGACTAGAGCTACAACTCTAACTGCATATGTATCAAGCACATCAGAGTAGGAGTGCTGATCTAGGATCAGGTCACCCCTGTCTGTATTATCTTATTCATTGTGATCTAAAAGGCAAAGCTGATCCTAAATCAGCTCTCCTACTCTGAGACGTTAGATACATATGGCTCCCCTGGCCTTTTCTTATACCAGTACAGTCCAGTCCAGCAGAGCCAACACAAGGGCACCTCTATGCAGGGTTTTAAAAGACGGCTTTATGACCAAATCAAGACCTTGAGTTAATGGGTTGACAGCTTCAGAACAAATAACAGAGTAGTAGAGCTTTTATAGGTCTATGAACTGTGCCACAGCGTGCATAAGTTACCTTTATGAGAACTGCTAGTGTGTTTAGGCTCCTTTTAAAAGAGAACCATATGATTAACTTAAATCTCACATGACATTGTCCTTATGAAATGCAGGGGCCATTTTTGGAACCATTGTAAAGGTATTGCCCCACACCCACTACGGTTGAACATTTTTTGAGGTAAAATGCTGTAGTCTAACTGTGGGGTGCCTGAGTCTGGGCTAGTGAGTAAAGCTGTAACCTGCAGCACATGGAACCCCCTCTCTATATCCTTTTCAATGTCTCCCCTTGTTCCATTATATATCTCTATCTGAATATAAACAACAACAACCCAGAGGTATTAAACACACGTTCTAACATGCACATGATATGAACATAAAACAATGTAAAACACAGTGAACGTCAACTCACTGTTTGTTTCCCTCATGGTATTTTTGCATGTATCTGAATGTCTGTTATCGACTGTCCTGTGACATAGCCTTCTGTCAGCTCAGAGTAGCAGGATTGGGCTCAATTCCATTTCTCCTAGGCCAATTCAGGGGTTGAAAAGGAATCAAGCCTTTTTTTCTATGTGAACTCAATTAATTTGTGACCGGTTGGACACTAACAAGCTCTTTCCTCTGATTCACCCACCAGGTGTGTCTTGTCATAATCAACGGTAAGATCTTTATATGACAGTTTTTAAATGACAGCCTTCCGCTTCACTATCAACGAATTCACTCTTAATGAGTTGACATGGAATCGACCTAACCTTGGTGAATAGAGTTCATTCATAAACTTTAGGGTAACCTTGGGTTTCTCTCTGAATGTCCATAGGATCATACTGTCTTGTGACATAGTCCTCATGTTATCCTAGTGATTAAATAACTAGCATTCATTCATTCATGAACTCTGATTTATGTTCTGCTACGGAACATTAATTCCTGACATCAATCTGGCTGAAGGTTGGCCTGAACATAATCAGTCTGCCGCTAAACACTACTTCCTGACATTAATCTGGCTGAAGGTTGGCCTGAACATAATCAGTCTGCTACGGAACACTACTTCCTGACATCAATCTGGCTGAAGGTTGGCCTGAACATAATCAGTCTGCTACGGAACACTACTTCCTGACATCAATCTGGCTGAAGATTGGCCTGAACAGAATCAGTCTGCTACGGAACACTACTTCCTGACATCAATCTGGCTGAAGATTGGCCTGAACAGAATCAGTCTGCTACGGAACACTACTTCCTGACATTAATCTGGCTGAAGGTTGGCCTGAACAGAATCAGTCTGCTACGGAACACTACTTCCTGACATTAATCTGGCTGAAGGTTGGCCTGAACAGAATCAGTCTGCTACGGAACACTACTTCCTGACATCAACCTGGCTGAAGGTTAGCCTGAACAGAATCAGTCTGCTACGGAACATTACTTCCTGACATCAATCTGGCTGAAGATTGGCCTGAATAGAATCAGCCATGTGAGTTCACAGTTACTGACAGAGGTGATGCTTTTATTTTATAACACATAGCTAGGAACAAGACTAACAGACCAGCCATAACCTCAAATAGGGGAGGAATGAAGGAAGGAAGGGTGCATTTATTAAGTATTTGAACATGGCCACATTGTCCCGAGGCTCTATGACATCAGTGAAATGTCCTCATAGCCTTGTGTTAGCTAGTTAACATGTCTTTCCCTCCAATGTGGTCTAATACCTCTCTCCCTCCCCTGGTTCCCAACAAACACTTTCTTTGTGTGTGAGTGAAACAGGCCCAACAGCAGCACTCAGCCCTCTGACACACAGGCCATGTGATTGCTGTTATGCATTTGCACAAGAAACACAGTCCAGACAGAGATGACTAGAGGAACCCAGTCCAGACAGAGATGACTAGAGGAACACATTCCAGACTGTATTATGGGTAGTACCAAGAGTTCTTCATACACTGGACTCAATCTTCAGATACAATACTGTATTGTATATGTTTTATCCTAAATGCTTTTCATATTGAGACAAGTCCTAACTTGAGATCAACATGCATTATTCATCCCCCCCCCCCCCACAAATCTCCCATTGTCTTCAATGCATGTTTCAAGTGAGGATCTGACCCCTTTTGAGCAACTAAGACTCTCTACCCACCACACATAACAAGAAGTAAGTCATATGCTTTTGAAGGCTGGAGTCTTTAGCTTGTTCACTCTTGCAATAGCAGTAACAGTCTTAACATGCAACATGTATGGTACCTGAACATGGTATGCTAATCCATCTTGATGCCTAGCTGTCAGCCTGTCAGCTGAGAAAGGATCTACATGTCTTACCAATACACTGCCTGAGGGACTGGACTGACATAAACACACATATTTTTAGTTTTTCCAGATTCATTAAAACTTCTTATCATAGTTCTCTTAGTTAAGTAATAGTGTGTATAACGTGCATTAACAATGATTATGTGCCAAAAAAATGGTTTTCACATTATTTCTACAAATGTATTGATAAAAACAACCAATGCAAAGATAGCACTGTGCAGAACAGTCATAATTCAGGACCAGGAGGCATACATTGTTAATAGCACTTTGCAAACAGCAACCCTGTTGGCTTGGCACCACATTATGATGTAATATATCATTGAAATGTCCAAACACAACTCCATAATGTTATAAGCAAATGATCCCCATTCATACCTTGATACTGAAGGACCTCCTCATATTCCTCTTGTGTTCTCCTGTAGCCCTGAGTGTGTTGGTGGCCTCTACGGGTGGCTGTGTAGATGCCTGCATAGTTCCTCCACTCTCCTGGGGTCCTTCCTGGATCTTCTTCCGGTACCTTTCCCCCTCTCTGTCCCCCTCCCCGTCTCTCCCCAAGCCCCCGTCTCCCTCCCAGCCCTCCCCTGGCTGTTTCTCTTCGGGGCTGGGGCAGTCATCACTGGCCCTGGAGTGACAGAGGATCAGAGACCTGGAAGGAAGAAGAAGAAGAAGAAGAAGAAGAAGAAGAAGAAGAAGAAGAAGAAGAAGAAGAAGAAGAAGAAGAAGAAGAAGAAGAAGAAGAAGAAGAAGAAGAAGAATTAACGGGAAAAGGAAAAGGCATATCGTTGCTACCTCGTATTCCAACCAAAAATCCATTATGCTCCCAGCAAGGCCTCCGCACATTGGCTTTGACTAAACCAAGCAGCCTGAAGAGCGGTGTGCTACGAACAGATTCCATACCTGGAGAGCATGGCTAGCTTGTTGGAGCGGTGGCGGTGGCTGTGGCTAGCGTTGGTGGTGTTGCTCTTCCCAGAGTCCCTGCCTCGCCTCTCCATCCTCCGAGCTGCTGCCGTGCTGGCTTTCCTCCTCTGGTAGGAGTATCTCTGGGGCATGGCCGTTAGAGTGTGTGTGTGTGCTGCTTGTGTGTGTGCTGCTAACACACTCTCACACACACTCCTCCCAGCCGGCACACAGGCTAATGGAGAGGGACACTCTGCAAGGCAATTCGAAAATTCAATTAGGAAGTCTGTCTGTGTGTGTGAGTGTGTATGTGTACGTGTATATGTGTGTGTCTGCATGTGTGCGTGTGTGTGTGTGTGTGTGTGTGTGTGTGTGTGTGTGAGCGTGCGTGTGTGTGTGTGTCCGTGCATGCATGCTTGCATGCTTGTGTGTGTCATAAGTGTTCTGAGAATCTGCTGAGGCAATGGTCGAAGCAGAGATAAGAGATCTTTTCTTCCCTGAAAACAGCAGCATGTTGCTGCTAGAGCCTCCTGAATAGGGCTTAATCAGACTCCTGATATTTAGACTGCACACACTGTAAACACACATGTACGTGCAAACAAAGACACGCATTAATATACACACGTGCACACACATGCACACACGTGCACACATGTGCACGGACACACACACACCAAAGCTCCTTCCCCCGGGATTTGAGGTCATGGAGACCATGAACTTAAAGTAACCACACTAACGGAGATCTGCACTGAGATTGTTCTGGGCTCACAAAGTGCCTCCCAAATGGCCTTATGAGCCCTGGTGAAAAGTAGTGCACTAAATAGGGAATAGGGTGGCATTTGGAACGCAACACTTAGAATAGGAAAACCCCTACATAATAAAGTAAACAAACCCATACACATTTCAACTGATCCAGCTGCTACTGTTTATTGTCTATCCTGTTGCCTACTCACTTTATTCCTACACTCTTAGAAAAAAGGGTTACAAAAGGGTTCTTCGGCTGTCCCCATAGGAGAGCCCTTTTTGGTTCCAGGCAGAACCCTTTTTGGTTCCAGGTAGAACCCTTTTGTGTTTCATGTAGAACCCTCTGTAGAAAGGGTTCTACATGGAACCCAAAAGGGTTCTACCTGGAACCAAAAAGGGGACAGCCGAAGAACAGCCGAAGAACCATTTAAGGCTCTAGATAGCAAGTTTTTTTCTAAGAGTATAGTTATATGTACGTATCTACCTCAATTACCTCATACCCCTGCACATCGACTCGGTACTGGTACCCCGTGTATATATCCAAGTCATCATTACTCACTGTGCATCTATTATTACTTTGGTAACACTTTACTTGACACCTAGTGTCATGACACGTTATAACACGATCATAACCATGTCATAATATGTCATAACACTGTCATGACCCATATATTTACATCTGTTGTGACATATATTGCGTTCTTTTTGTGGCTGGTTATGACACCTACATAAGAGTGTCAAAACCTATATTTATTCAAATGTGTTTTTTCCCTGCCAAGAAATTTCCATTTTCATTGTATTTTGAATAACTTGTTGAAAATACACTTCATGACACTGTTATGAACCATTATCATCATCCTGTGTCACTTTACTTGGACTAAGAAAATACACTTTATGACAATGTCAAGAAGCGTTATGACCATCATAAAAATATAAGCCAGATAGGCTTAGCCAGATAGGCTGCCAGTCATCAGTCAGAGTGTCTTGTCCTGCTCCTGAAATCTGCTCCTGCACTCATCCCAGTCATCAGCAACAGAGCATTGGGGTAGGTGCATGTCTGACATCAATGTATGCGCAATTACAATGATAATTAAATATGGTCAATTTCAGAAAATTTCATATAACAAATACTGTTGACAAGTAGGCCATGGTGTAATGGAATGTTTTGCCTTGTGTGGTAGGTCTTGTGGGTTTTGACACTCTTATGTAGGTGTCATAACCAGCCATAAAATAACGAGATACATGTCACAACAGGTCTAAATATATGTGTCATGACAGTGTTAGGACCATATTATGACAGGTTATGACAAGTTATGTCAGCTGTTATGACATATTATGACATAGTTATGATCGTGTCATAAAGTGTTATGATGCTAGGTGTCAAGTAAAGTGTTACCATTACTTTTATTATTCTGTGTTTTACTTTTTTATTATTTCTCTATTTTCTTTCTCTCTGTTAGTCTACACCTGTTGTTTATGAAGAATGTGACTAATAACATTTGATTTGATTTACTGATGCATACAAGTAAATGGTATATAAGTGTACCACTGTAGCACTAGTAATAATAGTATAGACTATTATTAGTATTAGAAGTATAGTCCAGTAGCAGTCGTAGTAGTAAGAGTTGGGAGTTGGTGTGTTCATCACACTAATAGTATAAGTGAAGGTCTCCTGACTAACTGCTACTCTCTCACTATAATAAACTTATATGATGACCCTGCATATGCATTATAGATGTTGCTGTTTCACTCAAGTCAGAAACACTTAGCTAAGTATACAGCAGGCTACATACACTGTGTTCTGAGATATGATACTGTGGAAAACAAACAATTTGAAGATTTTCTGCACAGTATGTTTATTAGCTAGCTAGCCAGTCAGTTTAAGTGGAATGATTCCAATAATTGTTCAAATTAACTGTCAATATGCCAACATTCCATACAAATGACGCAGTCAATCCACAGCCAGACACTGGCTGAAATCATTAGCTGTTAGGACTTAGAGAAGTTGTAAATGCAACAAAGTACTGACACTGTATGATATTATAGCAACGTTTATTACACCAGCTTTCCAAGAAAACAAACATTGAGACAGTTATGGTCTGTTGACATATATTTTAGAGGCTATTTATACAGAACATGTCTATAACACCTGTATCAACTGTATTTATAATTATATGAGAATGTTTTAGGTTAACAATCATTCTATTACACAATGTCTGATATAGCACATGTTTTATTTGTATCTTCCTGCAGAAGTCAAATCTGGATTATGCCTCTACTGCCATTCATTCCAATTAGACTGCTTTGGATTTCTCCCTGACCACAATGGCTTTTCATACCATTCTGGAACGTTGAGGGTTTATGACATAGTCTCTCTAGTAATATATTGGGATATCTATACTCCTGCCCTATGGGCTGCTTACTTACTTACTTTACATACAGTAAATCAACCCCACTGTCATGCTTTGCTCTGTATTGTTATGTTTGCTGTTGACTGTCATGTACAGACCCTTTCTCTGTATTGTGTTGTTTACTGTTGACTGTCATGTACAGATCCTTTCTCTGTATTGTGTTGTTTGCTTTTGACTGTCATGTACAGACCCTTTCTCTGTATTGTGTTGTTTGCTGTTGACTGTCATGTACAGATCCTTTCTCTGTATTGTGTTGTTTGCTGTTGACTGTCATGTACAGACTGTTGACTGTCATGTACAGACCCTTTCTCTGTATTGTGTTGTTTGCTGTTGACTGTCATGTATAGACCCAGGAAGCCAAACTGTTTGCAAAGACATCATTATTATTTATTCTGTGAAATCCTGGTTTAAACTGTAATCGCACATCTCTACAACCAGGAAATTTGTTTACAAACAGAAATTGCATCCCATGACAAATTCTGGTAGTTGTGCATGTTGTTGTGCATGTGTGACTCTTTGGAAAGCATTTCCTCTTAAATAACAATCAACATTATTCATCATTCTTTGAGGTTGTTCGAATAAGTGCAGTGGCCTTTGGCCCGTGACGTGAACAGGCGAAAGCAGTGAGGGAGGAGCGCCATTCTTAAATCGAACAGTAATCTGCGCTCCTCGTCATGTTGTCAACAAGGCAGCATGATGCATCGTTCAGAAACATACATCTCTTTTCCATAAAATATATGTTCTATTTTTTTTTTTACTCGTTTTCATTGGGAAGGCAGATAAAGCCTTTTTATCAAAAGCAAACACTTCTCCATGTAAAAACACAGAATCCTACTCACTACGCCACGTGCTTAACCTACGTCACTTTTGTTTTGAGACTACTTTGCGGTTGGCCAAAATGGGGCACCTGGCTCACGCCGAGGAGGGATCCCGGTTCCAGAACGAATGCATTCAACGCTAACCCGGTTCACCAGGGGCAGGCCCAGGGCATTAATATAATCCCCTCATTGGTCTGGAGACGTGAAAGTACATTTGATTGGTTGGTTGCTTGTTCTGATGATGTCACACGACCAATAAAAATGGCTATCAGTGTCACCTCAAAATAACATTGTGTACTTTATGTTCCCAGCCCAATAAATGGCTATCAGTGCCGCTTCAAAATAACATTGGGTACTTGATGTTCCCAGCCCAGTAAATGGCTATCAGTGCCGCTTAAAAATAACATTGGGTACTTGATGTTCCCAGCCCAGTAAATGGCTATCAGTGCCGCTTCAAAATAACATTGGGTACTTGATGTTCCCAGCCCAGTGAATTAGATCATTTACAAAACACTTCATTCATGGTGGAACGATGCCTGTTTTTGAGACCAATTGCAATAATGAGAGAAACCAGACAGCTTGGAATGTAAATAATTCCATAGAGTAATCTGGAGAGAGAGATATTCTCTGCAATAACGCCTGTCAATAATGCCCAAGAATAGAAGAAAAAAAATTAGAACTAAAAACAATTATTAACAAAAATATGAAAGGGTAAGACTTAGTATGAACCCTGTGTCATAAAGGCTACATAAGACTGTCATATCAATGACATAACATGTTATAAGCAATGCTGACTGACTGGTGTTAATAGATAGATGGGAGGTGTTGAATGGAATTGAAGGATGGGACTAATAACAACTAACAACAAACAATAACAAGATAACTAATAATGTAGGCACGCTGTATCCATAATAAGTGTATGGGTTGTAGGTTGGGAGCTTTTGTGAAGGAGCACAGTTAGAAAGATATGGCATATAGAAGCAAACCGGATGGACATCATGAAAATGATCGGAAAGGTTGAGAGTAGAAGAAGTTCAGGAGAAAGAACAAACAAAATGTAATTACTGTAAAATTGACTGTGTCCATAAAATGTAGATAGTGGGTATGGGCTGGAAGTAGAGGCCTAGGCGTTGTTGTTCACTAGTTTACTCCAAGTGGGGAAAGGGTGGCAGGGTTGGAAAGTAATAAAGGGGAATATAAAAAAATATAAAAAATAAAATGCTGACTGACAGGGCTCTCATGCTGAGCCAATGCATATTGGGTCTTCATTTCCCCACTTCCACACACACACACACACACACACACACACACACACACACACACACACACACACACACACACACACACACACACACACACACACACACACACACACACACACACAACCCTGTCCCAGCCACATGTCTTTGGTCACTTCCCTGCTCTCTGTGTTCCCTGTCCAAGGACCACAGGAGCTGACTTCCACAGGAGCTTGATGTCACATGCTGACAAATACCTCTCTGTCTGCTGGTTGATACAACACTATGGTGTGGTCTTCCAATAACACATGTGAGGCTAAGTGGAAACCACATGTTGTTTTTTAAAGATAATTGGCAGCACTGATAACGGAAGGATGTTTGTCATTATTGTAATGATGAGGCAAGCAGCACACAGTCCCATTTAGTGTGTTTGTTGTAAATGCTTCAGGTTGGCTAATAATCCCTCAGCTCAGATACAGTAGATAGACTGGAGACATGGATCTGCATCATCTTGTAGGTTTGTTGAAGGTCGTCCTCTCTCTCCATCCCTCTCTATCTTCCTCTGTTTACTGTTCACTGCTGCCTGTAACCTCTCTCTCTCTCATCCCCACTTATCTTTCTCTCTCCCTCCTCTCTCTCTCCTCCCCCTTCTCTATCTCTCTCTCTCGCTCTGTCTCTCTGTCTCTCCTCCCCACTTATCTCTCTCTCCCTTCTCTCTCTCTCCTCCCCCTTCTCTATATCTCTCTCTTGCTCTGTCTCTCTCTCTCTCTCCTCCCCCTTCTCTATCTCTCTCTCTCGCTCTGTCTCTCTCTCTCTCCTCCCCCTTCTCTATCTCTCTCTCTCTCGCTCTGTCTCTCTCTCTCTCTCTCCCCATGTTGGTTTGCGAGCACAGTAAACCCCACACGCACGTGCGCGCGCACACACACACACGCACACACACACACACACACACACACACACACACACACACACACACACACACACACACACACACACACACACACACACACACACACACACACACACACACACACACACACACACACACTGATGCTGACACAGCTTAAGCTCAAGGTCAACTTGCCTCTTCTAGACTGTTGACTTGACTTCTACTCAGGGTTGGGTATTGGTTAGTGCACTAGGTAGATATGAATGGCTTTTCTAATATTTGCTTTCAGATAATTGGCTATACCAAAGTGAAAGTGAAAGAATAGGTCTACAGGGTAGATAGCCTGTGTCAGCAGTGACATGCCTGGGCCTACAATGACTCTGGTCTAGATTGTCATATGTGACGCAGCATGCGAACGAAGTGTTTTCATCAAAATTCATTTTTTTGCAGAACTTCCTTCTTGAAAATGTGATCTTTCATGTGCCTTAATAACAAACTAGAATGTGAAGTGTAAATACTAATGCAAATGTTAAATTACGAGCGAAGCTGGTAAGAATGTTATCTGAACGTATACCTGCCAAACAAGAGGAGGATGGGCTCCTTCTTTAGAGCCTGGTTCCTCTTAAGGTAGTTCGTCTTAGGGAGTTTGTCCATAGCAGCCCCTGTCCTTCTGCTGCTATTGCTGCCATGTCTTTAGGGGTCGGGCCCAGGTTATTGTTAAGCACTTTGCCAGAAATGCATTTAGGAAAAAGCAATATACACATTTTGGCTGTTGAACACAGAAATGCCATCTCATCATAGTATCTAGGTACCCAGCATCTACTGCCCAGGTTTTCAGTTGGTTCTGTACTCCAATACTTGGCGCTATTAGACCTTAGCCTTTTTTGTTTGTTTGTTTTTAGCCCATAGAAATAGAATAACTAGAACAGACATTCTCATTAAAGTCAATGTACCATGATGGGTGGACCGGCGGCCATATTGAGTGAACCCATGCCAGTCATTATATTTCTAGGCCCTTGCCAGGCACAGAGTTGGTGACTGTGACCGTGTGTATTTCTATGTGTGTTTTGTATAATCCTCTGGTATAAGGTCACTTGTTTAAAGGACTTAAGGGAGGAACGTTCACGTCTTCCAGTAATGGAACAGCAGCACTACAGAGTGACTCGGAATTTCCTCTGACACGAATAAAGTACTGATGTAATGGGACACAGCAGTAACACTGTTCTGAGAACTTTGGATTGGGAAGAGAGAGAGAGGGCTGTATATGAAGGTGTGTGTGTGTGTGTCTGTTTGTGTGTGTGTGTGTGTGTGTGTGTGTGTGTGTGTGTGTGTGTGTGTGTGTGTGTGTGTGTGTGTGTGTGTGTGTGTGCGTGTGTGTGTGTGTGCGAATGCGCCCGCGTGTGTGCGCGCTGCGCTCACTAGTCGTGCATGCGTGAATGCCAGTGCTCTCACAGAAAACAAATTTTCTGCCCATAGCTGCAGCGATGAGCTGGCATTACTGAGTGCAACAGAACGTGATTCAGAGAGAGAGAGGGGGCTGGACCTCTGCAGATGAGGGAGGCAAACAAAGTGTGTGTTGTTCCATATTAGGTTAAAGGACATAACATAACAATGTTTTCTTTTCAATAACTTTACAGTGCCTTCTGTATAGTCACTCAATCATGGATAATGAATGTATTCATATCCTGTAGCTGCATTTGGTTGGATTGGAATAATAAATAGCCATTGATTCTTTAAGAATTTAACCAATACATGCCTCATGAACTTAGTTCAGCTATCAAATCTGTCGCTTTGTTGTTGTAGGAATCCTAGATTGCACCTTTAACGTAAAGGAAAACTCCACCCCAAAACGATCTTCTGGTATCTGTTCCATTAGTCCATTGTTGACATAGTCCCAAAGTGTTTTGCATGTCAGCAATAAAGTTTTCAAGATATGTAACTTTCAAAATACAGAAATACAGAAGTATGATGTATTTTGCTTCATATGATGGAAAATGCATCATACCGGCTGTATATCTGTATTTTGAAAGTTACATATCTTGAAAACTTTACTGCTGACATTTTGGGACAATATCAACAATTGACTGATGGAACAAATACCAGAAGATAGTTTTGGGGAGGAGTTTTCCTTTAAATTCAGTCTGTGGAGATTCAGTCTGGATAACTGTCAGTTTCCGTTATGTTGTGTGTTTATGTGGAATGCTAAGCATGCAGTGTATAGCAAGTGTGTCCAGTCTGTGGCTAGCATGGGCTAGCATTCTCCGGCCAACAATGTAATGTGTCCCTGTGTGTTAGCCAAAGAGGAAGCCTTGCCCATCCACCCCTGTATTCACTTGGCTATTTGTGTTTTTAAAGATGTCTTGGAGCTGCTGGACACACACAGTGTTACGTAATTGGTCTACTCAGGAAGGTAGTGTGTGTGTGTGTGTGTGTGTGTGTGTGTGTGTGTGTGTGTGTGTGTGTGTGTGTGTGTGTGTGTGTGTGTGTGTGTGTGTGTGTGTGTGTGTGTGTGTGTGTGTGTGTGTGTGTGTGTGTGTGTGTGTGTGTGCGCGTGTGTGCGTGCGTGTGTGCGTGCGTGCGTGTGTGTGTGCTTGTATACACACATCCATCTCTCAAGGCCAACAAGTGCACCATTGAACTGCTCTGCAACCAATTTTGATAGTTGCAAAATATCATCCAAAGTATTTTACGGATCCCAGGACTCCATGTAATACATTCAAAGCTCTTCCTAAGTAATAGATTTAATGCTCTTCCTGAGTAAAGTCATAAGTTAAAGAAACACACATTACCAATGTGATATTGTTGTGTGAATTATTGTATGATATGATCAGTATTCTCTGTTAGTATTCTCTGTTACTTCATACAATATTCTCTGTCTTTCCACGAAGGAGTTATTCAGTTGAATTTGGGCAGTTGGAAAACATGTTCACCACCTTAGTGTGGTACACAACAAAGAAGTTCATAAAAATGGATTCTTAAAAATCTTTTTGGAAAAAGACACATTTTGGGAACAGTTTCAATATATCCCAATTCAACCCTTGTATTCAACGTGAGAGGTAAAAACTCACCATAGTCAGTCATCATCTCCTTCCCACAGCAGCCATGCTGAACAGGGTTTAACACCAGCGAACCCAGGGTTAGTTATAGTTGTCCAGGGGTAAACACCAGCAAACCCAGGGTTAGTTATAGTTGTCTAGTTTAACACCGGCAAACCCAGGGTTAGTTATAGTTGTCCAGTAATCCAGAGAAATATGCTGAGACAGATGAGATCTCAAAGTAGGAAGAAGTTGCTTCTAGACACTGATCTGAGGTCAGTTTTTTTTAGAAATCAGAGCGTGTAAACTGATCCTAGATCTGTGCCTTAGGATTTTTACCTTAAGCTGTTTACCTCTGTTTAATACTTCTCTCCTCCACAGAGCAGATCTGACGTTTCTCTAAAAGCATGGTCAGAGTTTAGTGAGTTAGATTGGGCATTTGTAACTACCGCCCTCCCTCCCTCCCTCCTTGCCTCCCTCCCTTCCCTCCCTCCTTCTCTCCCCTCCCTCCTTTTCCCAGCTGGCTAGAGGACACAAGAGCTTGTCTCAGAGCTCCAGTCCTCCAAATCATTGGTCTTTTCCTGTGAGCCAAATCCAGAGGGAGCACTTAGTACTGTCTGACCTCACACCTACTCTGTGTCGCACAATGCTGCAGTCTTCACCGACTGTGTGTAGGGGTGTTTGGGGAGGGGATTGTGTGTGTGGTTGTGTGTGTGTGTAGTTGCATCAGCCAGTGTCTGTGTGTGTATACTGTACATACCTCTAAGGAGGAATAGATGCTCTATAGCCAACATGTGCCTTTCAGGAACAACTTTATAAAGTCTAGTAGATGTAGTAGGGGAAAGACATGCATAGAGTAGATCTGGTTAGAGAAACATATGCTCAGATAAGTCCTACAGAGGGAAAGTTATAGAATCATCCTGGTGAGGGAAAGATGTACACAGTTCTAACAGTACTGATCAAAACAGTCAAAGACATGCAGTTCTAACAATACTGATCAAAACCGTTAAAGACATACAGTTCTAACAGTACTGATCAAAACAGTCAAAGACATGCAGTTCTAACAATACTGATCAAAACCGTTAAAGACATACAGTTCTAACAGTACTGATCAAAACAGTTAAAGACATGCAGTTCTAACACAGTCAGTAATGATGATATGAGAAGTCGTTTCTCTAACTAACAGGTCATATCTCACAGGTGATGAGAGCCTTCACTGTATTTTTAGAAACCAGTACATATATTACTATAATTGTACACAAATATATTTGTTACCTATGAATGGACTTTTGTTTCTTATGTTTTAGGGCAGGGGACCCACAGATTACTAAATACTGTAGGCTACTGTATATTTAACTCAGGGTCAGTGTAGACCAGACCTTCACAAGCATCTCTGCATGAATAAACCTGACCCCAATGAGCTCATGAACAGCCAGGCAGTCTGCTAGAATGAATGAATGAAGTCTAACTCGCAGTCCGCAGTCTCACACACTCTCACGCGTGCACACGCACTCATACACACATGCACACATGCGCACAGACACAGACACACACACACACACACAGAGACACAGAGGGTTCCTCTGTGACGAGGAAGACGCAGGTTCTAAAAGCAACCAATTGAGGGAACGGTGTGTATGAATCATTGGGCACAAGGATCCCAAAACCAACACACAGGTCAGGTTGTGAAGCTTCTCTCCCTGCTACTGGTTGCATCAAGTAGAAGTCAATGGTCCCTAAAGGACTGTTAACCCTAACCCTAAAGGACTATTAACCCTAACGCTAAAGGACTGTTAACCCTAACCCTAAAGGACTATTAACCCTAACGCTAAAGGACTGTTAACCCTAACCCTAAAGGACTATTAACCCTAACGCTAAAGGACTGTTAACCCTAACCCTAAAGGACTGTTAACCCTAACCCTAAAGGACTGTTAAACCTAACCTTTAAATGACTGTTAACCCTAACCCTAACCCTAACCCTAACCCTAAAGGACTGCTAACCCTAACCCTAAAGGACTGTTAACCCTAACCTTTAAAGGACTGTTAACCCTAACCCTAAAGGAAAGCTAACCTTAACCCCAAAGGACTGTTAACCCTAAAGGACTGTTAACCCTAAAGGACTGTTAACCCTGACCCTAAAGGACTGTTAACCCTAACCCTAATGGACTGTTAACCCTAACCCTAAAGGACTGTTAACCCTAACCCTAAAGGAATGTCAACCCTAACCCTAAACGACTGTTAACACTAACCCTAAAGGACTGTTAACCCTAACCCTAAAGGACTGTTAACCCTAAAGGACTGTTAAACCTAACCTTTAAATGACTGTTAACCCTAACCCTAAAGGAAAGCTAACCTTAACCCCAAAGGACTGTTAACCCTAAATGACTGTTAACCCTAAAGGTCTGCTAGCCCTAACCCTAAAGGACTGTTAACCCTAACCCTAATGGACTGTTAACCCTAACCCTAAAGGACTGTCAACCCTAACCCTAAATGACTGTTAACCCTAACCCTAAAGGACTGTTAACCCTAACCCTAAAGGACTGTTAACCCTAACCCTAAAGGACTGCTAACCCTAACCCGAAAGGACTGCTAATCCTAATCCTAAAGGACTGCTAACCCTAACCCTAAAGGACTGCTAATCCTAATCCTAAAGGACTGCTAACCCTAACCCTTAAAGGTATGTTAACCCTAACCCTAAAGGACTCCTAACCCTAACCCTAAAGGACTGTTAACCCTAACCCTAAAGGACTGTTAACCCTAACCCTTAAAGGACTGTTAACCCTAACCCTAAAGGACTGTTAACCCTAACCCTAAAGGACTGCTAACCCTAACCCTAAAGGACTGCTAATCCTAATCCTAAAGGACTGCTAACCCTAACCCTTAAAGGTCTGTTAACCCTAACCCTAAAGGACTCCTAACCCTAACCCTAAAGGACTGTTAACCCTAACCCTAAAGGACTGTTAACCCTAACCCTTAAAGGACTGTTAACCCTAACCCTAAAGGACTGTTAACCCTAACCCTAAAGGACTGCTAACCCTAACCCTAAAGGACTGCTAATCCTAATCCTAAAGGACTGCTAACCCTAACCCTTAAAGGTCTGTTAACCCTAACCCTAAAGGACTCCTAACCCTAACCCTAAAGGACTGTTAACCCTAACCCTAAAGGACTGTTAACCCTAACCCTTAAAGGACTGTTAACCCTAACCCTAAAGGACTCCTAACCCTAACCCTAAAGGACTGCTTAGCCTCCTCCCTTGGTGATGGCTAGTGGTGCCAACAACTCATATGAAAGAATAATTTCATGACCAGACTGTAGGGAAAGAGAAGGGGAAAGAGAGAGAGAGAGAGAGAGAGAGAGAGAGAGAGAGAGAGAGAGAGAGAGAGAGAGAGAGAGAGAGAGAGAGAGAGAGAGAGAGAGAGAGAGAGAGAAATAACATACAATAAGGAAGTAGGAATCACAAAAACAACGCACAACATTAACATTTCAGATACCTCTATAGGATTTTTTGTGTCTAAACAAACATTTTCTGGTGTCTAAACAAACATACAATTTTGTTCTTATTCCATATGTCTCTGGGCTTGATATTGAGAACAGCTTGCCGAATTGAAATGTAAGCTTATATTGCCCTCTAGTGGTAGAAGTAACCCCTCACTACATCCAACTTGCTCTACCACACCAAGGCTATTTTTAGACAGATTTTTTTCCAGTAATCAGATCAGCTCTGAAAAATATCGGACTAAAAAGATCTGATGTTATTGGTCAAAATACCAATTAGTGGAAAATATATCAGAATTGGGCTGCCTGTGTAAATTACATATGAGTCTAGTCCAAAACTAATCCCTGGCTTCCTCTCCTAGACTATTTCATTGTAAAATCAACCCTGTACTACCACTTTATTTGACAGGGACAACATACAATTAAAACATACATCTCACAAGAAATGTGATACATTGTACTAGAGTTAGCTGAAATGTCCTCAGGCAGGTGAACAATACAGGTGAACAAAGCATTTAATAGATGTAAGCACATGAATGGATGTCAAATATTGACTAACCTCAAAGGTGGAGTTGCTTGAGACAAATCTATTTCCCTTTTCTAGTTGGCCAATGCTCTCGTGTTGTCTGGTGTTCTATACCTTTTCCACACTATTGAGCCGAGCTGAGCCGAACCAAGCTGTACTGCACTCGCCTGGTTTAGCATCCACTATAGATGCAGGAACTGTGCTGGAAAGAACAATGTGACAAGAAAATATCAGCGTTAGCTGAGTACGGTTCTGGTCTGGTCGGGTCTTTACCTTTAGAAAGGTAATCTGCTCTATGAGGAACATAACCTTTTTTATCCTCTCCAGCAGATGGTGTTGTTGTCTCTGTAGTACACAACCTGATAAGGGCGAGGTCGTTGTACAACCTCCCTTCCCTATTAAAAGTACTGGAGAAAGTGGTTGCGAACTAGCTTCAATCGCATCTGTCATCTAATCAGGTTTTCCAGTCTGGCTTCCGGCCCTTGCACAGCACCGAAACAGCTCTGGTTAAAGTTACCAACGACCTACTGATGGCTGCTGGTTCTGGATCTCCCAACATCCTCCTCCTCTTAGATCTCAGTTCTACTTTTGTCTCCATAGAACACACCATCCTCCTGCAGTGTCTCAAAAAGCACACTGCTGTCTCTGGAACATCTCTGAAACAGCTCCTACCTCTCCAATAGAAAGCAATACATCCCTATTGGAGAGTCCAGATTGGAGGAGTCTGCAGTCATATGCAGCGTCCCACAGGGGTCAGTGCTGGGGCCTATCCTGTTTTTAATTTACATGCTTCCTCTCGGCCAAATCCTCAGCGAACATAAACTTCCACTGCTACGCTGACGATACCCAAGTATATATTAACACCAAACCGGACACCATCTCTGCCATTGCTAAACTCAGCAGCTGCCTAGAGGACATCAGGGAGTGGACGAAAGAGAACTTCCTTCAGTTGAACAGCAGCAAGACTGAGGCTATGCTTATTGGGACACCCAAGCAGGTCACTAGTGCTGGAAACATCTGCCCTACAATCAATGGCCAGGTTACCCACCTGTCCTCTGTCGTCTCCAACCTAGGAGTCAAGTTTCATCCTTCTCTGTCCTTCAATGCCCACAAAAAACAAATATGTAAAACATCATTTTTCCATCTTAAAAACATTGCCCAGGTCATACCATCATTCCCGCAGCCAGACGCAGAGAAAACCATCCACGGCTTAATCTTACGGCAACGCGTTGTTTGGGTGCCTCCCAGCCACTACAAAGGCTCCAACTAATCCAGAATAGTGCTGCCAGGGTCCTGACCAGGACCAAGAAGTCAGACCACATCACCCCGATCCTTGCCCAACTCCAGCATCGACTTCAAAATTCTCCTGCTTGTATTTAAAGCCTTGAATGGATTGAGCCCCACATACATCAGCGACCTCATATCAATCAGCGAGCCACCTCGAACTCTCTACTCCAGCAACTCCCTACTGCTTCTAGTCCCCAAGTCTCCGAACTATGGGGGACCCAGCCCTTTGCTCCCTGTCTCTTCTCTCTGACCATCTGAAAGCCGCTCCATCACTCAGAACTTTTAAAACAGGCCTTAAAACCCACTTCTACAGACTGTTTTTTCATAGTCCTAGACACAATCTAAAATGGAATTAGCACCTAGCCCACTATTGCTATTTGACCTGCCTTGATTCTAATTGTACGTTGTTTTAATTGTATATATCTATAATTGTTTTCCTCAGTAGAGCTTTGTGATAACTCTGTAATGAAAAGTGCTATACAAATTAAATGTATTATTATTATTATTATTATTATTAATAGTCCAGTATTTCCCAACTCCGGTCCTCGAGTACCCCCAACAGCATAATGTTATAGAATCAGGTGTGCTTGTTCGGGGCCACAACATAAATATGTACTGTTGGGGGTAGAGGAGGCCTGGACGTTGGGAAACACTGGCCTATATCATAGCTACATAACAGAGGCACAGTTACTTCTGCGCTAGTCATATACAGGTGCCATGCTGGACACTCCATAGTACTCAAACACATGCCATACTATATATTACAGGAGCATCGAGTTGGATAACACTGTCCTATCATAGTATAAAAGCCATTTACTAGATTATATTACAGGAGCCGAGTTGGGAAACACTGCCTATATCATAGCTACATGAGAGCACATGTACTGGTTATATTACAGAGCTGGATTGGAACAGCACGCTATATCTAGCTACATAACGAGAATGTCTGAGTTATTACAGGACGCGGCGTTGGTAAATATGCTATAAAGCTACATACAGAGCACTGTTACGAGTGTATAAGACCTGGGCCTATGGGAAAAATCTGCTATATCATAGCTAATAACAGAGCACTGTTACTGAGTTATATTAAGAGCTGAGTTGGATAACTGCTATCAAGCTACATACCTGTGTTCTATGTACTGGAGCTCGGCGTTGTAACCAAGGAATGGGTGAACACGGGACTCTTCACTAAATAATAAAATGTGTAGCTGTGACTGAAGTCTAGAATACTAGACATTGTTGTGAGTTGACAGGCCGCAGTTAGATAACTCGGCCAAATACCAAAAAGTAAGTATGCGGATTACAGGAGGCCCTGGAGTTGGAAACACGGGCCTATATCATAGCCACATTCTAGAAAATACGAGTCCTGGTTGGAGACCTGGCTAGTAAACGCTCATAACAAGCATTAACGAGTAATTACGAGCTGGCTTGGACATGGCCGTAAGTGGAAACCAGGCAACACATTATGAGATATTATGGTGAATTGAGAGGCCTGTGTGGACAACTCAGCCATATCATATTACAACCACATAGTCCTGAGTATACAGAGCCGGATCAGTAACATCCTATCATACACATAACAGACATGTTTCCAAGATCTAGGAGGCCTGGTTGGGAACACGGCCTATATCATAGTCAAACAGAGCACATGTTACTGAGTTATTACAGGGGCCTGGCTGAGAAACACTGGCCTATATCATAGCTACATAACAGAGCACATGTTCACTGAGTTATATTCAGGAGGCCTGGAGTGGGAAACACTGGCCTATATCTAGCTACATAACAGGCACATGTTCTGAGTTTTACAGGAGCCTGGATGCGAACAGCCTATACATAGGCTACATACACAGCACATGTACTGAGTCTTATCAGGAGGCTGACCAGCATTCACAAAGTACCACATCACCGATCTATGGGGCGTTAAACCAGCCTATCTGCTAATACAACAATGTTACTGGTTATATTAAGGAGCCTGCTGATTGAGAAACCACATGGCCTATTCATAGCTTCATAATCAGAGCACATGTTACTGAGTATATTACAGACCTAGCCAGTTGGGAAACATGGCCTTGATCATAGCTACTATCAGATACATGTTACTGAGTATATTACATGAGGCCTGGAGTTGAGAAACACTGGCCTATATCAAGTACATAACAGAGCCATTTACCTAGAGTTCTTACAGAGGCCTGTTGTTCAAATGCCATTCATGGGACCACAACAACAATGTTACGATTGTATGAGCATGAGGCTGGAGTTGGGAAACACTGGCTATATCATAGCTACATAACAGAGCACATGTTACTGAGTTATATTACAGGGCCTGGAGTTGGAGAAACACTGGCCTATATCATAGCTACATAACAGACACATGTTACTGAGTTATATTACAGGGGCCTGGGTTGAGAAACACTGGCCTATATCATAGCTACATAACAGAGCACATGTTACTGAGTTATATTACAGGAGGCCTGGAGTTGGGAAACACTGGCCTATATCATAGCTACATAACAGAGCACATGTTACTGAGTTATATTACAGGAGGCCTGGAGTTGGGAAACACTGGCCTATATCATAGCTACATAACAGAGCACATGTTACTGAGTTATATTACAGGAGGCCTGGAGTTGAGAAACACTGGCCTATATCATAGCTACATAACAGAGCACATGTTACTGAGTTATATTACAGGAGGCTGGGTTGGGAAACACTGGCCTATATCATAGCTACATAACAGAGCACATGTTACTGAGTTATATTACAGGAGGCCTGGAGTTGGGAAACACTGGCCTATATCATAGCTACATAACAGAGCACATGTTACTGAGTTATATTACAGGAGGCCTGGAGTTGGAAACACTGGCCTATATCATAGCTACATAACAGAGCATGTGGTCCTCTGTAGCTCAGCTGGTAGAGCACGGCGCTTGTAACGCCAAGGTAGTGGGTTCGATCCCCGGGACCACCCATACACAAAAAAAAAAAATGTATGCACGCATGACTGTAAGTCGCTTTGGATAAAAGCGTCTGCTAAATGGCATATTATTATATATGTTACTGAGTTATTTTACAGGAGGCCTGGAGTTGAGAAACACTGGCCTATATCATAGCTAATAACAGAGAAGTTACTGAGTTATATACAGGAGGCCTGGAGTTGGGAAACACTGGCCTATATCATGCTACATAACAGAGCACATGTTACTGAGTTATTACATGAGGCCTGGAGTTGGGAAACAGGCCTATATCATAGTACATAACAGAGCACATGTTACTGAGTTATATTACAGAGGCCTGGTGTTGGGAAAACAATGGCCTATATCATAGCTACACAAGAGACACATGTTCATGAGTTATATTACAGAGCCTGGAGTGAGAAACACTGGCCTATATCAAGCTACAAACAGAGCACATGTTACTGAGTTATTACAGGAGGCCTGGAGTTGGGAAACACTGGCTATACATAGCTACTAACAGAACACATGTTACTGAGTTATATTACAGGGGGCCTGGCGTTGAGAAACACTGGCCTATATCTAGCTACATAACAGAGCACATGTTACTGAGTTTATATTACAGGAGGCTGGAGTTGGGAAACACTGGCCTATATCATAGCACAAACAAGCACATGTTACTGATTCAATTACAGGAGCGCGGCCTGGAGTTGGGAAACACACGGCCTATATCATAGCTACATATAAACAGAGCACTATTTACTGAGTTATATTACAGGAGGCCTGGAGTGAGAAACACTGGCCTATATCATAGCGACGTACATACAGAGCACATGTTACTGAGTTATTACGGAGGCTTTTGGGAAACACTGGCCTTATCATAGCTACATAACACGAGCACATGTACTAGTCTAAATAACAGGAGCCTGGAATTGGGAAACACATGGCCATATCATAGCTACTAACAGAGCACATTTACTGAGTTTCTTCGGACGGCCTGGAGTGCAAAACACTGCAACTATATCATAGCTACATAACAGCATTGGTCCTCTTCAGCCTCAGCTGGTAAGACGCGCTTGCTAACGCCAAGGTTAGTGTTATTCACGGACACCATACCAAAAAAAATGTATGACGCATGATTAATGCTTTGATAAAAGCGTCGTAAATGGCATATTATTATATATGTTACTGAGTTATATTACAGGAGGCCTGGAGTTGAGAAACACTGGCCTATATCATAGCTACATAACAGAGCACATGTTACTGAGTTATATTACAGGAGGCCTGGAGTTGGGAAACACTGTCCTATATCATACTTCACATAACACCCCGAGGCGCAATGTACTGAGTATATTACATTTGAGGCCCTGGCGTTGGGAAAACAATGGCCTATATCATAGCTACACAACAGAGCACATGTTACTGAGTTATATTACATGAGGCCTGGAGTTGGGAAACACTGGCCTATATCATAGCTACATAACAGAGCACATGTTACTGAGTTATATTACAGGAGGCCTGGAGTTGGGAAACACTGGCCTATATCATAGCTACATAACAGAGCACATGTTACTGAGTTATATTACAGGAGGCCTGGAGTTGAGAAACTCTGGCCTATATCATAGCTACATAACAGAACACATGTTACTGAGTTATATTACAGGAGGCCTGGATTTGGGAAACACTGTGTATAGTCTACTCTAGTCAGTCCACTTTGTGAAATCATCTGCAAACAGTTGTATTTTTAGGTACAGTTTCAGACAGACCCGCACACACACCTATTCCTTCCTGCTACCATGGAGGCTGTTTACAAAGGATGTTTTGTCTTTCTCCCTCTGAGGTGTGGCCGTTTCCTACACGCACACGCACACACACACACACATACACACACACACACACACACACACACACCAAGTCACAGTTCCTGCTGTATCCGGCCTGATCTGAGGTTGCTCCAATCCACCACTAACAGAACACACACACTATAGCAGCTGATTCAAATGATCAAAGCTAGATGATTAGTCGATTATTTGAATCAGCTGTGTAGTGCTAGGGCAAAAACCTAAATGTGTACCCCTTGGGGTCCCGAGGCCCGAGTTTGGGAAAAGCTGTATTACAGCTTCCTAGCTGTCTGCTCCCTGCTCTCTCTCTTTCTTGCTCCCTCTCACCCGCTCTCTCTCTCTCTCCCGCTCTCACACACACACACACACACACACACACACACACACACACACACACACGCTCACACACACACACTTGGTTTTAAACAATAACACAATTCGCTCTCCTCACAGCTCCCTCTCCCTCTCTCTCTCTCTCTCTCTCTCTTGCTCACCGCTCAGCTCCCACATTCCCCTGCCCCTTGCCTAGGAGAGCTCCCTCTCCCTCTCTCTCTTTCTCTTTTTCTCTCTCTCTCTCTCTTTCCCTCTCTCGCTCAGTTTCATTCACTTTATTGGCATGCTTGTTAAAAGTACAGTGTTGCCAACGCAGCTAATACCACAGTCAATTAGATTACAATAATGAGATTTTCTCTCTGGTCTTTCAACTCTCAGTCACGTTATACACTGAATGTACAAAACATTAGGAGCTCTTTCCATGACATAGACTGACCAGGTGAATCCAGGTGAAAGTTATGATCCCTTATTGATGTCACTTGTTACATCCACTTCAATCAGTGTACATGAAGGGGAGGAGACAGGTTAAAAAATGATTTTTAAGCCTTGAGACAATTGAGAAATGGATTGTGTATGTGTGCCATCAGAGGGTGAATGGGCAAGACAAAATATTTAAGTGCTTTTGAACGGGGTATGGTAGTAAGTGCCAGGTGCACTGATTTGAGTGTGTCAAGAACTGCAACGCTGCTGGGTTTTTCACGCTCAACAGTTTCCCGTGTGTATCAAGAATGGTCTACCACACAAAGGACATCCAGCCAACTTGACACAACTGTGGGAAGCATTAGAGTCAACATGGGCCAGCATCCCTGTGGAATCTTTTCGGCACCTTATAGAGTTGAGGCTGTTCTGAGGGCAAAAGATATTAGGAACTCAATATTAGGAAGGTGTTCCTAATGTTTTGTACACTCAGTTTATAGCTCAGTACTTGGTGGGTGTATCGCTGAAGTGATAATTGCCTGTGAAGAGATTGTTGTGGACTGTTGAGTTGCTGTGAGTGTCTGATTGATTTAGGTTTTCTAGTATATCTACTGTAAATGTCTAAAGCTGTCTATATGTAGGGGTCGAGGCTCCCTCCCAAACAATTGCTGAGAATCTGTAGACATTACAGGCCTAAACTATAAACACAAACACACAAAAAACAATTAATGTTATTCAGTTATTATGTGACTGTATAGATATCGTTACTCCGTTCTCATATCGGTATGATAATGATATTAATGTCATTCAGTTATTATGTAACTGTATAGATGTTGTTACTCCATTCTCATATCAATGGTATGATAATGATATTAATGTCATTCAGTTATTATGTAACTGTATAGATGTTGTTACTCCATTCTCATATCAATGGTATGATAATGACATTAATGTCATTCAGTTATGTGAACATAGGTAACAATATTCAGATATTGTCAACATAGAGGTGATGTTATGTTACTGAGTTATGTTACTAAGTGATGTTACTGAGTTATGTTACTGAGTGATGTTACTGAGTGATGTTACTGAGTTATGTTACTGAGTGATGTTACTGAGTGATGTTACTGAGTTATGTTACTGAGTTATGTTACTGAGTTATGTTACTGAGTTATGTTACTGAGTTATGTTACTGAGTGATGTTACTGAGTGATGTTACTGAGTTATATTACTGAGTTATATTAATCAGTTATATTACTGAGTTATATTACTGAGTTACATTACTGAGTTATATTAATCAGTTATATTACTGAGTTGTAGGTGACATTATTTAGTTGTGTGTGAGACAGAGAGGAGGGTTGAGACTCGGCATGGGAAGAGATTACGTCACACTCTGAGAATGTTCCCAGAGGAGAGGGTTACTGCTGGTTCACATTAGCCTCCTCCTTCACACACACACACACACACACACACACACACACACACACACACACACACACACACACACACACACACACACACATGCACACACATGCACACACACATGCACACACACACGCACAAACAAACGCACACAAACACGCACTCACACCCACACACACACACTCATACACACACACACACAGCTCATACTTAGCACACTCGTCTCAAAGTCATATCTTTGTGGACATTTATTACAAACTGTCAATGTAGTATTGTTTGCAGAACATGTCCACAGCCAGACAGGAATTCAATGTCTTTGACAGGGCGTTACCTGGATATGTCAAAATAATGAGCTCTGAATTATCTCTGCTAAGAGGTCTGAAACTTTATGGCACAGGTGGCAGTCTGCTTCCCTACATGCAAGGTCACTGGTTCAAGTGACACTCCATTTAATAATACAGTAATACTATTCACGGTTAAGAAATAATATTTACCACACCTTTCATGAGCTACACCCTGACTGTGTTCCAAATTCCACCCTATTCCCTTTATAGTGCACTACTTAGCCCATAGGGCTCTGTTCAAAAGTAGTGCACTATATAGGGAATAGGCTACTATTTGGTACACATACCCTCTGTAAGTCATGCTCTGATGACTATAACATCACCCACCCTTCATGTTTCAGATGGGAACAGAATTAACACAGTACATTGTAACTCTAATCAAATCAAATCAAATTGTATTTGTCACATACACATGTTTAGCATATGTTATAGCAGGTGTAGCGAAATGCTTGTGCTTCTAGCTCCGACAGTGCAGTAATATCTAACAAGTAATATCTAACAATTTCACAACATATACCCAATACACACAAAACTAGTAAGGAATGGAATTTAAGAAAATATACATATATGGACAAGCAATGACAGAGCGGCATGGACTAAGATACAGTAGAATATTATAGAATAGAATGCAGTATATACATATGAGATGAGTAGTGCAAGATATGTAAACATTATTAAAGTGACTAGTGTTCCATTTCTTAAAGTGGCCAGTGATTTCAATAGGCAGCAGCAGCCTCTAATGTGCTAGTGATGGCTATTTAACAGTCTGATGGCCTTGAGATAGAAGCTGTTTTTCATTCTCTCGGTCCCAGCTTTGATGCACCTGTGCTGATCTCGCCTTCTGGATGATAGCGGGGTGAACAGGCAGTGGCTCGGGTGGTTGATGTCCTTGATGATCTTTTTGGCCATCCTGTGACATCGGGTGCTGTATGTGTCTTGGAGGGCGGGTAGTTTGCCCCCGATAATGCGTTCTGCAGACTGCACCACCCTCTGGAGAGCCCTGCGGTTGTGGGCGGTGCAGTTGCCGTACCAGGTGGGGATACAGCCCGACAGGATGCTCTCAATTGTGGATCTGTAAAAGTTTGTGAAGGTTTTCGGTGCCAAGCCGAATTTCTTCAGCCTTCTGAGGTTGAAGAGGCTCTGTTGCGCCTTCTTCATCACACTGTCTGCGTGGGTGGACCATTTCAGTTTGTCGGTGATGTGTACGCCAAGGAACTTGAAGCTTTCCACCTTATCCACTGCGGTCCCGTCGATGTGGATAGGGGGGTGCACCCTCTGCTGTTTCCTGAAGTCCACGATCATCTCCTTTGTTTTGTTGACGTTGAGTGAGAGGTTATTTTCCTGGCACCACACTCCCAGAGCCCTCACCTCCTCCCTGTAGGAGGTCTCGTCATTGCTGGTAATCAAGCCTACTACTGTTGTGTCGTCTGCAAACTAAGGATCCACATTTCATGGATACAGCTTAGTTTATTATTATTCAAAATATGTCTAACTGGGATGAGTTTCCCTTCGACAACCTAGCTGCACAGCCGCAAGAGGATAAAGATTGCAAAATCAACATTTAAGAGTAAATCTTCTGTGTGTGAATCAACGCAATTCATCAATTGATGCACTTTGCTGCTCTACGAGCAGTGTGGGTCTGGGCTGGGGTGGACTGGGACCAGAAATCCTGTATTTTTACACACCGGCCCACCGCCACCAGGCATTTGCCCGAACTGCCCTATGGCCAGTCCGTTTCTTGGTCTGCTTCGTCAATAAAATAAAGTAACATGTTAGTTACGAGACTTTCTGAAAACTCACCACTGAAAAGTCTTTAATATTCTGCCTTCCAGAAAAGACCTCAGGTCAAGTTTCACCTAACCTTACTTTCTTTGAAACTGACAACCTTGTTTTTACTGAACCTTTGATAAGCTAGCCTACACGCTCTCTACTCTCACCCTCTGGTGACTGCTGATCACCCACCCTTGAGCTAGAGGACTGGCCTCTAGACAAGAGGAAGTTACCAGACAAACCACTGGTGGGCCCTGGCTAGAGGACTGGCCTCTAGACAAGAGGAAGTTACCAGACAAACCACTGGTGAGCCCTGGCTTGGTAGCAGGGGATATGACTGGTGGTAGGGGACATGATCTGTGGGAAACTCCATACAGATAGACTCACAGGTGGCTTTTAATGAGTTTACTTAAAACAATGGAATCAGGGAGGTCAAGCATCAAGCTCTATCCTGCTGAGTCTGTGTGTGTGTGTGTGTGTGTGTGTGTGTGTGTGTGTGTGTGTGTGTGTGTGTGTGTGTGTGTGTGTCCTGTGGGTCCTCTGTCAGACAATAGCAAGCAGGGTGGGGTCACCCCGGCTGGGGATAGGACACGGGAAGGGTGGGAAACAGCCCTGAGTGTGTGTGTGTGTGTGTGTGTGTGTGTGTGTGTGTGTGTGTGTGTGTGTGTGTGTGTGTGTGTGTGTGTGTGTGTGTGTGTGTGTGTGTGTGTGTGTGTGTGTGTGTGTGTGTGTGTGTGTGTGTGTGTGTGTGTGTGTGTTTGTGCCATCCAGTGTCCAGTCGCCTAACAGGGGTGTGTGAGTTAAGGATGTATTCTCATATGTGTGTAAGCCACACAAAGACACTACTGTCCCATTTCTCAACAGAAACACAACCATCCCTCGGTAGGGCAAGACCTCGTTCAGAAGAGTTCAGAGGTCAAACAGGCTCCAACTCTCCACCTCAGAACGAGACAACGGCAGAGGAAGGGAGGGGCGGGACTGGAATTAAAAATGGACTTGAGAGACAGCCAAGTTTCCATAGAGTTTCGGTGGGTGAACTCTAGTCAAGGGTGTTCTCCCTTAAAGCGCAGAGAGCAGCTGTCAGAGTCGCAGTTCAGAGAACAACAATGGGATGGTCACTCAACATCACCTGTAATAACACCTCAAGGTCGGAGGTCAGGGCAGGACAAGGACATTGGGGACGATTAATGTCTTCACATGAAATCTAGTCAGTTCAGTTATTATCTGTGGCAGGGCACGGTAGAGCACTTGCATCACCAGGGTTGTGGATGTGTATCCCTCTGTGGCCACCCGTACTGAAAGATGCTTTGGATAAAAGCCTCTGCCTATATCACATGTTTTATTGTCTTAGTTCACTATGAAAATAGAGCCATTTGTTGTGGCATCATGCTTATCATCTCTATGTCTAGGGAAATCAATACGGCCAATGTGTCTTCGATCACACTATTTCTATAGTCTGAATACAAATACCTGTATATATAAAACATATATTTACATGTAATATGTTAGCTTTTCAGTGAAAGTATTTATTATTATAACCATATGATTATGGATGACCATAAAATGGTGGTTCGCTGTATACTGGCAACCCTTAGTGATGAGACCACTGTTTCACATGATCACAGTTGGGATCACTTAGACTTCTGTCTTAAACACTCCCAGGCCTTTGATGAGAAACTAGCCGTGTAGGAGGTTAACCGGGGGGGGGGGGGGGGGGGGGTGGATAGCTCTGTGTGTGTGTGTGTGTGTGTGTGTGTGTGCACCCAAGAGCCAGCTGCCGCTCTGGCCCACTGATCACACACTGTCTAGGTAATGAGCAACCACAGAGACAGAATCTACCGAGACAGAATCCCCCTCATGTCTAACTAAGGCTTGAAGGAGATGTTTCATTATGCCAGGCCATAATAATGGAATAGAGATGTGACAGGTCACCAGGGTCATGATCAGCAGTGCACATAGTAGCAACACTTTTTACAACAGAAAGCAAAGATATGTGTTCTTATTGGACATGTTCTGGTAGTACCTCCCGGTTTCACTCTTTTTCAAAATGTTTCCTCTCTTCTGAACACCACCCAGACTTCCCTCAATATAACCCCCTACATATAGTCAGTTCCTGTACTGAAAGAGGTTAAAAAGGTTGGCACAATGGAATCCTCACCATTCATCTTCATAACACATTCGCCCCTCTTAGTTCCAAAACATTTCTCCACCAATGGTTAAGGTTAGGATTGAGGTTAGGGGAAGCTGATCCTAGATCTAAGCCTTTGAGAACACAGAACAAAACTGTTGGCAGTTGACGTTGTATTTTTCGGCCATCTTGGATATAATATGGCTAATACCGTAAATGAATCCGCTAGCTCTCTGTCACCTCCACATGTAATGGGATCTGCTGTGGACGGTTAGCCTCATGGTAATACTGCCACCTGAGCAGGTAAGTCCATCAATAATGTACATGGGATCAGCTAGCTATCGGCTAACAGTAAGGTCTGTCAGCTGTGCTGGGGCACTGGAGCAACGTTACTAAACCTATTCAAAAATAGATTTTTGGATCGTCCTTTCAGATCTGCTTTACCCCAGGGAAGATTAAATTCATTCATTTATTAATTCAGGGGGTTGGTGGTGCTCACTGGACCGTAGAAAGAACGGTCACTGACAGGGGAAGGGTTTTAGGGTCCAATAGACGCTCATGGTACTTTATTAATATTGTGCCACGATGATAATCTTCAAAAGGTGACAACTCACCACAATAAAAGATTCCTCTTCAAGAGGTAAAATATGAACATAAAGACTATCAACATAAAGATTATCAACATAAAGATTATCAAAAATTCAATAAAGGCTTGAATCAAATCCTTTCTGGGGAGGCTCAACAGCGTAGCAATGTGTCCTCTCCGCTCCCCAGATTATTTTGCACTTGGCTAACTGGCGCAAACATTTTAACAATCTCATAGTCAATTAGCTGCAGGTGTGCCAGGCTTGATTGGCACAATGTATGTGGACAACTACAAATACCTAGGTGTCTGGTTAGACTGTAAACTCAACTTCCAGACTCACATAAAGAATCTCCAATCCAAAGTTAAATCTAGAATCGGCTTCCTATTTCGCAACAAAGCCTCCTTCACTCATGCTGCCAAACATGCCCTCGTAAAACTGACTATCCTACCGATCCTTGACTTCGGCGATGTCATTTACAAAATAGCCTCCAACACTCTACTCAGCAAATTGGATGTAGTCTATCACAGTGCCATCCGTTTTGTCTCCAAAGCCCCATACACTACCCACCACTGTGACCTGTACGCTCTTGTTGGCTGGTCCTCACTACATGTTCGTCGTCAAACCCACTGGCTCCAGGCCATCTATAAATCACTGCTAGGCAAATCCCCGCCTTATCTTAGCTCATTGGTCACCATAGCAGCACCCACCCGTAGTCTGCGCTCCAGCAGGTATATCTCACTGGTCATTCCCAAAGCCAACACCTCCTTTGGCCGCCATTCCTTCCAGTTCTCTGCTGCCAATGACTGGAACGAATTGCAAAAATCTCTGAAGCTGGAGACTCTTATCTCCCTCAATAACTTTAAGCATCAGTTGTCAGAGCACCTTACCGATCATTGCACCTGTACACAGCCCATCTGAAATTAGCCCACCCAACTACCTCATCCCTATATTGTTATTTATTTTGCTCTTTTGCACCCCAGTATCTCTATTTGCACATAATCTCTTGCACATCTAGCATTCCAGTGTTAATACTATTGTAATTATTCTGCACTATAGCCTATTTATTGCCTTACCTCCATAACTTGCTACATTTGCACACACTGTATATATATTTTCTGTTGTATTTTTGACTTTATGTTTTTTTACCCCATATGTAACTCTGTGTTGTTTTTATTGCACTGCTTTGCTTTATCTTGGCCAGGTCGCAGTTGTAAATGAGAACCTGTTCTCAACTGGTTTACCTGGTTAAATAAAGGTGAAATAAAAATAAATTTAAAAAAAATGTCCTGCAGCTGAGTGGTGGCCAGAGTGGGAACTGCAGGCTCATGGGGGTTGTGGTGGGGTGAAGTCTTCCCGGCTCGCCACAATTCATTCATTCATTATGTTGTTGGTTCACTCATTCATTCATCTATACATACATGTATTCATTTGTTCAGTCATTAACTTAATTGTTCATTCATTAACTTGGTTGTTCATTCATTTGTTAATTAATGTATTAATTCATCCATCCAAGGTCAAAACCATGACATAGAGTACTAATAACCTTTACATCTGATTGACTCTCTCCTAACAGTGTTTGTGAATGTGTGAGTGAGTGAGTCTGCTCTGTGGGTGAACTCTGAACAGCCACAACACAACAGCAACAGCCTTGAGCTGTACAGACAGACTCAGATGACGTCACCATTGGGCCAGGCCGGGATGGGAGCTGCTTGCTGTCGGCTCTTGGGGACTGGCTGGGGACTGGGATAGGCAAAGCCTTCCCTCCCCAGGCAGGAAATGGGCGAAACCGTTGCTCGAAAATGATGCTGTGAAGGAAAGGAAGCGTCTCCTGATAGCCGGGGCTATTGGTTTCCTGTTGTGGACTAACAGTTTTGTGGGCTTCACACACACACACACACACACACACACACACACACACACACACACACACACACACACACACACACAGCTATGTCTTGCTATACTTGTGAGGACCAACAATTGATTCCCATTCAAAATCCTATTTTCTTTCATCCCTAAACCTAAACCTTAACCCTAACCCTAAACTTTACCATAACCTTTTGGGGACCAACAATTGATTCCCATTCAAAATCCTATTTTCCCTAACCCCTAAACCTAACCCCTAAGCCTAAAATAGCCTTTTTACAAGTGAGGATGGTCAAAATGTCTTCACTTCTCAGAATTGTTGTTAGTTTACTATTCTTTTGAGGACTTCTGGTACTCACAAGTATAGTAAAACATGTACTGTACACCACACACACACACACACACACACACACCATTTCCTAAAAACATGCCACTTCAATACAGCTATGAGCGGAAGTTACTTTTCGTAGCAGGTTAGGAGAGCATTTTTTCGCTAGATGCTAACCTCAACCCTTTTCCGAAGCTTAACCTAATTCTCCTAACCTGCTACGAAAAAGTCCCTTCCGCTCGTAGCTGTATTGAAGTGGCGTGTTTTTAGGGAATCTCCACATACGCAGACACACACACACACACACACATACCCCCCTGCCAGGACACAGGCAGGAAGGCTGAAGGATACTGGGTCACTTAGGAAATAAACAGTGCTCACACAGTGACAATTGGGCTGCAGTGTTTGAAATAATTGGGCCATAGTAGAACACTGTTATGAATGCAGCCAGGTCATCCGTGATACAAGTCAGTATTCGACGTCCATCCATGTCTGAGGACGTCGTGTGATGACGTGGAAACCGGCCACTAGGGGTAACAGTGAGCGCTGTTACCTTCAAGAAGATTTTGGTTTTGTTAGGGCATTGTGGACAGGGATGACGGAGAGGTGTAAGCAACTACCTCTGATTCCAAGGATTGCTAGTTCAAATCCAGCAATAGAAAGTTGTTTTTTATATTTTTGTTTTAAGCCAATCCCAAACCTTAACCCCTACCTTAACCATTCGAAGTTAATGCCTAACCTCAAGAATTTTGAGTTAATGCCTGAACTTAACCCTAACCTTTAAAATTAAAGGTTAATGCCTAAACTTTTAGAAATGTGACGTTTGGAACAACTTCGAAATTTGACATTTGAGAAACATGGATGAACGTCTAATTCCAACATGAGACTGTGAGAGCTGGTAGTGTGTCACAATCGTTGAGAGACGGGTCAGACCAAGGTGCAGCGTGAAAAGCGTACGTTTATTAACTCAATAAACACAAAACAAGAAACAACGTAACGTGAAGTCCTCAGGCTATACACATACAACCCTAAACGGAACAAGATCCCACAACTAAGGTAGGCAATCAGGCTACCTAAGTATGATCCCCAATCAGAGACAACGAGCGACAGCTGTCTCTGATTGGGAACCACACCCGGACAAACATAGAAACACAACCTAGATCTACCACATAGAAATACACTAACATAGATCTCAACAGAAAACTCACACCCTGACCCAACCAACGAGAGTTCTCTCAATCAGGGCGTGACAGTACCCCCCCCCCCCCCCCCCCCCCCAAAGGTGCATACTCCAGCCGCAACCAACCTGACTCATTAGGGGAGGGTCCGGGTGGGCCTTCGTCCTCGGAGGCAGATCCGGCTCCGGGCGTGACGACCTCTCCCTATCTGCCTCTCCGTTGCTCCCCTGGTCTGGTCTGGACCTCGGCGCGATGCTTCCCCTCTCCTTCCTCCCACAATGTACCAAGCCCTGTCTGGACCCTGGTTTGGGAGACCCCGAACCTGGAGAGGGGCTGACGTCTGGGCCTGGATCGGCAATCCTCCCACGATGCACCAAGCCCTGTCTGGACCCTGGTGTGGGAGGCCCCGACCCTGGAGAGGGGCTGACGTCTGGGCCTGGAGTAGAGCCGCTGACCGGAGCTGAACTGGACCCCGGTGGAGCGGACTGCTCTGGCTCCGGAGTGGAGCCGCTGACCGGAGCGGGACTGGGCACCGGTGGAGCGGACTGCTCTGGTTCCGGAATGGAGCCGCTGACCGGAGCTGGACAGGGCACCGGTGGAGCGGACTGCTCTGACGCCGGAATGGAGTCGCTGACCGGAGCTGGACTGGGCACCTGTGGAGCGGACTGCTCTGACTCCGGAGTGGAGTAGCTGACCGGTGCTGGACCAGGCACCGGTGGAACGGGCACGGGCTGTGCCGGACTGGGAACACGCACCACTGGCTTGGTGCGAGGAGCATGCACGGGCCGGGCCGGACTGGGGACACGCACCACTGGTCTGGTGCGAGGAGCAGGAACGGGGTTTACCGGGCTGGTGACACGCACCACTGGTTTGGTGCGGGGAGCAGGTACGGGCTGTACTGGACTGGATACACGCACCACTGGTTTGGTGCGGGGAGCAGGTACGGGGCGTACCGGGCTGGCGACACACACCACTGGTTTGGTGCGGGGAGCAGGTACGGGGCTTACCGGGCTGGTGACACGCACCACTAGTTTGGTGCGGGGCACAGGTACGGGCCGTACTGGACTGGATACACGCA